AACTGTAGCAATGAATGTTTTTGTCACTTGTTTTAGAAATGAAATTAAGAGAGAGTCTTTTGAATGGAAATAAAGATAGGAAGAAAGGTTGGTGACATGCACGGGTCATTAGGTTGGAAAGCTATGCCTACTGACAATTATCGGGTCATCACTTATCGCCATAACTTTATCGGCCTAAGAGAGCAGTTAGTTGTTACCGCTAATAAATGCAGGTGTGTGCACTACTAACTTGTAAAGGTTTCCGGTTTTACGCTATGAAAGTTCTGTTGTGAACTTTCTGTTATTATCTCAGCAAATGTAAGTTTTCCGCTGCTTTAATATGAGTAAGATCACTCTGCAAAATAAAGCATGGCTTTCCAACGCTCTTATGTTGCTTTTGTAATAAGGAGTTCTTAATTACAGACAGGTTGATTTTATGCTCAAGCAACAGCAAGGAAGGCTATGCTTTTTCACAACTCTTAGCGAATCAGAAGGCTCTTTTGAGAACTCAATCAGTTACCCGCCTTGCAATAACAAAAGGCTACTTTGCCGCACTACCTCAATTTAGCCTAATTACAAACTTGTTTGATAACGACTCGGTAATTGAAGGAAAGCATAACCTTCCACCCAAACATTAGCGCTCGTCCGTGCAACCAACATTTTTTCGTGTCTAAACTTCCACCTAAAAAAAACTCTCTTTTAATTTTATGTCCAGAGCTGTATTACGTACATGGAAAGAAATTTAGTGCTACAGTTTACTTCAGTTAATAGCTATCTATGTGAAATTTTTTCTCACACGGTAGAAATCTCCCTAAAATGAAATGTAAGAAATATTGGACTCTCGTGTGAAACGCAGTCCCAGTAGGACCTGAAAAAAAAAATTCAGGCCCGTACGGGATTTGAACCCATGACCTCTGCGATACCGGTGCAGCGCTCTACCAATTGAGCTAACAAGCCAACTGGGAGCTGGTCAATGAATTGGGTACAAATAAACATCCGAGTGAATGAAGATTTAGATATATGAAAATTCACATATTTGCACTGCGGTGGAAAGATGAAATTAGAAGATCCTCGCAGCTAAGAACACTACTGAAACTAGTAGTTGTAAATACGGGAATAAATACGAAATTTTTTCAGGTCCTACTTACAACTACTAGTTTCAGTAATGTTCTTAGCTGCGAGGATCTTCTAATTTCATCTTTCCACCGCAGTGCAAATATGTGAATTTTCATATATCTAAATCTTCATTCACTCGGATGTTTATTTGTACCCAATTCATTGACCAGCTCCCAGTTGGCTTGTTAGCTCAATTGGTAGAGCGCTGCACCGGTATCGCAGAGGTCATGGGTTCAAATCCCGTACGGGCCTGAATTTTTTTTTTCAGGTCCTACTTACAACTACTAGTTTCAGTAGTGTTCTTAGCTGCGAGGATCTTCTAATTTCAGGGACCTTCTTGTTTGTGACACTTGAACAAACATCATGAAGCACTCTTTAAGATATAATGACCTCTTGAGCAACCTGAATGGGTCACGGAATGCCGAATATCTTAAATTGACAAGGCGATCCTTTGACTTGCGGATTTGCATGACTCGAACCAAGGCCGGTATGGATCAGGCTGAGGAATTTGTTCAAGGTCATGGTCTTGGCAATAAGGAAACATCAGTGTTTTATGTATAAGACTTCACGACGATTTTGAACATCGATTGCTGTTTTTACAAGTAGAAGATTCACACTTTGACGCTTGGATTCGCTCATTAGTGTATACAATTTTCGACAAGCAAAAAGCGTTTTTTCTCGATCGGCACAACCGAGACATTATGCAAAATTAATTCAAGTATTTCTATTTTCCCTTGTCTGCTGGTTCTTCTTATCTTTTGTTAATTTACTTCTAATTTTCTTTCTTGTAAGTGGAGCAGGCGTTAGGTTTTCTAAATTTGCTGAATTCACAGAGAAGATTACCAAGATGAACTTCAAACAGATAGTTTCCTAGTTGATGGATGATACCCCCCTCTTAGCATAGAACTAAAGCTTTTATCCTTTAGCACTGCCATGTAGGATCAATTCAAAATTTCTCTTAGGTCGGAATTTCATAACCTCACTTACAAGGATGTATTTCATAGTTTACTTTAGATGGCAACAAGCTCATCACCAAAACTGGCAGAGTTTGATTCTATCCTTGCTTTGGCCCTCGATATCACAGAGCTAACAACGTCATAGATGTACACCTGAATTTGCTTAAGTGAACCCAAAAACAATTTCTAATATGTTCTCCTTTACGGACCTTTCGTGTTCATCAAGTCTTCTTATTGTGATATTTCCCCCCAAAAGTACTTTCAAGTGCCTCAACCCACTGATTGTTAGTAATTTTCGACAAATAAAGACTAACGTAGAATTACCAATTTTTCTTCCCAAAATACTTTGAAAAACATGGTTGTCATGGGATACAACGTGACCGTTGCTATGGAAACTATGACACATTGATCAATTGTCCCAGAAACTGTGGCGTACGTGGTAAGTATGTAAACTGCTTCAATTAACAATACGTGCTGATATGCACTGAGAGAGTAACCTTAAGTTTATTTGAACTTAAGAATCCCTGTTGGCAGCTGAGGAAAGCCAACAAAGTAGATTCTGGCCGTGGGAATGATGCAAAATTGTCCCACCCAAGTCATTCCTCAGGGAGCAGTCCTTCTTTATCACCTGTGGTGGGAATGGAGGATCTATCTCCTTCACCGCAAACATGTTTTATATCATTACATTACACGTTCCTTCACTGGGAGAGAGAGCAGGTCGAGATGCGAATGCAAACAACTGCTACAAAGGGGACGGTCATTCTTGCATTCCTCAAGTTAGGCAATCAGAAAATATCATAGGTAGCGTGAGAGGGCGCTCTGATTGGCTTATGCTAGATGCGAGCTTCGTTTAAGGCCAACATACTTTTTCTTCTTCTTCATACAATTTTTATCATTATTATTAGTAATATTATTTATCTATCGTGTGAAATTTCTGATTTTCAATGAGCGGTTACTCAGCATAAATATCGCAAAGAGGGTGTTGCAGTTGTAGTAATCGTGGTTAATTGTGATCATGTAGAGCGCTCGTCGATTGAGTGTCGTAAAACCAAAACCGAAGTAATTACAACAGCCAATCAAAAGAAAGAAAATTACCTTAAGGGGCCAATGAGAACTCAAAGTAAAACTAACCAAACGCGTGGGAACACGCGAATTACCAAGTCATCATCGGTTTTAGTTTTGCATCTGATTGGTCGAGAGAGTTGCGTGAGTTTTCTGGACCAATTACGCAGTCAAGTAAAGCCGAAACAAACCAATCCTGGATTTTTATCGACCCTCTGCTCAACTGAAAATTGCTCTAACAGATTACTTGACAGTTACTAACTGAATAACGATCGTTCACTCAACCTCGTGCAATTATAGTGATTTTTTAGTATTTTGCATATCATATTGATCATCACTATTAGAATTCATAGGGGTACCAAGATAGGAAAAAGAAAAAAAGAAAAAAATTTATTTTACCCTCAAAAAAAAAAAAAAGGCAATTTGTATTTAACTTCTATCCCGATTTCATGGTAAGCGGTTATAAAAAGTATCTTTGAACTTGAACTGCTTACGAACACTGCCAACAGCCAAAAACTCAACTAAATCTTCCTTGAGGTGATTTAGTTCCTCAGAAAAAAAAAGTCATTGGTTTAGTGTTCCGTTGAAATACAAGGGCGGGAAAAAGCCTCTTCGTTTTGGCCTTAGCTGATGCGAGCATCACAACTGAACAAATTTGGTAGACTTTACAATTAGCAACACTAATAAAAGTACATCTGTCTTCTCTTTGGAAAATAGCAATATTTATTCAACTAGAGAGCTCCGTCTGAAGCTTATGTAGATGAAATTGAATAATAAATGAACTGTATAGGTGTTTATGAGGGTAAAGTGTTGTAAATCATTGGTGATATGCAGGTTTTCTGCAATACTTGTCCCTCAAGTAGAGCAGTTGCTTCTGACACATTGTAGGAGACATTTTCGGATGCATTAACGGGATGAAAATTAATATTATAGCTACAGAGAAATCATTTTTACAGGAGCGAAATGATAACCCCTTTCATGACCCAAATTGAGTGTATTTACATGAGCAGTGTTAACTAGAAGAAAATTTTTACTGATGCTTCGTCAGGACCCGACAATTCGACAATCCTCTGAAAACTCATCCTTTCTTCATTCTATATTTTTGAATGGAATTGATCAAAAATAATTAAAAATAGCGTTGATGTAGGTAGACGATTCCTGAATAGATTTTTCTTTCTTTTCTTATCATCAAAACAATCACATTTATAAATTTGATGACAAGGAGACTTTACATCCGTTAGATTATATTCTGCCCGTCAATTCACGAAGGGTGAATGTTTCCTATTTGTATCCCAAGAAAAATCTTCAGGGATTTAAAAGGGATAAGTTTTTTCCGGCCCGAGAAACGGAACACCGATTTAAACAGTTTGGTTGTAAGACATGTAACAAGTTATTGGTCTGTATTTATCCCATTATGCAAATCAACAAAATCAACCTTAAGTCCGGCGATTATTGAACTTAATTTTAGACGCCTAGACTGCTTTTATTTATTCCGGACTTGAAAATGTAATTCGCCAATATTCAATATCCTGTAAAGAGATTAGAGTTATGCTTCAAAAACGCATATTCTGAAATCTATCTTTGCAGAAACTAGGAATACAAGGTTGACCTAAGGAACTCTCACTGAAAAACTGGCTCATGCACTCAAGTGTCTGCCTCTCATTTCCTCTGTAATAGAATTTACCTGGCGAATGGAGGAAGAAAATTGCGTAGAGGCATATGAAAAATTGATGAAATTGTTGACGATACTACCATACACCTGTTGTAAGGAAGTCTGTGGAAAGTTTTTCCTCCACCAATCAGATTCCTGTCACGGTAACCAGCCAATAAGATTGTGTTGTCATGTTACGGTTGAACGCACCCAGTCGCGCCAATTAACAACAAAAATGGCCGTCGGATCTTGTGCACAGCCGTGAAACAGTCTCTCTTCTTTCTCTATTTTCGAAAGCTGGTTTTCCTCAGCGCCTTGAAAAATCAGTCCGATGGATAGTTAGAAATACGTTATGTCTGGTGGTGGCTCAAAAAACCCTTCCACTCGTCTTTTACCTCCGATAAAAAATCCTCTTTTTAATCCGAATGAAGATCCAGAAGAAGTTAGGGTTACATCCGTGGTGAGTTGTTTGTGTCATTTTCGGTGTATTTCTATGTTCACGGCCTGCTGACCATAAGTGTATCTGTCTTGCAGAATAGTCATCCAGAACGATCTCGTCCCGGGAGAAGGTTGGGTGGTTTGGGGAATCTTTTCAGTTCACGACATCGAAACTCTGGCTCTCCGAGCAAGGCGCGCGAAGAGATCGAAGGATGTCGCGAGGATGCTAACGAAAACTTGAAAACGCTTTCTCCAAGTAGCAGTAGGCCTGTCTCGAAGGAGTCAGAAAGATTAAATAAGGGAAAGACTATAGCAGTAGAGGCAACAAAATCGGACACGGGGTCAGGGAATGTGAAAACGGTGAACTCAAGGGTGCCTAATTCATCACGCTTCGCCCGTAACCTCAGCAACCCAACGGAAGCTGTTAACGACACTAACTCCGATTCTAATTTGCCACTTGATAACGAAAAACATATACCTGTTTCATCTTCAAAGCAGAATTCAAAGTCTGAGATTACCGAAAAGAGGAGACCTGCACTTCTGCATAGAGACAAAGAAAAGCGATTACTGGTGAATCAACATTGCAATGATGACTGCAAGATTAAGTCAGCGAATTCTCGTCATGAAAGACTTCATGCAACTTCCTCTTCGGACACTGAAGTGGTCTCTCGTCGTGAGATCCGTTCACGAAGAGAGGAGAAAAAGCCTGAAAGGATAAAATATCACGATGCCTTGTCGCTAAGGTAAATGAAATTATGTTTTGGTTGTGTTGTATATGATATGATGTCATGCGTGCATCGCGATATTACACGCATTAGAGCACCATGAACAGTAAATTTCACCAGCTTCATTAGTCACAGAGTAGCAGGTCTGAAATATTCGTTTGACGCGTGTTATAAACCCGAAAAACCGAATCTTTCGACACTTTCTATCTCGAACATCTTGTTTTTGTGATCATGTGGGTGGTCTGGAAAACAATACGAAAAAATTAAAAAAGTTTTGAGTGACATAACAATTTCCCCACTTCCATTGCATGCAAAGCTGTTGGTAATTGGGATTTTCCAATTTCCCATTTTTTTTCTCCAGTATGAAGTGCATTGTAGTTGTACAGTTTATGGCTGTAAAGTTTAGGTAAACTATGTTTCAAAGCTTCACTATTTTGTGCTCCTGACTGAAACATGAATCTGACCCGTTGTGAGTGGTATAATAAGAAAGAAAACTGTGGTCTTTCATTACTACTTTTGTTATGTAGTTACTGGCAGTGTGGCGTATATTATTGATATAAGTATTAATTTAAAATCTTCTGTGGAAACTAAATATGCTAAACTTGCTGAATTCAATTGAATTCTGTCAAACAAATGACACAGAAGAATCATCAGGAATACCCAAATTTAGGTTACTTGATTTAGAATGCTTAGTAACTATTTATTTCTTAAGTTTTGTGACATTTAAGAACACCAAATGTAGGTGGTGAAGTTGTACCATTAGCTGCACAGTCGGTTTCTCTCTTCAGAGAACTATTTTTCATGGGTCAGGATATATTACTGACCCCTTGATAAGATTACCAGGTCCCTCTAAAGGAAAAGAAGAGTTGTCTAACTTGAAAAATACATGTGTGAGGAGAGTGGGCAATAAATTATTAATCAATTTCTTTTATCTAGAATGTTTTAACCTCTTTACTTCAAAAATGTCACTCTGGTAAGGCCTGAGATGGAGGTGTTCAATCCAATGGTTTAATTTCATACTGTTTATTCATCTTTATTTTACCTGTCTGCTTGATCATAGCAGTTTCCCATTATTTTCTGAATAACTTACTTGTTTGTCAATGTAGGGATGAAGGGTTAAAATTTGAGTATAATTGTATCAATTCCAAAACAAGCACTTTCTCTGAATAGGAATAGTAAAATTCTGAGGCTGTTAACAGATGATGGCGATAATTTCAAATTTCTTTCCTCTGGCTGTACTCCAAAAACACTGCCTTAAATCATGTTTCTTAAACCATAGATTTTTTTTAAAATTACAACTAATTGATCACAAACTATTAACAAGATATTGTCCATTAATGATGTACTTAATAGAGGGAATTATTCAAGATGTGAGGTAATTTTCTGTGTGCATAATTGGGAGATACTTCCAAGACTTGGATCAAAACAGGATGTACTTAAGTGATGATTTGTTTTCTTTTTTTTTTTCTTTTTTTTTTTTCTTCTTTCAGGAATGACATGAGGACAGCCTTGGCAACTGGAGACTATCAAACTCTTCTAGAATTTTTGACAACAACGTTTGATTCTTTCTCTGAGATGAATGAAGTCTTCAAGGTGCGATTTAATGAAGCTAGTGAACTTTGATGTTATGTGCGCTTCAAAGTGGTTACACATTGTGCAATTATAATATCTAAACATATCCTGTTTTGTTTATTTTTCATTGAAGCGAAAAGATGAGTATAACTCTGAAGAATTCTCTGAAAGTGGTATTGATCACGACTTTGTCAGGATAGCATATGAAATTGTTCTTACCCTGGTAATTTATGAATATTTATTTGATCTAAATAATTATATTTTTGCGTGAATTTCATTCTTTTTAATTTTTTTAGAAGTAGGTACAATTTCAGACAAGAAAATGTGGTGGATTTTGTTCAAAACACAACTGTACTTGTACTGTGTACTTTTTAAAATCACATATATTTTTACATTTTAGCCTCAAGAGGTACACAAGAATGTTCTCAAGTCTGTGGTGAACAGCCTGTTACAAGAAATCAAAAGGTAATACATGCATAGTTTTTTGTTATAATGGAGTAGTGTTAAGGATTTTGAGGTAGCCAATTTGGAGAGAGGTTTAGTGTAGTGGGATCCACACTCCCAGACATGATCAGCTGGAACACCTCTCCAAACAACTTTTGTAATGTTCTTCACCTGCCTTCCCTTCCAATGTTGTTAATTGCCAATGTGTTCATGTCATCTTGCAGATCAACATTGAGTGGGGTGGGGTGGGGTGGGGGAGGGAGGCAGGAATTGAGAATCCCAATATATGTGTCAGGGAATGTGGGTTTACATGTAATTATACCCAGCCTTGCCTTAGAAAATGTTAGAAGTTTAGACTATGGGTATTGTGCCCAGTGACAAACCAGTTACTTTTAGTTTGAGGAGGGGATGAAAATTTATAAGAAACAAACCCTTTTAGGTTGTTTGGCTGCTAATTGATTCTGCTACAAGGTGCAAAGAAAGTCTGTTTTACAGCTTGCCCTTTGGATGAGCTGTACCTTACATCTACTAGCCTGAAAGTAATTTGTACTGGCCTGAAAAAATTTTTTCACAAGCAGAAAAAAAAAAGAGCTGTTTTGCTCTTGGTGCTGCCACAGTGTATAATTTTTTCTAAGTCCACCATTTGCAACATGTGAATGATTAACATGCATTTTAGACATTTTAGAATTTAGAAACACATTTTTTTTGACAGAAAAACAGGGTTGAAACTTTGAAACCAAAGTTCTCAAGGGACACACTAAACGATAATGTGGACTATATGAAAAGCTGCCTGCGAGAGCACTTCATTCTCCAATTTGCTGCCCAAAAAATTTTCCTGCCAGAGTATCTCTTAGCAGCTGACAGGAGAGATATTTAAACTATTAAAGGGAATGAAAATTTGATAGCTTTCATCAGTTTGCTTCTCATTCAAAAGTAGTGCATTCAGAAGATCATTTTTCTGAAGAAGGTTTGTTTGAGAGTCGGTTTTCCAAGTCAAGTTTCAGTGAAAAAATTATGCAAACAAAAATTATGCAAATTTGTGGTTCATCATGTTACAAGTAACCAAAGGTTTTTTACGTTTCTAAAGCACAAAAATGTTCATTTCATTTCTAGCAACTTTTTGTCTAAAAGATTAACAGGTAAAAACAATAATATGTGGTCTATATATTTTAATCAAAAAACACCTGGGGTATTGCTGTTTAGAATTTACCATATTGAAATGCACGTGACCAATATTTGCCAACCATTAACCATTTATTATGGTTAACCATTATTAACCATAATAAATTTCTCACTGGAGTTCAGGATCAAAACCTTTTGTTTACGTTCCTCACAAATGATTATGAAGCAAAATTTAGACAAATAGCTTTCTCTGGATTAGTAAGAATTATTAACATTTACCTCCCAAGTTTTTTTCAATATCTGCTTTTACTTTATGAATGGGATCTCAATATGTCTCGTCTGACATGTAATGCTATACTTTGTCTTGTTATGCAGATTTCACCTTGTCAGAGCGACTTTCGGTCTGCATGAATTTATTAGGAATTTAAAATATTTTTCTATCAGTACTTCAGATCTGTAATTTTAATTCTCAGAAAAATGTTCACTTGCCTTTTGGGCAAGTTAAGCACAGAATTCACTAGCCTGATTGCAAAATCCACTAGCCCTGGGCTATCAGACAGAACTTTCTTTGCATGCTGTGCTGATACATGTATTTATTAACTTGAATGTACATGCAATCTTTTCTTTTTTGTTCTTGTAAACATTGGGCATTTCCAAAATTTTTCATTCTCCCTCTAAGAATGTTATGTTGAGTCACTAGCTGCACTCTTTGCAATTTGTTGAATAACAAAACACCATGTTGTCTGGATCATTTTGTGTTACTCTTGTCATAGTGAACATTATTCTTATAAGGGTACAGTAACTGCAGCTGCCATGGTTCACTCAATATAATGTAAAACCTTTTTATTTGCTTTTCATAGGCAAAGAACAAAGGATGATCTTAGGGCATTCACAATCCTTCTGCAGGTAATTAATGAACTGTTTTTGCAATACACACAAGAGTACATTTTTTTCATTTTCAGAAATATGAAAGTAAACACAAGTAGAGGTTACAAGCATTTCTTTTGATTATTGGCTGCCTAAAAAATATTACACTAGAATGCCTTGTGATAATACAATAAATTGAACTTGGACTGTAGACTGGGTTCAATGTAATACCCCCTACCGATGTAGCCTCACAGTTTCTTAAAAAAGGTAACCCCTTAATGAATAATTCACTCTCAGGTTTTCATGTTACCATGTTCCCAACAATAGCACTGTCACAGTGTGGTTCTATTTCTTTGTAGGGCTTACACTTGAAATGCCACACTTTCTTTAGAAACTTACCCCCCTAATATTAACTGTCTGTAGTAACTGTCTGCTTAATTTCAGAATCCTCAGTTTGACAAGTCATCAACATATGTAATCTTTGCTTATCTTCTGCGGCAAGTGTCATCTCTCACAGATGGAGAGCATCAGTACCTTGTTCACTGGTTCAGAAGGTGATTAAATTTATGTCATGAGAATAATGCATAGATTGTGTCAGTCTTTGATCCTAAGGGAGGGTGGGAAAGTGTTGTGGGTTCTGTGATATGCAAAATTTTTAAAGAATACCACAAAGAAATGAAAGCATTGTCATGGGAGTGAGGAAGTGACAGGCTCCAAGATGTTACTCTCTTGCAGAGGATTGTAAAATAAAATAAAAAAAAAACAGCAACAGAAACAAAAACAAAAAACCAATAACCAAAAAAATGAAACAACACTTGCACGCTGTCCTCAGTATTAAGACAATTACATGTATTTTGATTTGTTCTCTGTTATGAAAAGCTAGGAATACAGGACATTTCGCACAAAAGACTTTTCGCACAAGTCTTTTAGCACAAGTTTGGAACGTTCGCACAATTCTTAGTGGTCATTTCGCACAACAATTATAAGTGAGAAACATCAATATAAAAGGTATACTAATTGATACTGATAAGACATCTCACCTTCACATGTCACTTTCAATAAGATCCAACGGCGAGAACGTAGACATTTATTTACGTAATAACTTCAACTAGATTGAAACGCTTGTGAACACGATTACTTGAAGAAAGGAACAAATTTTTCTCTCTATGAAAATGTAAAGAACTCCCTATTCGAACGATTACTTCTTTTACTTTTCATTTGTTAAACGAAAAACCTTTTAGTTTTGACAGTACATCATCCACTACAAACAAACGAACATGACGACCCAACGCTAAGGACGCCATGTTGATTTCGAAAGTAATTGTCACCAATCCTCCCTCCTCTGAAGTCAAAGTAAAAACCTGCAAACTGTATCACTTTTTATTTAAAAGGAGAAAAGACCTATTTACAAAATTTCTGTGTAAATATATAAAATTCAAGTTCACGGCCATGTTACCCGACGAATCATGCAAATTTTAACTCGCTACTTGGTCAAGACTCATAGAAATTTAGCCCTTTCCTGCATTCATTTAAGTTATAGTACATCTAAATTTCTTTGTTTGTTTTGATCTTAAGCTTGTATGATTACTTATCGAACGGCTAGCATATAATCTTTGAATTACTTTGAATTCTTAAAACTTTCGTGAAATCATTTGTTTACATCACGGTTGCTATGACGCTTATCGATCGATACTGAACTCTCCATCACCTAGGTAATTGTTATTAGAATAATTTGAAAGGTTACTACTTGATAGATGTATTAAACTTCTCGATCTTTAAAATGATTACAGATGGAACTTGTCTTTCTACAAGATCACTAGTCACTACCTACACTGACACGTTCAAGTTGTCAAATCACAACACTTGCACATGCCAACATTCGATGTGAATCACTCTCTGACTATCGAGTTATTAACTGTTTTTGCTGTACGTATTACCAGTATGCCTAATTTTCATTATATAACGAAGATATAAGAAGTAAGTTTTCAATAGCTTTATTTGAAACTCTTACAGATCGATAAAACATGCTATTTGAAGGCGATCGAACAAGGAGGGAAGACTGGTGACAATACTTTTGAAATCAATATGGTGTCCTTAGCGTGGGTCGTCATGTTTGCATGTTAACTTCGTAGTGGACGATACTGTCAAAACTAAAAGGTTTTTCGTTTGACAAAGAAAACGTTACAGAAGTAGTCGTTCGAATAGGGAGTTCTTTACATTTTCATGGAGAGAGAGATTTGTACCTTTCCTTTCTTCAAGAAAGAATAGTGATCGTGTTCATGAGCATTTTGATCTAGTTGAAGTTATTATGTAAATAAATGTCTACGTTCTCACCGTTGGATCATGTGAAGGTGAAATGTCTCATCAGTATCAATCAATATACCTTTTATATTGATGTTTCTCACTTATGATTATTGTGCGAAATGACCACTAAGAATTGTGTGAATGGTCCAAAACTTGTGCTAAAAGACTTGTGCGAAAAGTCTTTTGTGCGAAATGACCGGTTACCAAAGCTAGCTATTTTTTCTTTTTCTTAGAGTACATGTATATATACAATGTACTTACTGTTAGTTAACAGAAGTGTATTCTCTTTGACCTTTTCTAGATTACCTGTTAATTCCTTTAAGGCCATTGTAACAAGGGTAGAGCAGGTAATTTCTATTTGTATACAGGTAACATCTGAAAAGGTTTTGGTGTATATTCTTAAAATGAATTACAGTTCATGTTTTACAAAACTTGAGTACAGAAAGGATAAAGATACTTTTAAGCTCTAAGTGAATAAGCTAATTTACTTGCTACAGTAAAAACAGGAAAATATAGCAGTCTTTGTGTTGTGGTCTCTCAAAGTAAAGTGGTTTTAACAAGTGCACCCCATAAATTTTTATAAACACTGTATGATGGACTATGGGCTTATCCATTTAAACATTAATGTTCAGTAGTTGCTTCATTGTACATGCCCTGGTTGAGGTTTCTATGGTGTTTACATAATATGGCTGTTTGGCCTGTTCTTAATATCCTCCTGCCATGAAAAGCATTACAATCCATACAAAGATATTTTCTAGGTGATAAATTAAATTTATTAAAATGTTACATTTTAATTAAAACTTTGCATCTAATTACAATTTAGTTTCACTATCGACAGGAGTAAACCAAATCAATATCCACTGTAAATGCTTTTTTTAAAACTGGTTTTAGGGAAACATTCTGTAACCAAGTAATAAGTTCTTAGAAGCCAGCAGTCACTTATTTAAACTTGTTCATTCAAGTTCTCTCAACAAGTTTTGTCTCTCTGTAAAGTTTATCAGTGTTCGTCTCATTCCAACCAAAACCAATGAGCTACCGCCTGATGAGAAATGCACCTGGTGGATTCCTTCTGCTGTTAAAGTTCTAGCACTTTTGAGTATGGTTGAGTTAATTTTCTTGATGAATAAATTTATGTTAATCTCCTTATGAATAATTTAAAGTTAATTTTCCTCATGAATAATTTTGAGCATTAAATATTCATCGCCTACTCTAAGTACCATAACATAACATGGTAGAGAATTTGGAATTTAAAAAAAAAAAATTAAGTTTCATGATCTAAATAGCCTTTTGTGAATTTCTGTGGAAAGCTATACTACAGATGCTATATTTAAACTGACCTTTTTATTCCTGACCATTGTAATGTGTTATTGTTTAGTATTTAGTTATATCAGGCTGGCATAAACTTGAGTCTTGTTATTTATAGCTGATAAAGTTCTCACTCAGTAATGTCATAAATTCTGAACTGAGCAAGATTGATTCAACATATATTTGAACATGGATTTATTTTCAAGTATTAAGTAAGCTTCATTATGGCACAGCTGTGAGAATAAAAGATAGAGTGAAATTCCAATGAAGGATGCAAGATTTGCCTCCTCAAAACTCAAACACGTACTCAGAACTCAAATATTTAAATATATGATAGAACATTTGAAAACGATAACATTGGGTTAAAAAAAAAAAAAAACAGTAACTGAGTACATCACGATAAGCTATTCTTCACCTTCTGTCCATTGAGGCATTGTGCATTGAACCTTTGATTTTAATCTCTTTGTGGATTATGTAATTTTTAAATTTTGTTGTTGTTATTGCTGTTATCAGATGCCTCTAACTGGCTGTTCACTCCTCCTGTTGTCAACCACAGTTTTTTCTACAATCACTCACTAGATCATATTGATCTGATGGCTGAGTATTATTCGTGGCAGAATCCCACAGCTAATCCTGGGTTAGTAAAAGTTCAATATTGATTTCAGTTCAAGTTCAAATTTGTTACTTGTAAGTAACTTATAGACTGCACTATTCCCTACCCACAAAATAGCGTTGTAGCTAATTGAGGCAAGAGGGAAAAGGGAATTTTAAAGTATTACAATTACAAGCTATCAGGCTGAAGCTACTTAAGAGTACATATGCATGGAATATTACTATTACATACATGTGCAATGTTAAAGTTTTAATAGAGCAATTACATACAATACCAAATAGTAAAATTTGAAAATAAAATTTGAAATAAGTTAATTAGACATTTCAGTTTACAAATTGCGTAAATAGAGAAAAAAATTAGGCAATTTTGGGTCAAAGTTGGTGGTGATCAGGAAAGTTTGTAATAACTACTGAACTTATATATGGTATATGATGAGGAGTTCTTTGTAGCCCAGTTGATATTGGAGTGAATCATAAAATCAGAACCACTTATAACTAGTTCCTCTTCCTAAGTGGCTACTCAGATTTTCTCTGTTCTATACTTGTCATAAATGATGGTAATACTGATTTAATTTTCCTTTTTGGTTTTAGAAAATTCTCCTTCTGCCAGTACCCTTTCATTCTTAGCCTGGCAGCCAAACGTTATATTATGCAGAAGGACTCAGAGTCACAAATGCTTGTCATGGCAAGGGTAAGAACAACCTTTTGACATGCAGATGAATCTGTGATCATTTAAATAAACAAATATATGTTTCATTGTTGCATTTATTTTTGGCTTGCAAATGAAACTGTTCATAAACGGTGTACAAATCGTATGTAGCCAAAGTTTACATATTTGTCTTGATGGGTTGGAGATATGAACTCCTCACCTTCTTCTTAGGGATACACATAGGGGTTGTGAGTCTCTCTTAGGGTGTTCTATATCAGGGTTTGAAGGCCTTTTTTCATCTAAATAGGTTCAGCAGGTTTTTAGGGACATTCTTGATCAAGTTTGACTATGAATATACAACTTGAATTAAATTTTTTAGCAAAATATTTACTTAAGAGGTGCCTATCTTCCCAGTATTTCTCTACGGGTGCCAGGGTTTGCACAATTATTGTGTTCAGGTCTGATTCAGACCTTTTGTGACTGTAAAACTATGAAACTGCTGATTTTTCTGTATTTTTTAGTTTGCCAACGCACCTTCTTCTGAAAGATTCTTCCTACAATGAATAATATTGACGAATGTTGCACTTTTCCATCTTAAAAAAAAACATATTTTCCCACGCTTCAAGAGCTCCCATATGACTTTGACCATCTAGACTGTGATGTGTAAGGGTATGTAGAAGTCTTTCTCATGTGATTTATTACTTGTCTTCTTTTACTTACCAACAGAAAAGTCTTGTGGCCAAAGTTCAGAGAAGAGAAATGCCAGACATGGGAATGCTGTTCCTCAACATCAAAGTTCGTCGCTCGAACTTGATTTCTGATTCGCTGAATGAGGTAGAATTTTCCAACACAACAAGTAAATCTAGAGAATTAATTTATTCAGCTAACAACTATTTATTTGTACTAAGTGATTGCACATGTAGATAGAAACATGTACTTTTATTTGTTGACTGTTCTGCGTATAGAATTGTTTCTGCGTTAACACTTACCAATCATTACAATGTTTTCCTAATGTCTTAGATTTCCAGGAAGCAAAGAGACTTGAAAAAGAAACTAAAAGTCACATTTGCAGGAGAGCCAGGGCTGGATATGGGTGGGCTAACAAAAGAGTGGTTCCTTCTGCTCATTAGAAGAATCTTCAGACCAGAATATGGTAACGATATCTGCGTTTCTCTTCTTCTTTCGTCTCTCGATTTGTTCATTCCCTGTTCTCTGTAGTTTGAATTCTCTCGCTTGTGATTTCCCGCCACTGTGTTTTTTGCACCCAATCTCTGGGACTTAGAAGTTTCACAGCTAACTATTCCTTTCCATGTTATTTTAATCATTAAAGAACCAATCAGACTGCTCCAATCCAGTCCTTTCTTGCTTGCAATTTTTGTGTTCATTCTTTTGTGTCTTATTTTACGGTGCCTTTATTAAAATACGAACTCTGGGGTTCGAGCGAAGCTTGTAATTCTGTTTCATTCTTCCTTAAATCACCATCGCAACGGACACATAACACTAGATACAAAAGAAATGAATCGAAAGACTGTACTGCAATCTCTACTCAGGACATGTCCTTTCAAGCCCTCTGTGATGACATACTTATTTCCCGAGAGGTTCGCAACTTGTTTGATCCACCTCCAACTTTATTCAGTAGCACGTTCATTTACGTTACAGAGAAGCGTACCAAAGAATGTATGGAATTAAATATAAAAAGCAACAGTGAGCGACACTGAACATACCAGTACCTATCAGTGAAGTGCCCCTTTGTTGAAATTCTTGCTGCCTTCAATCACTCTATTATCTATTTCATTGCTATAGGTATGTTTACTTATAATGAAAAGTCAAGAACCTACTGGTTTAGTAAAACATGTGTGGACAATGATTCTGAATTCAACTTGGTCGGTGTTGTATCCTTTTTAGACTAATTCCTGTAAGGTTTAATAATGAACTGGTATTTTCTTAATATATTTGGTGAAGTTTACATGCATGTGTTTCAGTAAAGAACCAGACTGTTTTTGTGGTTTGCATTCTTGACATTAATTGTTGCAATAGCTGATGGGATTAGCGGTGTATAACAGCATTATTCTGGACATAAGATTTCCTCCTTGTTGTTACAAGAAGCTGCTGAGTCCAGCTGTAGTTCCGTTTCACAATCCTAACGCCACAGTTGGTATCGCTTCATTAGGACTTCAGGATCTTATGGAAACAATGCCAGTAAGTTATAAAATAAAAACGTTGCATCGTGTAAACTTTATTTAGTAACTGGAAGTTTGCTCTCTTTAGTTGAGGGCTTTTGCAAGTGCGATGTCCAGGATTTTCGGTTGATTTTTGCGTCGCGAAAATTTCTGTTTAGCATGTACGGAACTAGTATTTGACGACACTCAATCGAAGTTGCCATATCGTCTTTATTTTGTAGGATCTTGGTCGAGGCTTGAAGGAACTTCTGGAATATGAAGGTGACGTGGAAGAAGATCTTTGTCAAACATTCCAGGTTAGTTGAGACACTATCGATCAGGATAACAGGTTCTGGAGTTACATAGAGAGAACAAAGCGGTGATACACAATTGCGATAGGCACATAAAGGGGGAAAGATGCTTTAAGAAAAGAAACTGTTTGCTTAAAGACGATGAGGCAAAATCGTCTAAGGGGATAGCAAATCAAGGGAATTCATTCTAAAGCTTGTAAATGATGAAATGCCAATGCAAAAGTTAATAAATAATGATATGGACAATTAAAGTTTACTTGATTATGTATAGAAAAGACAGTGAGATCTACGAGAAACACCTACATGTAAGAAACGAGTAGAAAGTCGAATACAATGTTAAAAAGAAAATCACTTTGAAGATCAATAGACGTGACAGATTCTCTACTTACTTGTGTCCTATAACTTATTTTTGAGCCCTTGGTTGTAATCATCTTCAGCTTTCTTTGGTTAGACTTTTGACGATGGCTGCTTCATTTGCAGATTTCTTACACTATATTTGGTGAAGTTATCACCCATAACCTCAAGCCAAAAGGTGACAAAATCCCCGTTACTAAAGAAAACAGACAAGGTACATGTATAAACCGTACGTAGTATGTTAACTGTAATTCTTATTTCATCGACCAACCAGGGGCCTCTCTTGCCTCAGCACAGAAGGGTTTCTTCAACAATGTCAAATTACCTTGTGTCGCATAGCAGTAATTAAAATTGTATTCCTCATTGATGACCAAAAGTACTATGCGTTTGATCAATCAAAGTCGCGCGCAAGTTGGTGTGTTCGAAAGTATATCTGAGCAAGGTTTCAGAATTCCAATATGTTGGGCATTTCGTGTGTATAAAAATGGAACATTTTTTGCACGGAGATCATGCTGTAGGTTGAAGTAAAAGGCTATTGACGTCCGCGCAGTGTGTTAGTACAGTCGAAAAGCTGATATCAGTGTACGTTCATCCCAACTCGAATAGGGTGTAGTGCATGTTAAAGCTTACAGTGGAAACGTCTTTCTTTTTTTCAGAATACGTGAATCTTTACGTGGATTATCTGTTAAACAAGTCCATCTACCAACAGTTTGCCTCCTTCTATCATGGTTTCCACAGTGTCTGTGCTTCAAACGCCCTCATTGTTAGTATATCAATTGTTCGTTTCCTCTTACATTTGTTCCACTGTGCAGCTTTTTAGTCAGATGAAGTACTCAAATGTGTAAACTGTCTGCGCTCTGTGACCAAAAAAAACAAAAAAAAAAACAGGCAAACCAGGTCCAATGGTTTGATCTCGCCTTATTCAGAATATTAAACATGGTGACGATTTCGGTAAGCAGGTTTTCAAGCCTGAAGGTTAAGTTTTGAAGTTTCGTTAACTCAAAATCACTTTTAGTTGATAACATGGTAGTTTTCTTTGAAACTAACTTGTTCCAATGGAGATTCAACATAAACTGACGCGCATGTATTTTGCGGCTGTGATCTTAGATGTTACGTTCAGAGGAAGTGGAGATGTTAGTCTGTGGAAACCCTGAACTTGACATGGATGCTCTAAGAAAAGTAACTGTCTATGATGGCTACACCAAGAATGATTCCGTCGTTAGGTATGTAAAGGACAACTGACACAATTCATTCGTCAGCTGACGTTTCGAGCGTTAGCCCTTCGCCAATCGCAGTGACGAAGGGCTAACGTACGAAACGTCACCTTTTAAACTCTTAAAGGTGGCTAATTTACGTTATCAACGCATTTGATAAAAGTAAATTACCCTGTTATACTCTCCCATCGACGCAGCACCACAGTTTTTTAAGAGACTTACCCCCTTATTTATTTGTAGTAGAGATGATGTCTGGCAGGCAGACAGATAGACAGCTTAAATACAGGCAGAGTAACAAATTTAGACCAAGGCAGTCATCAGGCAAAAGGATGGTTAACTCTTAGATCTAGAGGTTGCCAAATCTTCTGCGACAGTCTGTCTCATTCCCTTCAATCTTTAGGTATTTCTGGGACGTAGTTCTGTCCTTTTCTTTGGAGCTGAAGAAAAAACTGCTGCTATTTGCAACCGGAAGTGACCGTGTACCGATCGGTGGGATGGGCGAAATGGAATTCAAGATAATCCGTATGGAAGTAGCCCACAGCACCAGCATGTGAGTCAATCTACACTGAAACATCAGTTGCGAACTAAGTTCGAAAGAGCGCATTCGACTTTTGTTGAAAAACCGGAATAAACGCAACGGTTTCTCAGAGTAGAGGAAATATCAGAATGAGCCGATGAGAACTCAATTTAATACTTGTGTGGGAACTCCCTGAAGCGAAAGAAAAACGTAAATGAAATAACTTTAATCTTGCATCCAGTTGGCTTAGAGCATAGAACGTGTTTTAAAGACCAATCGTGAGCGTATAAAGCAACCCGATGCATTCCAGGATCACAGGCAAATAAAAACTACATGAAAATTTCGTCTGCAGTACTAGACTTCAAGCGTCGCATATCTTTCATAGAAAAAACAAATAGTGACTGATTTACGCGTATCTAACGATTACATTTGATTCTTTCTTTTTAGGTTGCCAATGTCTCACACCTGCTTCAACCAGCTTATTCTTCCTCCATATAAGAACCGAAAGATCCTGAAGCAAAAACTCACTATTGCTATTTCTAATGCAGAGGGCTTCGGAATCGAGTAGTGATCACAATGGAAGGACTTTGTGAACGTCTCATTCTTCGCTTACCATCAGTAGTTATCCAATCCCGCAAAGCCGGACTTGGGCGGGAACAGCTCACGAGACACACAGCGATCTTGTCACCCTTATAGGAATGCATGGACATTTTAACAGTGTAAAACGTGTCAGAAGAATATTCTTTTTCTAATTCCAACTTCAATCAGCGGGACTAATCTTAATGTAACACACTAAGAGTTATGTATTGATTTGTTTACTTTATTTCAAAATTTCCGATTGCTCTGATATTTCCCTTCTTAAAAAAGGAGGACCCAACCGTTTGGTTTGACTGACAATTTCATGCTTTTGCTGTGATCGGTAAGGAAGGAAACGTTTTCAATGAATTGGTTTTAGTGGATCATCGCGCAACATCAGAGTCGATTAAAACATCAGTATTTGACGATTCTATAATCGAAAATCGCCGGTTCAAGTGTACAGTCTCGGCCAAAATAGTGATCTGACCTCATTTGCAGAGTTGTGGCGTCTTCCAAAGGTTGTGATATTTGGTAATTGTTTTGCATTGACTTCTTCAAACGCGTTAATGATTAATTTTTCCTAAGACTTAATTGTTAAGTAATTTGTTTTTAAAAGTGTACAGGTATGACAGTTGTAAACAGTGTATATACCTAGTCTTCATATTGAGATAACGTTTTATCAAAAGGACGATTTGTTTCAATGAGTGAATAGATGTTTTGAATAGTACTTTCTGTTGACAAGGGCTCTTGGTATTCTGGTCACTTTCTTTTAGGAAGTGAAGTAAAACATTTCAAGCGTATTTGATCCTAAATCATTTCCCGAAAATTCATTTGGAAAGGAAACAATAAAGAGTGCTTGCTTGTTAAATTGTGACCGTGGTGAGTAAAAAGCAGAATGTCTCAGTTACGAATGCTAGCTGCTTTCGAAGATGACGTGACTCTTGAAACATGCCTATGAGCAATTCTCACTCTCCCGCAATAATGTTGTTAATATCTGCAAAAGATTGGTGTGTAGCTCAGGGAGAAGTTACAGTTAGTCACTTCTTGGAATTAAAAGTTAATTCTTTACAAACCATTAGCGACCACGCTCTTTGCGTCGCGCCTTTCATGGCTGTTGACGATCAAGCCTTTCCTTGCAAGTGGGTTTAGCTCATTAATAGTACGTAAAGTTTGCGTTTTGCACATTTCGAATAGTTGAGGCGTTCTTGGGCTTGAATATGGGTACATGTTGTTCATGGAATCGGCAGGAGGTCGTGGTTTCAGCGCTGTTTGCATATTGAACGAGGAATTCGAATATTGCCAGGATAGGAGCCGACTAATTCTGCCAAACAAACTTCAAGTCGTCGCCAGTAATTGCGCATGTGTTCTAGTTCTTCCGTTCATCGTTCAGTGCTGTGCACCGAATGTGAGAGCAGTATTGGCAACAAATTAGCTTTAATCGTCTTCATTGTGGAAGATAACACGATTTTCCATCAATGCTACGCGAAAATTACAACTGAATTGCTAGGAAAGTCGAGGAGGAAAGTGCGTGTTCTGCGTGATTTAGTACATTTTCGCAAAGAATTTTTAGAATTTTGTACAGCGCACAAAGTTCACACACGGTTTCAAGGAGCCAATGCGATCAGACCTCTGAAGATGGGAACTTCCCACCAACAGCATACGTTTATGAATTTGCCATTGGGTGGAACAACATCAGCAACTTAGCCAGACGCGGACTCTATCATAAAGGGCGGTCACTGTCGTACCAAGTCCACACGTAAAGCAATTTAATCATTTCAAACGATTCCATTTTTTAAAATATATTTTGCGTGAAATCGACCGTAATTAATTTGTTCTACACATTTACTCAAGTGAACTAAGTAACTATTTACATGAAACCTTGAAACCTTCATCACTAAAACAAGAAAAAGCTACAAAGGTTTACTTCTCTTGCTGAATTAAAGCAAAAAAAGGGCAAGAATGTACGAACTAGCGGGCGGTAAACAAGATATGAGGTCACTTTCTACGATTTCCTACACTGTGTTAGTAGAAGGAACCCTTCCAGCGAACCATATGCTCTGAATTATTGGTTTTGACTTAACCAATAGAATCACCCAGCCCACGGCTCTGGAATCTAGTTCTCAGTCGTCTTGTCACAAGCGTGGGACAAAAAAAAAAAATTTTGAGTCCCCATGAGGATCGAACCTCAGACCTTCGGATTCCGCACTCCGATGCTAGTCAGAAATGTCTTGCTTTCACAGAAATCTGGAAAGACATTCTGGAAAGGCATTCTGTAAAGGAATTCTCCGATAAGAGCTTATTTGCTACCGTAGAGAGAAAAATCAACTTCATTTATTACCCTTACTCGTTTACTTTGTACTCCAGTTTTCACTGCTACCTTAGCAAATGCAACTTACTGCTCCATAGTGCTCTACGGATTTAAATCTTAACTTTTTCACTGCTACGAAGCGAAAAGCTCGTCGCCTTTCTTGTTCTTAAAAAAAATAAATGTAACTAGTTTAACTTAAAACCTGGTTGGCTATTTTGTGCCATTCAGTTGCAATGTGTCCGAGACTTCTCTTTAATGGAGTAGAGCTTAGATAGAGAGAAGGAAAAGAAAAGGCAAGATAATGCTAAAAAAACGTACAAAAAATCTGAGATGCTAGTTTTTCTAGTTATTTCAACCCAGCTCCAGGGTTTACATAGAATCTCTTGTGCAGTTATTTAACTTCGCAAAGCCTCCAGTCGAGCCTTCATGTCCTCCATTTCACCTTCATCATCTGATGGAACCATCGCTGCTGCCCCTTCCTGTTCTCCCTAAAAGAATGGGAAAGAATTTTAAAAATAATCATGTCATTCTAATCATGTTGTTGTCTTCAAGAAGGAAAAAACAATTTTTCTACCACATGCAGTGTGTGCCCTGACTGTCAGTTATATTGTATTTTGTTCAAATGAGAACAAAAAGACTGTTAGCAGTCATAATAAGCCATGTAGTTAAAAAAACAAGTCAAACTGAGGCTACACATGCATGATTACATGTTGTAATTAAAAGGAAACTTGATCAAAGGACAAAATATGCAAAAGAAAGAAAACATAAAGCAGTTTCATCACAGTACAACACCATGTGGAAAGAATTGGATAAATACCAGCTAATCCTTGAAAGAGGAAATAAACCAGTTTGTTTGGCATTCCCATAAGTTATGTAATGGTACAAATATGATAGGATTGACTCTAATCAGTGATGCCCAAAGGAACTTTTCATATCACAATACTTACCGGTAGTGTATCTGAGACATGCCCAGCTTGGCCAAGGGTACCTAAACAACAAAACAAAAACTGATTAAAATACTTCACACTTGTGCTGTTTGAAAGAAAGAAAAACTCTTACTACAGTAATACACACTCTCACAATTACATGTATGTTGAATTGATCACTAAAACTGGCTAGTAAGTAACCAACAGAGATTAAGTGATTCAATAACAGAACTGGCAATTACTTTGTAACAAATGAAACAACAACCTAACCATAATCAACTCAACAATTAAAAAAAGAGCAATTACAGTGTAGTAGAATTCAGGGTTCATGAATGATAATCCTCCTGGTTCTAAGTGAATCAATCAGCATTGACCATATTTCTTCCACTCAAATTCAGCAGCTCAGTGGATCTTTCTTTTTTTATTTTTTTCATGCTCTAAGTTCTCCACAGTACATGTCCTTTTTGCATTATAAAACTATAAATTAAAATACAAAAGCAAAATATATGACCTTTTGTTACTTCAAAGAGAATTTTATCAACTTCTTCCTGAGCAGCCTCCTCCAGATCATCATCTTCTAATACTTCAAATGTGTCTTCTAACATCTCTTCAATTATACCAGCCTGCATGGAAATAGGTTTAATGTAATTGAAAACACATGTTAACCCTTTAAGTCCTACTAGTGACCTAGACAGAATTTCTCCTTACAATATCAATACAATATCTACCAGATAAGTGATGAGAAAAAAAAATATCAATTTGGGGATAATTAATGGATCCAATACTAAATTCTCTGAACTAACATTATGAGAATTGTATGGTTGACAGTGAGGAGAATTACAAATTTGATCTAGGCCTAAAAGGGTTAACAGTTACCACACTGTCAACTCTAAGTTTATAATATAGCATAATGTAAATCTAGAAGAAATGCAATGGTATGAACAGCATCTAGAGCAATGCATACCTGAAACCACATACTTTAGAATGTGATTGGGAACTGACAAATTCTAGTCAAGTTAAAATCATAAATCTAATGAAAGAAACTATTCTGTTATGTCTCTATAAATAGAAACCTTCCCTCAAGTTCAAAACAGCTTGAAGTTTGTAAGCATGCACCAATAAATGATATACTGTTAATGTGCATTGCTCTCAGTTTGCTTGCACAGCTTCTTTGTCTTCTTCTGCGCATACCTTCATCATTTCTTTAGACATTTCATTCATTGTGGCCTGTATCTCTGGCACTTTCACCAGTTGCTGCATATATTTCATCACCTCACTACTCTTTTCTAGGGAACCAGCCATTCGCAATGTAGCTGAGAAAAATGAGTACAAGTAGTGAAATTATTTTTTAATATATGATAAGTATTCTGTAAGTCACTAATCATAATATATTCTCTTGTTATTCAAACAAGCTCGTGATAAGGGACCAGCCATTCAAAGTGTGGCTGAGAAAAATGAGAAGTATGGTGTCTTCCATTATAGAACCAAATACAATAGAGCTGAAATTTTACCAGTGAGTATATAAAATTCTACCACAATGATTGAAATTAATACTTGGTGCAAATTTCAAGTCAGTTTGGGATATAAGTTTGGTAATTTAATTTTTTCACATACTAATAAATACAAGATTACATTCATGGAACTTGTTTTTGTACAAAAGCAAAAGAATGTCAATTCTTGCAAGAATGACACAGAAAAAGATCATCACTCATTTTTCAGTGATGCTTCCCTCTGAAATCTGAAATACAATTCATGTACATGTACATCTGGAACTGTTTTATTTTAGTTACCTTCCTCATACTCACAAAAAAAATTCAAAAATACAACCACCCTTGCAAAAAAGAAAAACTAATTCAATCTATAGAGAAGATGAAATTTAGTCAATGTTGATACACCTTTTTCTATGTACTAGAAATAAAAAACTCAATTTACTTCCTTACAGAAAATTTATAGTCTCAGTACCCTGGAGAACTGCTACATATAGCTAACCCTGGAAAGTTGACAAAGGTTTTGCTCACACTCAGGGTGTTAAAATGACTCACCCAACTGGTTCTTCATGCTCATCTCTACAGAGTTCAACTGTGCTTTAGAGGAATATATTTTGTTGACAGCTTTTCTAGATCTTATAATTTCTTTGGCCAATATTGTACAAACATCCTTGTGCCCTTTCTTTGCAGCGTCATTGAGAGACCTTTTAGCTTTTTCTTCCTCTCTTTGAATGGCTGCAAAAACAATAATGCATCATGTTTTGAAAAACAATTTCCAATGGTTAAATTTAGTGGTGAATGGCTAGGAATACCTCATTGACATTTTCTGCATATCAAATTTAAAAAAGATCAAGCTTGCACTTACCTCTGATTTGTCTGTCAAGAGCACGACCTTCTTTCCTCAAACCTCTGCACCATTCTTGTACCTGTACATTGTAAAAAGACCAAGTTACACTGTGTATTGACACTGATTTTTGAGCCAGTCACTTCAAGGTTTATTCATTTTTTCCTGACCAATTTTTTTCTGCCTTGTTTTGGTAGCTGATAACAAATGTTAAATTTTAAACATTATTAATACCAAATGTTGTTCTGCTCCAAGTCTCTGAGGTTAGCAGATTTGCAAAAGAACTCTGCACTTCAGGATGAGTATCTGCAAGATGTGTGTGGTTTTTGAAGGACTCCTGCCCCAACCTTATTAACTTACCAACAATTTGGCAAGATAAGAATTGATTTTGATTTTTCACTGTTAAAGGGTTCACCTGAAACATTCCAAAACCAATTTGAATTTTAATAATGTTCTCCTTGTTCAAACAGAACAGGAAGCCATCACTGTTGTTTAAGGCAAAAGCATGGATCTTATGTTAGAAAATATTTACTACTTGCTTTAAATGCTTAAATTTGCTTTGCATCCTATTTTTCTTTGCATAGTATTCATTATCTTTATCTGAATAAAAAAAAAATAAAAATTACACTTAATTAAAAAATTTCAAAATACAAAGTAGATAACAATTTGCATGAACAACTGCCTAAACACTGCATACCTTCTGAGCACTACATGTCTAGTGAGAGATCACTAATAAAAGATAACAGTGATGTGTAATTGGATGTAGTGTACATGTACTGTAGGTTAATATTAGTGAATACACCTGTAAGTGTAAAGATCATTTTTCAATCAGTAGCAAGTGAATATGTAATATTTTGATACAAATTATCCTGGATCAATTGCAGAACTACCAATCACTTAAATCCTTTCATTCCCAGGAGTGACCTGGAACTAATCTCTCTGTCCAATGGTTTTATCATACTCTATCTAGCAGGCAGGTAATGAGAATAAGGGTAAATGTCAACAACGGAATTCATTTGATCCAACACCAAGTTCTTAGAAGCAACAATTTATGGGAATTCTATTATAGATAGTGAGGAGAATTACTCTTGAGATCTTGAGAGTGAAAGGGTTAACACTTTAACCCCTAAGAGTAACTAGCATCTAATTTCTTGTTACAATATCACCCATAACTTACACATTAAGGTCATGAACATAAAGGAATTGATCACCATTTAAAGAAGCTCTTGATTGTTAAACAAATTCTCCTTGTGAGCACCAAGTCATGGTTGGCAGAGAGATGTATAAAGAACAGTAAGGAGAATACGCATAATGAAGTTAAACTGTAAAGGCCTGAGAAACTTCAATGTATCAGTGCTAGAAACTGCCACAAACAGGTGTATGTATATGTACCATTTCTTGTATGAAGGATCTTGGTATCAAAAAAGACATTAATAAGAAAATTCAATACCTCTGGTATAAATATTGTTGACAAAGTAAGAAGTCCTATCTGTTCTCAATCATAATCAGTAATCTACAACACTTGAGCTACATTGAGGGCCGTCATCATAGAGTGGTCACAGTCAGTTACTTATAATTATCTCGTAGTTTAGTTTGCAAATCACATATCTTCAACAGCCTCGTATAAATTAACATTGGAGTTTGAATTATGTCCCATAAGTAACGTTCCCTAAAGCTGACGATCGCAACGAAGCTCCGTTGCTTTCACTGGTGTAAAAATCGAAGTTGTCAGTTTCATTTTGAAAACTCAACATGCACTGTACTGCATGCATTATAAGCGAGTATCTTATCGCCTGCAACGGGCTTGGAGCGTGGCGATACAAGTGTTCATTCAGATATTTCATCTCCCTCTAATACTTTGTAATCGAAAAGAAAAAGCACATACGGATTTTACTTGCCAATATTAAGCTGAAGTAAATAACAAGTAACATATCACATTTAATGTGATGTTCCTCAGTAGCTCTAGCATAAAAGGATCGTAAACGTACGTAAAACTCCATATAAGCTAACAAACCTGTTCTTTTGGTGCTTTCTGCGGGGTTTGTCCAAACAATCCCATCGTAGTTTTCAGCAAAATAAGAAGAAATGTTTAGAAATGGAACGAGTATCGTTCATTTCCCCGTAGTTTCCTAAAATAGCAATTTTTGGACTCGTGACGTCACGGCTGTAGTCGATTGCGGTTCGGAAGGAAACGAAGCGTGCAGCGAGCAATTATCGACAAAATTAGTGGCATTGCCTAGTGGCACGACATGGCGGCTGCTTCGATCTTCAAAGATGTTCCTGGAGTTCCTACAGATCATGTTTTCTGTGTCAATCAGATGTACAAAGATGACCAGAATCCCAATAAAGTCAACATGGGAATTGGAGGTAAATCTTACTTTAAAAATCAGACAAGGCATATGAGCAGATATTAATATTCATTAACGGTCTGCTAATTTTAAGTTAGTTCGATATCCTGTCTTGGGATTAATTAATTTTGCTTCTCTGCTGATTTATCAAGCTTATCGCGACAAAGATGGAAATCCAATGGTACTACCAGTGGTTTTGAATGTTGAGAAGCGACTCGCTGAGGAAATCGCATCGAAAATTCTAAATCATGAGTACTTATCAATCGATGGTCTAAAGTCCTTTTGTGATGCGGCTAGCAGACTGCTTTTGGGAAATGACAGCCCTGCGCTGGTAGAGAATAGGGTAGGTTTGATACACACTTAGCATAAATTATCTCCTCTCTTTATACCATGGGAACTAGGGCTTATAAAATGATGAAGTTCAGCTCTATTACGTCATTGGCGGCCATCGCCTCGTCTGTTTGTTTGTTTGTTTGTTTTTTTTAAAGCGGGCGCGGGGGGGCCTAAGCAAAATTTGTCAGCAGGGAGGCCCAATATCAGCATTGCGGGCATGTAAATTCTTTTGGGTTGTTTCAGTGCTACCAACTGAAAGTTTTTTTGTTTAGAGGAGTACTAAAATTATCAAACCCTTGAGACAGGACAACACTTTAATATAGTTAACCCTTTCACTCCCAAGATCTCATTTACAATTCTCGTTACTGTCTGTTATATAATTCTTGTGATGTTAGTTTGGAGAATTTGGTATTGGATCAACTAATAATCCCCTAATTAATATTTTTCTTTATTCTCATCACTTGTCTGCATGATATTGTAAGGAGAAATTCTGTCTTGATCACTCATGGGACTTGAAGGGTTAAGACAGCTTATGCCTGGGAAACTATTGTTGTCACAAAACTTTCCATGAAATATGGATTATCTTTCTGTGAGTTAAGCACTGATCATGAGGTATGGATGATCATTTTTAAATATTGTCAATAGAAGGTGTGGCAGTGTCTTTGGAGTGGGTGGTAGTTGGGGTGCTGGCAGTGAATACCATGTCATGATTTTGTACGATTTCATTGTGAAATAAGAGAATGTGTTATTAAGATTGACATCTTTGAAGGTGTTTTGCCTAGATATTTTTCTCATTAAGCATTACAACAAAAATAGGTTTATATTACAAGAAAAAAGAAATCAATTGAGACAAAAGATAAAAGTGAACTGGTCTTCAGTCAGAATAATTGTGAAAATGAGAGAGGGTTTAATGAAAATCAGTTAACAACAATCAAGTGTTTCATAATGTTTCAACAAGCCAGATTGGTCAACTGAAAAGCTCAGGCTGGTGATTAAGACATGCCTGATATGACAACATGAATGATGTATAAACCCTGCAAAGCATCTTAATGAATTACACCACTTAAGCTTAGTAAATACAATTTAATATCAATTGTAAGCAAAATTTTAGAAAGGTTTATGCGTCAAATCTTGACATGTAACAAGAACAAGTGCTAGTCTACTCTGAAAAAAATTGAATTTAACATATACCACTTCTCTTCAGCCATACAATTCAGTCATGCCTTCTTTTCCCTCTAGTTAGTTGCCAATTGGAGCCACTAGAGACTATTAATAATAATAATAATAATAATAGTAGTAAAGGCTTTATTACAGTGTATCCATAGAATGGCTCTTCACCCAAGTAAACTAAGTTAATCTACACTAAAAAACTAACAAATTCATGATGATAATGTACAATTAATAATTATAATACAAAGCATTTGGAATTGAGACCGAAGCAAATTATGACAGATGAGATTTCAAAAAAGTAAAGGCGTGCTTTGAAAATGATTTGCTGTCCACACATGATTTTGTCCCTGAAGGCAGCGAATAGAAGATCCAGGCAGCAGTGTCCTAAAAAGTATTACTACTAAGTCCTTATGCTCTCAGTTAATCCAGTTCAGCTGGGGTGTTGACCTTGGGATTTTAAAGAAATCTGAGAAAACAGTACTGTAAGGAATAGGCATAACAGGTTTGATGAATTTATTTTGTTGGCAATACATATATGTTATTTGCCGGCTGGGAGGTCCGTATGGTGAAAAACTGTGACCGAGGTCTTGAAAATACTGCCCGAGGCCGTAGGCCGAGGGCAGCATTTTCAAGACCGAGGTCACAGTTTTTCACCATATGGACCGACCCTTAGCCGGTAAATAACATATTTATTGTTTTTAAACTTGACGAAATTCTTTCCGAAAGAACCCGAATGATTTAGGGCTGTAAATACGGCAAGATCTTCCATAAACTGAACAATTTTTGAGTGAGGAAATGGTATTTAAAATAGAGGTGATGCAAATTAAAGAGAGATGCCTCAGCGAAACATTTTCATTTCCGTAACGATAAAGGTGATTTAAAAGGCTTCGAAACAAACTTTGAAACATTATTTTTACAAGTATCTGTCACAATCTGACACCTGTCAATTAGAGAGCACGCAAGAGAAAAAAAGCGTAGGAACATTTGAAAAACATCAGAACTAGTTTGGCAAGGGCTGTCACGACAATGTTTTCTTCAATGATGTCAATGATCTAACGGAAAGTATTATTCACTCTCATCGACCATTCACTCATGTACGAAGATTTACCTCTGTTCATTAAGTAAACGGCGAGGAAAGTAATTGTGAGTAAATTCAATTTTTTTACTTTGAAGTTGTGAGAGTTTGCTGGTTTGTTTGCTGCAATGGCGTGTGTGACTCTGGTCTTTCCTTCACAAAAACTAAATTCGAACGGCACACTCCAACGAGACACAAGGGAATTTAATGCGGCCTTTTCTCAAAAAATTCCTTCAATTTCTGTTGTGCAATTTATGGTACAAATGTCTAAATTGAAGGGAATTGGAAAGACTTACCGGGAGCGTATATTTGTTGTAGAACTTAAATTAAAACTTCGCTCGCTCTTTCACTACGAACAAATTGCTCGAGAAAATTCAGATATTAAATGAATGAAAGTTCCATCGTTCAGTTTAACTGTAACCAAATACTTCACGTGTCAACTTTCTGGGTACTTTTTGTGAACGATTAAAATTAATTATAATTGCAGACGGTTTTTAGGCCGCTTGTCAACTTCGTAATGACACTATTGTTTATTCAAATTCATTCTGAAACCAATATTTTTCTGTCAACCAAATTGATTTGATAGAGAGAAAAGAGAGGATTCATAAGTTATTTATCGGCTTGAGGTAGTGACCGACGTGTTTGCTTAAAAATACTGCCCAGCCGAAAAACGAGGTATATTTATGAAAAAAATGACAACGAAAGTTGGGATGCACTCGGCGACTCAAGAAAGCGTTACCGTGGCCCGTGGGCAGAGATAGGAAAATACTGACCGGGTAAAGAACCAATCAGATTGCAGGATTCGTTACCGTGCCCTCTAAAAAAACAATAATAACTTTTATTTAATATAAACTTCATGAAAAACAAAGAAAAGAATGAACTGACCTCAATTTCTTTTTTTCCCAATAACCTTTTTGTCAACATCTGTATACGTGTAATATCTCACACCAATGCTTCAGTGCTAGCACTATTCTCTCTTGTTTGTAACCTCGTGCTGGAAGAACTTTTTTGTCTTGAAATGTTATATTCATCTCTTTGGACAGGTTTGTTCAGCTCAGGCGATCTCTGGCACAGGAAGTCTTCGTCTTGGGATGGAGTTCTTGAAGAAATTCTACCACTCAGAAGTTATCTATGTCTCCAATCCTACATGGGGTGAGTACTTTCTTTTTATTAATAATTTTTAAATGTGATTATGTTTGTGCTGATGATGTTTCGTGTTGGCAACAGTAGTGTAGAGGTGACCACTAAATGGAGTTGAAAATTATAGTGATTAAGGAAAACAAGTTCAGGACGTTGACAAACGACCACTTAATACAGGGTGACTGCTTAATAAGATGCTGCTTAATACAGGTTCAACTGTAATGTACTTTTTCCATGGGAACAGTATTGCAAGGGCTTCACTAATAAACACCCACCTACTTTGTTATGGAGAGTAACTTTTACTCCTGGAAATTATAGGAGCATTGATAGACAAAAGTACTTAACAACAATCACCTGCTCTACGTTGGAGGGGATGTTTAACTCCTGGAAAGTAAAAACATATGCAGTGTGTATCAACCAGATTGAGAATCTTCATTCAATCTAGGAAGATAACAATTGGCCATGATAGAAAGCAAATTTCTCCTTTTAAAGGGTTCAAGTGAAAATTAATGTATGAAAAAAACAAAACAAAACATGATACATTTTTTGTTATATCTTCCAAAAAGGCCTCTTCTAGTGTTTCTGCGTAAACACTGATTATCAGGCTGGGACAATCTGAAAAATTGCATGGCTTCTTGGAACAAGAATAAGCCATTTACAGCCCTCTAAAGCAAACAAAGCACATTCTTATGTCCTTCCTTGATAGTGGAGACCTTTATGGAAAGACTTTTAAAGAGAAGGTCTACTTGGCCACAGATATTGCAAAAAGTGTCATGGCTATTATGCTGGAAGCACATCCAAACATTCATGATCATCACTCCATCTCTATATTGGAAGCCCAAGTGAAGCCCTTTTATCTCTAATTCAAGTACACACAAATGTTTAGTACTTGTGCATCATAACATTTTGCTCCATTTAAGTTACACTGTAGGTTTTTCTTTGATAAGAAATATCACTTTTAGTGCAGTGAAATTCTGATGTCTACTACAATTGTGTTTGTCTTTCACATGTTTGTAGGAAACCACAAGAAGATGCTCTTAGCCACTGGTTACAAGGCTGAAAACATCAAGGATTATCGTTACTTTGATAAAGCAACAAAAGGTTTGGATTTCCAGGGCATGTGGGAAGATTTAGAGGTGAAAATGCAACATAATAATTTTTGTGCTATAGAAACTAAAGTTATAGATAGAGCATTTTTTTTTTATCTTAAGAGGGAAGAGGTTGGGGTCTTAGATGGTAAAATGCTTTGAGAAAAGTAAAGAGCAAAGAGCAGACTAGTGTGAACAAAGTTGAAAGTTAAGTATTAGGGACAGAGTTGCATGGAAAGGTCTGTTCAGACCTATCTGGCAATTCTCTGGGTTACTGAAACGACTTTGAACAAAAATTATGTTTAATGATTATGGGTTTTCAATGCGTTACATCTTTGAACCCTTCCATGTGAATAGAAATTGCTAATCAGTGCATTTTTAGCTATGTAAAGTATGTATTAGGAACTGTGCAAAACTACTTGCGCATCTGAACATCAATTCTGTCGAAAAGAAAGACATACTCTACTATAAATGAACTTAGATGGAAGAAGATGGCTAAGAATTAAGTAGAATGAACTTCAAAAACTTATCCTCTATTTTGCTACCATTGTTTTTTCCAGAATGCTCCAGATAACTCAATAATCCTGCTTCATGCCTGTGCACACAATCCAACTGGAGTAGATCCCGACCAGGAACAGTGGCAAAGGATTGCTGAGATAATGAAGGTATTCTAAACTACTTATTCACATATTAATCAGGTGTCCCAAATAGTTTCAAACCAGTCATTACACATTCATATCAAATACATGCCTATGTAATTGATATGAATATTTGATGCTTAAGCTGTTCAGTGTGTTGTGCTTCTGTCAGGGAACGTGGATGGTACAGCTGGTTAAGAGAGCTTGTACCTTGTTATCCTATCAGTCAGCTCCCCTGGGTACTGTGGTACAACTTGTACTGGGTACTTGGTACAAACCCCCCCCCCCCCTTAAAAAGAGTATTTCAAAATTTTGAATTGATGCTTTGAAGAAACACTCCATTGCTGCATCTCTTATGTTACTTTATAATTTAATAGTTACTTAATGGTGCATTTGGTTTTTTTTTTTACTTTTTTCCAGAGAAAAAAGCTGTTTCCCTTGTTTGACATAGCTTACCAAGGATTTGTGTCAGGTGACCCTGATGAGGATGCTTGGGCTGTACGCTACTTTGTTAGTCAAGGATTTGAAATGGTCATAGGACAATCATTTGCCAAGAACTTTGGATTATACAGTAAGTACTTGTGGCAGGTGGTTGACTGTATTTGTGAAAACAAAAAGATACAAAGTTAATTGATACCTCCTCCTTTCCCTTGCTTCGTAATTTCACAGTGCCAGGTATCAATGCAGGGATACTCTGATGTGTGGCTGTTAGGCAATAGCCTGGTTTACCCCATCTTGGGCGACACTTGTTGTGGAATGAATTTTAAAGCTATCTTTGCAATAATGAGTACCACTTTAGCAGTAGTGAAAACAAGACCTGAAAAAAATTCAGGCCTGTATGGGATTTGAACCTATGACCTCTGGGATACTGGTGCAGTGCTCTAACAACTGAACTAACAAGCCAACTGGGAGCTGGTCATTATGTTGGTTGGTAAGAAACCCATGATGAAAAGTGACTGTAAATATATGAAATCATGTATGTAAACTGTTGTTCACAGCAGCAGCCAACTGAAAATTGTTCATTGGCATATGCTTCCCTATGAAATGTGAATAGGGGAAAACATGAATAATGAAATGCCCTTACATGTATGACCCAGGGCTTAAAGGGGTTTTTTGAAGATAGACATAGGTTTATGTATTATTACCTTAGAAACAGCTTTTGATGGAAGCTAAAAGAAAGATTACTATTTAAACACTGAAAATATAAATTTTAACTAAAGTATTTGTTCAAAGCTGCTAATTTTTCTTTGCAGATGAGAGGGCAGGTCATACATGTGTGGTGACAACAGATAATGAAACAGCTGAACGTATCCGTAGCCAGCTCAAGGCAATCATCCGCCCAATGTGGTCAAATCCACCCAATCATGGTGCACGTATTGTAGCAACCATACTGAACAACCCAGCCCACGCTGCCGAATGGTAAGAACGATCTGTTAGCTGAGAGCCAAAATTTCATCACTGTGAGTGTTAATTTATTTTTTCTCACGTGGATCAATTTTCTCGTTACTTACATTGACCAGGAGGAAGGGGAAGATTTTCCGGGAGTCTGGCACTAATTAGCAGTGCCAGATTCCTTCCAGTTTTGCCAGAAATCTCTGGTGATTTACCAAAAGGACATTTCTTATTTCAGATATGTTAATTAATTTGATATTTTGTAACTTTTAGGCGCGAAACTTTAAGGACGATGGCTGGGCGTATTTTAGAGTGCCGAAAACTCCTTTACAACAAGCTGAAAGAACGTGGAACACCAGGAACGTGGAACCATATTGTGGACCAGAAGGGAATGTTTGGATTTACAGGATTGAATGGTGAGTGGTTTTGTTATATGATTGCATGGTTTGCATAAATGGAGACTTCTGCAAACCTTTGGTTAAGGTTATGAGTTAAGTGTCCCATTACTATTGGAACCTGTCCCACTTTTTCTTGTTTTTTTTTCTTTTGTTGTTGTTGTTGTTGTTTTTTTTTTGTTTTTTTTTTCCGCATGAAAGGAGTAGGGTGCTCTAACTGGAAGTCTGTAGTTCTAAAAGTCTAAAAGCCTACCTAAGCCGTGGCGCATACAGTCTGGAATACCGTGACCAGTCCATCGCAAGGTTACTCCTCAGCTTTCTCTCAGGCTTCCCAGACAATCCACTGGTCCCATTTGCATTCCTGGGTGGAAAAAGGCACTGTGAGAGGAAATTGTATTGCCCAAGAACACAACACGGTGGCCAATTTACATTATCAACTACATGTAGTTGATAAAACCAAATTATATATTGAAAGAACTTAAAGAGAGAACTTCCTTAGTTAAGACAATTTGATAAGTACAATTTTTCAAGGGGGTTGTCAGGGGCTATATTCTGGGAAGTCTTTCTTGGCAGTATTGTTTACAGGTTTTCTTTGCTGGTGTCTTCAGCGAACAGTTTTTCGTAGCTCTTCTTTAGGTTTGCTATCTAAGTCAATCAAGAAATGGTGTACTCGAACCTTCATGAACATCATCGCAATTTAAAATGTCATTGAAAAGAGTTTTCAAAAATTTTTATTATTGTTCCTGTGAAGGTACAAGAATTTCCTTTGTTATTCGTGATTGCATTCTTTATGATGCAGCAATTCACCATTTTGACATCAAGGAAGATGTCTGGCAACGTTTAAGGGGAGTTAAAAAGGTTTCATGGCACACCAGGAAGTCCTTGCAAATCTAGTTTATCTACTGCGAGACAATTTTCAGGGGGGTTTAACTGAAGTACCAGTAGAAACAAGCGTGATTTCAAATGATCATGTTGTGTTTCTCTGCAGTAAAACAAGTGGAATTCTTAGCCAAGTCTTACCACATCTACTTGCTGAACAGCGGACGGGTAAACATTTGTGGGATCACTCACCATAACGTCGACTACATCGCTGAGGCGATTCATGAAGCTGTCACCACAGTTACCGACTGATCAAGTCTATAGCTTTTGGTTGCTGGTTATTTTTGTTGTTGTGAAAGCTAATCTGTGTGAAACCTGCGTGCGTGCGTGCGTGCTGACACATCATTCACGCCAGTGTGAAATCGCCCAAGAGGTATTCGTGTGAATGGATAAAGCTGACAGTCATCTCAAAATTTAACGATTTGTATTTACAAGGGACAACGTTTGTCAATCAGACAAACTGAAATGCGGTGTGATCACTTATATTTTAATCGTCCGGTCAATTGTGGCTGATTTTATTTACAAAGGAGGGTCTCATTTGTATTAAAATTTCCCTACTGGGTGAAATATCAATAAACCTTTCACCTTCAATACAAAGTTGTTATAGCCATTGTCAGGGCGGAGCCTGTAAGCCGTTCAGTGATTTGATGCAGGATAAGTGTTGTGATAAGTTTTGACTCCAAAAAACCCACTTATTATAAGAGTGCAAAAAAGACAGGGTGAATGACATGCGGAGGGAACGTGCGTTACCTCCATGAGAGCTCTTCTTGTGCAAATACAAATGTTTGGAGAAATAGTAAATTTTCCAATTTGTTCAGGCAATTTCTTACGCGAAACTTCGTTAATTACCATGACTCTTGCTCGCTCAATTTTAATCTTACCAGCTCATGAGCATAAATGTTACCTATTAGTTCAATAGAAATAATATTCAGTAATTATCTTATATTCACTTCGTGTTTGCTACAATAAAAACATATCGCGTTTAGCTGAAAAATGCTCATGAAATAACATTGCCGTGGGCACATTGTTCTCATCATAAGAATCTTTTTACGCCCTGAAATATGTGGTCGTCATGTTGAAATAAAAAGACGTACACATCAGTAGATTTGCAGGTTCCTCGTGAATCCTTTCGTAGTGCTTTGTTCCCTGTCAACAACATCTCTGCACACAGTTTCGGGCACTCTCAGTCTCTTGTTGGCGAGACATGCCTTTAAGTTAGCTCATGAATAAAAAAAAGTCCAACGTAGCCAGCTAGACAATCAAATTGTTGAAACCGGCATTTTACCCTCATCATATAAACAAATTCCCAAATTTCATAATGTAATAGTTGTAATTACCATAGTTGGCCTGGATTGGTTGTGAGCGCTCCAATCAAGCATGTTAAACATACCCGAACAAAGAGAAAATCACAGAAATCACAATGAAAACCTTGGTTGATGTTAGCAAGGCAGTAGCGTTACATAAATCGTAGTCGCAGCAAGTGATATCACAGTTTTCGGCTTGGCCAATGTACTTGCAAGCCACTGTGTTACAAAAATCTGCTACAAAACATCCTCGCTCATAAACATCAAACCTTTTTCCACGGATGTCGAATGTTGACCTTGTCTTTGCGCAAACATCTAACCATGGCTCACAAACGTATTTTGTTCGACTTGCATCACATTGAGTCCAGTTCGAGGAAGAATAACATGTATAACACGTCAAAGATAAACCTAAAATAATAATTTAAAAAAACTCAGTAAGCAATTTGATCCTCAAAATATGGAAACGTCGAGACCTAGAAAATATTTCCAAGACAAAAAACAGGAAAGGAAAAGCCTATGAAGAGAATTCCGACATGGATTCTTCAAATATCATAGTATATATCTCCTCTCTAACGTAAGGTTAGATTCTCATTACCTGATCAAGGTAAATCTATACTGACCAGTAAGGTGGATACACATATCTCGCTCATTTAATGAAGTTATGAAAACGGCCACCTGCCTTCGTTGTGACAGTTTCTAGAGTATTCTGGTTAATATGGAAAGTTTAAAACTAACATGCAAATTTGGCTGAAGCGTTAACAAATTTTTATTCCATCGCATCTATGCATCAATATACAAAAAGTGGAATTGACTTTAATATCCCTATGTTATCTTGAATTTTTGAAAGATGAGATCCTGTAAGAGACAGTGAGTAAGGTGATATCTGGTGCTGGTGTGAAAATAACGGTCGTGAGCCTGGATAATCTGCATCAGTATCACCCTCAGTTTTGCATCCGAGATATAAACTTGTTCTGTAATTATGATTAAAGAGTATCGACCTCAGCAAAGGTCTTCCACATGGGCATCATTACTATTTAGCTGTTGAAATCATACCTTAAGCCATATCGATTAACTGACCAAGACGTATTATAAAAGGACAGTTATTAAGTTCCTTACAAGCTATTGTTTCGACAACATGCTGTTAATCTCTGTGGTAGACTCTTCAATCCCCACGGAATCTCCATTAAACATGTATTTATGGGTTTTAACAAGCCTTGACTCCAGTGTTAAGTGGCATGAGGAACATAAAGTGAAGCTATCATTTAACTGTTCCTTCAAGTCGGTAGAGATTGTTCTAGGCCGGCTTCAGCGCTTAAAACCGATGAAGAAAAAAAAAACAGTCCTTCGATGTAGATTAATTAAGTGATGAAGGCTTATACTTTACCTTGTGCATTTGGAGAATTAAAAAAAAGGTAATATGGTGCAACCTTCATGGTCGCGACCATCTAGGTTTTTGTATTGAAATGCGGAGCTGTTATAACCTTGAAATTCTCTTCACAGTGCGAGAGTTACATGTCCGTCCTTTACATATTTAGACAGTAAGTCTTTCATTCTCGATCTTTATTCTATTACTTACCAACTTGTACAGTCGCCGAAAAGAAAACATATTTAACCAGGTCATGCATGTTAACTTGTGAGTAGAAATTTCTTCTTCTTTCTTTCACGGTGAATGTTGAAACCGTTTTGACAACGCCTAACACTGCGAGGTCTCCTGACCCATCAATCCTTGCGCAGTATTTTCGGAAGAAAGTCGTCGTTGCTCGTAGCAGATAATCGTACCCGAAGAATTTCCGACGAATGCTATTGGATAAGCATACTCTTGAACATGTTTGTCGGAGGAGTTTATTATACTCTAACGCAATTAGCCACCAATTGCATAGACAAGAAACAAGGAGTGGGAAATCACCACAAGCACTTTAAAAACATAATGAAAACATTAAATAAAAAGGGAAGATATATTCTTCGCATTGTGGGATTAAATAGCTCAGTGCGGGAACATGAATGATGAAACTAATCCCGAGTTCTAATTGGCCACCTAAGCGAGCAAGATGAACTATCTTGGAACACAAGTAACACAACACCAAATAAAATTTAAGTTGACCAGAATATTCGTTATAGAGTGCTGTGTTATGTGTCAGACTTGTAAATAAACAAGAAGGAATTCGACTTTTAAATTTTTAATGTGACTTAAACAGAAGAGTATTGTTACCTAACAATCATCAATAACCCCTTACTGACGTTTTATACAAATGAGTTTATCTGTTGTTTTGTTAAACTTAATTATTCGCCCATGGGGAAACTTTTAATCGAAGCGGCAGATGATAAGTTTCTTCTCATGCAACAGCCATCTTCATTTGCCATCAAGCCTTTTTTATGAATGAATTTTGAATGCATTATGGATAAATTTTAGAAAAAAAATTTTAAATTTATTGTAACATTATTTTTCGTTCTTGTCAACTAAACTCCAAACGGTCGTTAATGCAAATAATAATCAAGGTGGGTGCATAGTTATTGTATTTGTGTTGTTAGATCAAAACAAATTTAACACTTTTATATTTGACATCCCTCTTCAACCGTTAGTATAAAGCTATGGTGCGTAACAGCGCAAGTTAACAGTACATCGGTAAGTAACCGTAGAAAATCAACTTTTTCTTGCTACGTCATGATTTGTAAGTTTTTGCATTAAACATTAAACAAAAGTAGGAACCTAAATTAAAATTATAACTTACTCACAGTATTAACTTACATTTCAAAATCAGCAAAAGAATTCGATCGTAACTGAACGAACTTATGTATGGTGACATAACACTTAACTCTTTCCAAACTACTTTGCCTTCGTTTACAAGAGTTGACGTCTTTTTTTTATTATTATTCCCGTCTCTTGGGTCTTTTGTAAGAATGCGGACTGAAAGTTCATTCTAAAACTCATCATTTAATCAGAATTATCCTTGATGTTTTCCAAAAATACTCGCCCTCCTCTAGAACGTCTTTGAATGGCAGTAGCGTACAGGCGCTATATTACTATTAGTTTGCGATGTTATCTTATGTATATATATATTTGAAAATTTTAATCAAGGATTTATTTAGTTTATGGTTTCGTTTCTCTTAGTTCTAACAGAAGAAATTGGCCATCAGCTTAAAACTGCCATGCTCTCAAAGTATCGGAATGATTTATGGAACCAGAATGCTTGTGTGCTTCTTACACTTTTGTTCATGGTAAGATTTAGTTATATCTATTTTCGTGAGGAATTAAGCGATGGCCTTACCTCATTACACAAAATGAAATTCAATTTGGATTCTCTGAATCCAAAACTGTTAACTCACCGGCAGCTTTCTCTGCCCTAAATGAAAGTTTAAGTCAATTATATCCCGAATTTGACTAGATTACTCGAGGTTAGAAGGGTTTCAGCGCAAAAGTTTATCAGACTATGCTTATGTTATATGTTATAAATATTTTATTATCAGTAACAAGGTCAAATCACCCTCGTCGCTCTGAAGTCAGCATGTGACCTCTGTAGTTTAGTGTTAACAGTAAGTACTTATTTTCATGATGCTTGCCGTCAACAATCTGGGAATGTTAAGGGTTATATCTTGATAGGAGGTATTTTGGAAAGCCTCTAGAACGGTATGTTTCACAGTATGTGGAAATGACCCGTCAGGGCTTTAAGCATTGCCTTCTTCAAAACGGCAGGTATATAATTCTAATGTTGCGCAAGGTTAGAAGGTATCTCAACGATAGAATGTCTTTTATGATCTTTTGCAGTTCATCGAAAGTGGAAGTGCTTTTCAATTTACTGGTAACTTTCTAACTGTATACAAAATATTAAATATCCATAATGAGTAATCTTTCATGGGAGAGGAAACGGCATTTAAGGCAAAAGCTTAAGGCGAAGGAAAATGATGAGAGGAATTCATGGTCTCTAAATAAAGGGCGTTATGTCATCTTTAAACAATAAACTGAACTTGCAACAGGTGCTCAATGACTGATTTTTGCCAATCATCTTTAAGAGCACTGACACAAGGCTGACGTCAAGGAAAAACGCTTTCTTTGTCTCGTTCAAAGGGGTTTATATTTTATAAAATAATTGCGAGACTTTTGAAATTAAATCAAGAGTAGATCTCCATTAAGTTTAGCAGGAGCTGTTAACAACCCCCCCAAAATGGAACAAACCTTTAAACACTTAAGCGCCACGAGGCTGTTGATCATATCAGCCAAATCAATTTCCGATGGAGAGTATCTCGATGCCATTATGGGTCAAAGAAGATCGCACGAATAATTGCGATGAGATTATCAGTAACAAACTCGCTTGCAGCTGATCTGCCGGCCCTTGTTTATTTAGCGGGGAGCCCACAAAAACTGGTTGAGAGTTTGAACATTTCAGTCCAAGAAATGGTTGGAAATTTCGAAAGACTTCTCAACACAGTGTTAAATTGCGATCAATATTCTTGGGTGTTATCGAAAAAAAGGTTGATATTACATGGAATTCTAGTTTGCTGCCGAATCCTTGAAATGACAAAAATTCGTCGTCCTCAACAGAGAAGCATAGAGCATTCCAAGTGAAATCAATTTTATTATGATAATAATGGGAAATACTCTTATCGATCTAATCTTGTGATATAAAAGCTTTGCAACATATTAATACAGCTCTGTTTATTCTCCGTTTGTCTGAGTTTCCTGAGGTTTGTTCCTAAGGTATAACTTATGTGTTAAATCTCATTCAAAGATTTTGACATTATTTATTGTCAAACTGAACATGCGCAGCCAGGAATGTCTGATTGTTTCATCCATTTTAATGAAATTTGTTCTCAGAAAACTGTAACTCTGCATTGGGAATGGAAAACTTTGAAATCCCTTCAGAATCTCTTCAAGCCTCCAGATCAACGGCGCACTGGGAATACTATAACGCCAGAATCAACGATTCAGTAACTGGCTGGTGTGTCGGTAAAGTTAGCGATCAGGAATGGCTTCAGATTCAGTTTAATGGCAATCATTACATCACTGCTGTGGCGAATCAAGGCACCCACAGAGGCTTTGTGATTGAATTCACTTTGGCTTTCAGCAGAGGACTGGATTGGTTCGACTACCACGAGAACGGCACTATCAAGGTTAGAGTCAAATCCTATTGTTAACGATCCAGCAATTAACAAAGCCTTTGTTAGCTCATTTAAAAGCAAAGGCAACAGCTTAAAGGTCATCAGGAGCCACAAGAGATCAACAGTCCAATCGGATATATGTTTTGGGTATCATTCTTTAGTGGGATTCTACGTGAGGTCCTTTTAGATCACTTTTAGGACAGAAGCCGTACCGTTATCTCTTTCATGTTGTAAAATGAATGACTTTATTTTACTTTGTAATTCTGTATTCTCGACAGAAATTTATCCGCAATAATACAGCTGACAGAAGGGAAATTGTGATGAATAATCTCTCCTCTCCAGTTATTGCAAATATGATTCGAATTTACCCCAAGCGGTCTATTGATGACACTTGTTTACGCCTCGAAATATATGGATGCCAAGGTAAGTAAGAAAAGCCAACCATGAAGAAATGATTAGAAGAAAGCGACATCAAACCAACTAAAAAAAAAATTATCTATGAGAGGGAAAAAGCATTCCGATTAAGTTGTTCTTTTCGTGTTATAGGTTCTTTGTAATGTAAGTTTTTCTGTATCATTTTGAGATTAAGAAGAAAACTTAATCGTGTTTTGGTAGAAAACAATGTAGGATTGGTAAAAAAAAAGTTTTAAGAATACTAGATAACGAGAAGTCCCTATTTATCGGCACAGTATGTCGCACCAGTAAAATAAATTGGCGGAAAAAAAAAAAAGAAGTTAGCGCACCGTGCAGAACTCTGGTAGCGAGATGCACGAAATGTGTGTACTCCCAGAGCTTCTCACTTATTTTTTTTTCCTCCCACTACAAAAGTTCGCCGAAAAAGAGGGACTACCCGTAGTCCAACATTTTTTAAACTTATTTTTCTTTTGCGTGCGACACGTCTATCAAGTGATGTCACAAAAATACATCGAACAGTGCTCACACCACAACACAATAGCTAGTCATTGAAAGGTCGTTAAAGAATAATGTGGGTGGTTAGAAATCTTGCTTGGATACGATGAAGTCCGTTTCGTTGCAGCTTGTTTTAACCCATTTGGCATCGCGGATGACGCAATTCCTGATAAATCTATGACGTCATCGTCAAACCTTGGAGCTGGTTTTGAGGCATTTCATGGCCGACTGAACCGCGCGTCAGGTAATGGTTCCTGGTGTAAGGGAAAGCTTGATATATCGTCATATCTTCAGATTGATCTCGGAAACAGGTTTCAGGTCAGCATGATAGCCGTGCAAGGAAATCGTCTTTACGAGTGGGTAACTGTTTTGAAGAAAAAAATAAACTGCAGGTAAGTGAGTTTATTCTTTATTGCTTTTCTGTCAGTTAAACCGCTCTACCTAATGATTTTTGATGGTTCGCACATTTAACATACCTACTTCTTTGGTACGGCGACATTTAAGGAGCGTTTGGTCCAGTCATGTTCCGTAATTTGGCGAGATGCAGTCAAGCCAAATTAAACATGGATACATCAAACAAGCCTGATGTACCGCCAAAGCATACCAACTTGGACCCGTATCTGGTGATGTTCTTAGCGCGGCAGTTACGTTTAAAAAATCTGTCAGGTATTCTAGAGGGTGGCCCGCGGGGAGAATAGAACTAGTCAATAAATGGTGCCGTGACACGAATGCGTGACACTACGAGTTTCCTTCCGGTACAGCGAGCAACGCGATGAATCGTGCATATACAAAAATTATCTGTCAAACCTTTCACTGCAACACTGCCGAGGGCATTTTAAAAACTAGAAAAATTCGGCAAATTTTACTGCAAGTCTTATCTCGAGGGAACCAGCACATAAATAGTGTAGTTGTCTTCAACTGCATGCGTTCAGCCGTTTAAAGCAAGTTGAAGGAACTCTCGAAAACAGAGGTGAAGTTTACATTTATGTTGACATTTTCAACCGTTCCTGTACAAAAAGACCACTCGGAGTTTCATTACTCTTCAATGAATTCTATGAAATGGTGGCGTTGAGCACATTGCGATGAGTTAGTTAGATGGGTGTAGTGCTTTCTCTAGTAATGTGAAGTATCTTTCTCTACACTAAAGCAGTTCTGAAGAAATGAAAGGAGGGCAAAATCTCACCGCCGCCAACGGAACGTCAGCTAGCGTAGCTTTAGCGAATAACACAAGTGAAAACAGTTCAACTACTATTGCACCAAACGTTACCACGATCAACAGCACTTCATCGAACTTCACAAGTGGAAATATGTCATCTGTTAAAACAGAAAATGTTACATCCGTTAACAGTCAAGGAAATGTTACTCTCAACTCTACTGGACAAATATGTTTTAAAAAAAGGATAATTCGTTCTAAAGCCTTTGTGAAATCGTTTACTCTTCAGTACAGTGACAATGGTGAACTTTGGAAGACTTACCACGAAGGAGGGAATGTCAAGGTATGTGTGCTAATAACATGTCGAGTCCTTGGAACTCACCCAATCACACTGCAGCTTTGTGAGAAGCTGCTTGTATAAATCAAGCTCCTGAAACCTTTGTGGTCGATTAGAATCTGTTAAATGGGAGCATAAAGCAGATTATCTCAAATTAACTAGTGGTATTTTTGGTTGAAAAAAAGTTTGTCGTCGAGCACTTTCGCCCAAACAAGCATTCAAATGAATTTTATTTTCATCCATTTTGTAGATATTTGAAGCCAATAATGATGCCAATACAACGGTAACACTTAAAATATCAAGTCTCTTAATCACTCGCTACATTCGAATAGAGCCTACAAGTTGGAAGAAAGAGGCCTGTATGCGTGTGGAGGTCTACGGTTGCAAAGGTATAGTAAACGAACTCCACTCTCCCTTTGGGAGTGACCAGAAGCTCTGAGAGTTAAATTTTTCATCCCCGATGAGTAGTTCCAAATGGTAGCCCTGGTTTCCATGAAAAATCACGTGGGAGTGCTGTATGTGCTGTACATTTCATGTCTTTCAAAAGGCGAGATTGCATCTCTGAGATTTTTACGATTTCTATATCACGATTTTGCCTCCTCGCTTTTTGTATTAATACCGTTCTTACAATTAGAATATTATATCAGACGTCTGTAGACACACAAACGTAATATTTTGTCCGTGCACGGATAATGATGGAGTCAAAGTTAGCAGCATGAATTTTCCACAAATCATGAGCAAAATCAATCCTTTTATTTTTGTCCTTGATATCATTGCGTCCAACCTTGAGGAAGTCAGCCTAAGCTTTGTGCAACTGGCTCAAATATCTCTGCTTTTTGTTTTCTCTCTATATAGAATGCACAGGCGACCTGGGTGCCGGTTCAGGCGTAATCCCTAACAAGGCTATGACCGCCTCCACCAACTTGGGTCCAGGCTATCAAGCCTGGCTGGCACGGTTGTATAATCCACACGGAGCCTGGTGCTCAGCAACGAATGATGGAGATCAGTATCTTCAGATCCAGTTTCCACAGGTTCGCATGGTTCGTCAACTGGGAACGCAGGGTTCTGTTGTTAAGAGAGGATGGGTGGCAAGATACTCGGTTAATTACAGCCAAAATGGAGAGGAATGGAAAGAGTATACGAATCTCAAAACAGTCGAGGTAAGCCATGATGTCATAAAACTATGGTTTGGAAAATAAAAATGAAAGACGCATGTAAGTATGAACACATCAACAACGGTTATAAACACATCAACAGCGTTTGAGCCCATAAAGAGTGATTCCCTTTTATCAGTAGTGAAATTTAAGGTCGCAAAAACTGATTGAATTCCCTCTCTGAGGAGCTCCAACCAAAGTATAGAACTTTGCTTCCTCTTCTCAAAGGCTCTTTTTTTCATAGATATTTGATGGAAACGTGAATGAACACGAAGTTGTGATAAAAAACTTTGTACATCCTTTTGTTGCCAAGTTTGTCCGCATCCGACCTGTAGCGTGGCATAATGCTATCTGCCTGAGGATAGAACTCTACGGCTGCCCAGGTAACGTTTCTTACATAAAATCGTGGCTAGGGGAATCATAATCCCTTTGGAGGAGGCTGGCTGTCCATTTTATCTCAATTTTGTATTTTCTGAAGTAACTAGGAGCCTGGTTACCACCTCTCTAAGATGGAATGCAAGTATTTGAAAGGTTATCCAGCATTTTGCCAGGTTTCCTTAGCCATTCTGTGGTGCCAGCGCGTGTTTCTGAATAGGGTTTTGTTCTGTTGATCTTGTCCAAGAGCTCAACATAATGATCTTGGCTGGGCCTCGAACTTCGTTTTTTTGATCTTTTTGATCTGTTGTCCATCGCTAAGTGTTTGCCCCTGCAACTCTCATAACCACAGCACTATAACAGACTAAATTGGCCCGGATTTAGTCTTAAGCACAAATACGGGCGCAAACCAACATACACAGTTTCATAGAGCTTTTATTAAGTGTATAGTGATAGAGCTTGTCCAATTGTGATTATGTCTCCTTGAAGATTAAAAATAAAGGCGAAACATGTGACAGAAAGCACGGTGAAACAGAATAGTTACCTTTATTTACACAGAGGAGGGGGAAGTGATCGAAAAAACACCCGCAAAAGCTTTTTGAAAGGGATTTGTGTTGATAGAGGGTAATTTGAAAGTACATTCATTCTACCGGCTCTATCTTGTCTTAATCATCATAAGACTTAGGATCTTTCGATGACTTTCCCTCGTAGCTTGTGACAATCCTTTAGGTATGGAAGCACATGAAATTTGGGACGGAGACGTAACAGCAAATAGCTACAAAAGTCTTTATGAACCATACCGAGCTCGGCTTAATGGCGCCAGCGGATGGCAGGTCCAAAGCGATCGTTCTAACTCTCCTTTCATTCAAGTAAAGTTCGGGAGTGGTGACTTCACGCTTACAGGGGTGGCGACACAAGCCGTGCACAGCAATCTAGTCAAGTCCTATACCCTCTCGTACAGTTACGACGGCATAGATTGGGTGGATTATCGAGAAGATGGAAGAGTTAAGGTATTTTAACGTCCCACTTTCATAAAATTAAAATTTGGCGAGTTCAGAAGGGAAGGAGGGGGTAATGGTCAATTGATGCATGTACATGCCGTTACTGTCTTTCAGTCAAGTATTACATCGTTCAGAATCATTGATATTTTTGCTGGCATATAGATGAAAAATATTTTTGGAAAATACAAGTTTACATTTGTAGAATATCAAATACTTTCGCCCTTAGAATATATTTTTTTGAACAGATCTTTGAGGGAAACAACCCCTCCACCAAGACTGTAAAGCACGAATTACTTAGGGACGTCATCCCTCTGTACATCAGATTGAATGTGAAGGATTCAACGTCTGCATACGCTGGACTTAGATTAGAACTTTATGGCTGCAAACGTAAGTACATAATTATTCCTGTAATTTGTTCTGCAGTGGCTCTCAGCCCTGGAATTCGAAGTACGAGACAGCAGATCAACTGATTGATCCACACTTGAACTATTCCAAAGACTGGTGGTGATCGCGGTTATTTCTAAGAGCGAGTCATCTTTCCTCGGTCTTTTTAGTTTAATTGGCATAGATGAACGGTATCTTGTAACAGTTTGAGAACTGAACTCCAGCATGGGTGTTCACCTTTCTTTAGTGGGCTCTCAAATTCATTAGGAATAAAACTATCACCTTAAGACTCTCTCGAGTTTCATTAAGGAGCGCCCGTCAGCGTTATAATGTAGCCACAGTTTACCCAGCACCCCTCTTTGATTTAGTTGGAAATGGATGGGTAGGGGGTAGTGAGAGAAAGGCAAGAACTTTATTAATTCTACCCTTCTTCCTTTCGCCCATAAAATCTACTTTTCTTCCCAATATCCGTTATGTAGGGATTCCGATATAAAGACCAGGTATGTTGCGATTGGGTGGTCGCGTTCCGAGCGGCGCTCGCCAAAAAAATTGCTCAGGGAAGTAGTCGGTTTCAATCATGTCGAGCGAGCATGGGAATCAACTCCGGGATTTGGTTGCGCATTATATAATTACAGTGTGAAACTGTTGTAAATACTTGTGAGAAATTTTCATTGTTTTCGTTCAGTGTAAAGCACCTATATGTATTTTAACAGGTTGACAGGAAGAATGGGTTTTATAGATATCAAGAAACAATTGCTGGAAAATGATAGGGACGTATTGTGGAGGCGTTCAATTATGTTCATTTAAGAAAAAGTTGAGTTAATTCGTTTTACAGGTTACGTTGTTGTCAATAACAACGATGCTATTGGTCGTCCAACATCTCAATCTGGAAATCTGACAGACACCTCTGCGCTTGCAATCGATGGCAACAGAACTAATTACGCGGCCAGTTCCTGTTCATTTACCGGCGAAACCGAGATACCCTGGTGGCAAGTCTATCTGCAGTCAACGAAGACCGTAACAGGAGTATTTATCGTAAACAGTGGCGACGAAAACTACCGAGAGGTCACAGAACTATCAATTAGAGTCGGCTTTATACAGAACAGAGGAGGAATTGGAAACCCGACGTGTGGTGGACAGTCCCATTTTTTCTCAAGAGGCGAATCCAGACTGGTTTCCTGCGTGCCGGAAGTGGAGGGCAGATTCGTAACCATATTTGCCCTGCAAGTCAATTCATCGCTTAGCCTATGTGAGGTGGAAGTTGAAATAAGCGATATAGGTTAGATTGTCAGTTCTTTATCTGGATTAATTACATCGTGATTGATAAAATTTAACCATATCAATGCTGAAGGAAGCCGATCGTCTGCTGGTGACAGCAGACGCTGCTCGAGGGCAAAGGTTGCTATGTTGTTACTCGTGAAAAAATCCTTGAGTAATTCACCTCAGACTGTCTTAGTGTTAGTCAGTGTAGGAACGAGATTAAACACAGATAACGTAACAAAACCGTTGCATGATACCTGAATTGCTACGACCTTAGGAAGAGTTGTCATTTCCCATTAATTTCAGATTCAAATAACTTTTATTCCGTTCCTATTCAATGCGGAAGAACAAGTGATTGCAAAGCAAAAGCTCAAGGAAGGATGCATTTGTATTATTTAAACGATTTTTTGATCAACATTGACAACCAACAATATTAGACAAAACAGCTTTGACTTTATCCACGCCTCCCCTTTCTTCGTATACTTTGTATAACTAAAAAGTACAGATCGGCATTAATGTGGCTATCATAGTTTGCAAACTCTTGTCTTTTCCAAACACCGCGTCCCCGTAAAATGCTAATGATAGTTTATTTCCTTCTTTCGTGCATTAGTCAGTCAAGAAGGTCTGGGAATGTTCTCGGATCGTATCCCGGATGATCGCATCACTGCCTCGTCTTGGCTCAGCGCCAAACATCTACCACGTTATGGGAGACTGGACAGGAACATGGGCCACGGAGCGTGGTGTAGTGCACGGAACGACGCTCAGCCTTATTTGGAAATTGACGTGGAAATCGAACACATGATCACTGGTATTATTATCCAGGGTAAACATCGGCTGTCCTCCGATAAGCTCGGATTTGCTTGGGTTACCGAGTTCTTTCTGTCTTTTACCGCCAACCGGGAAAACTGGACTTTTGTTACCGATGTTAAGACCAGCCAACCTATTGTGAGTAAAATCAGCCGTACGGAAATGTCTTATTTAAAGCTAATTTTGTTTCAGGATTTACAGCCTGGCAAGGCTTAGACAGCGCGTCTGCTTTTCCTTAATAACAGAAAAAATATGCCGCAATCAGCTCAACCCTGCAAGACACGCGTTTCTCCTTCCTCGGGAAGATTTGAGTCGAATCAGTGAGTGCTTCGACGGGGGTCTGGCACTAATATCAGTGCTGGACTTCAAGACCTCATACTTTCCACGGCCGAGGAAACGCTGGTGCCGAATGCGTAATAAAAGGGGCCTGTTCATATGCTTGTAATGTTCAAAAAGCAATCGTTACTTCGCAGTCATCACTTAATATAAAGAGGTTACTACCTAACTCTTATCACAGTCTTTTAAGTCTCTCAGTTGTTGGTCTTAATGTTGAGGTCTCTTCGTATAGTCACTGATTTCATTTCTCGAATACAGGGAACTTAAACAAGAGAGGATTGTTGAACCCACCTTTTCGTAATTTTCCTTTAAGGCGTAGCATCTATTGAACAAAATTGGTTTTTATTATAAAGAATAATACTTTCTTCTTTTGCTAACAGTAATGATGATAATTGGACTAAGCGCTCTCTGAACGATTGACGAAGATTTTAATGGTCGCTTACTATTCGCTGTTGATTTCTTGTTTCAGAGATTTCTCGGAAATGATGAAGTTAATTGGAGAAAAAAAATCGGACTGCTCGGGTTTACTGGCCGCTATATTCGCTTTCACCCTGAGAAGTGGATTAACTTGCCTTGTCTTCGGGTGGAGCTCTTGGGAACTAAAGGTGTGTTCTTCTACTGGGATATACAGTCAAGTACACTGTTGAATCCAGCGGCCCGAAATACAAACTTATTAATCTGGCTTTGTGTTTCGATCATTAGATCAGATAACTGTAAATTTGTTTGCTCAGATCATTAACCCATCCACTTCACCTTAATCGTTTGCTCATTATAATTGTGGTTTGTCCTTCGGATATAGCTAATGTTCAGATAGTGGGGCAAAAAGTCGACATAAAATGAATTTAAGCAAAACTTCTCCAAATCAATACACATGTCACTGTTAATCATGTTTTTTTTTAATCATAGTTTGTTCCGCTCCCTTGGGAATGGAATCAAGACTAATACGAAACTCGGCCATTCGTCATTCCAGTTATCATTCATATTACTATGGCTATCAAGCAAGGCTCAGAAATAGTTATTATTGGTTACCACAAAATGCGGATGAATTCGCCTTCCTTAAGATTGATTTTGGGGCTTACAAACAGCGTTTTACCGCATTGGCCATACAATCTGGGGGTGGTGGCTTTGTGACCAAATTCAAATTATCCTACAGTGTGGAGGGCTGGTCGTGGAGGAACTGGATCGAAGACGCTCGCGAACAAGTGAGTAACCTGACATAAACGTTCTCATCTTCTTTGTTTCTAAAAAGGAAGGTTTTTTGTTGATGAATCTCATTTTGGTTCCCTTTTCCCATAAGCCACTTTTTGGAAGCCATGGAAGCAGATGTGCCTTCATGACCTCGATCCAATTATTAGGGAGTTTAAGAAAACCACGACGGCAACGGGAACGGGAACGTCATTAAACAAAAGGTTAAATGAGCAGAGCAATGGCTCTGCACGTACGTTATAAATCTTTGTAAATCTCTTTGCGTCCTCTGCAAAACAACGTGAAATGACCAAACTTTGCTTTGTTTGGAGAACGTGAACGACGACGGATAATTTTTTAAATTTCTATTTCTTATTTGACGCCATGACGTCCACGTCTCCGTCGTCGTTTCTTAAATTCCCTATTTTCCCATTAGGCCACCCACTTAGTCTGTAAGTGCATGTTATTCTTGATAGAAGTTATATTGGATATTGCTCGCCATCCCAAAATCGCAATGCAAAAAGGCTCCTTGATCTGTTAGTAGTTAAGGTTCTCCTTGAGATCATTGATATTTGTCATCCTTCTCTTTTCATTGCCTTCTCAGATTTTTTATGGAACTAAAAACAGAAGAAGCATCAGGAGATTTTTTTTGCCATATTCTGTAGAAGCACGCTACTTACTAATTAGCCTTCTAGCTTATGTCGGAAGTAGGGATACTCGTATTGAGGTCTATGGATGTAAAGGTTTGTGAAAGACAATCTATCTGTCATGATATGAAGGCCAGGGATGATCTGAAGGATATAGCGACCAAAAACCTTGTTATTTTGGTATTTCTACTGTTGCGTTACATTCCATTGAGAATTTCGTGGTATAAAGTTATTGAAACCATAAATTCAGTTTAAAAAGGAGACGGATTTTGAAAACTATTAAAAATGAAACAATTTAATATTTGAAATTGGAATCGTAAATGGGCCAAGTTCATATCACTTACACTACGTCTTGGTCTTACTAAGTCCCTTTGAGAAAAACTTTTCTAACAATCCTCATCAGTCGTATGTCCCCAGGTCTAGTTCCTAAAATTACCGCTGAATATATAGTGAAACTCTGATACGGGGTTGATCTTGAACTAACTTGAATAAATACTGGCAGAAAGATGCTTGATGTGTGACCATGAGATGATATAATGTGAGCGCTAAACAGGCTACCTAGATCAGACTTGTGAATGAATGCACACTTGTGAATGAATGCACAGCGCATAAAACCTTATCCGACAAAAATAAGTTCAAGACCGGATTTATCGATACTTAGAATTTCAAACTGCAACAGTAGACATCACTCAGTGTCTCTCTGGAATAATACTCACATATGGTTAATTTTAAAATATCAAGTTGCCTTCATCTGCAAGCACTCGTCCCCTGTTTCTGTAACATACAGCGACCAGGAGTATGTTTACTCTTCTCGGTCAGGTGTCTTTTACCGTTGTTTGTTACCCATTTCCACTCCTGAGTAGAGAGGGAGGTTGAAATAGGAAAGTTCCGCGCCTCAGAACAAATCCCACACTCTACAAAGTTATTTTATCGGTGACTTGTGCAAAGTTGTATGATTACGTGATAATTTTCTGTCATTTCGTCCTTGTTCTTAATGAAAATCAAAGGTAGTAAGATTATTTTCACTACTGACCTTCAAACAAATCCATTTTAATGTCGTCTCTTGCCAGGGGATTATTCTGCCCTTACGGTGGGAGTTCAGCGCATCGACAAAATTGCCAATTCTTCTATGACCGCCTCAAGCTGGAAACCTGGTTACTACCCTTATGCAGCGAGGTTGTACAGGTCGATTGGAAGTGGTTCTTGGTGTGCGGCTGCTGCCAAAAAAGATGAATATCTGCAGGTGGATCTAGGAACACAATACAACTTGGTCAAAATAGGGCTGCAAGGTGACGCTGCATCGGGCTCAGGAGTAAAACGGTTCTACATTGCTTACTCCGGAAATGGAGGAAAGTGGACTGATTACATGATACATGGAGTGGCAAAGGTAGGAAGAGGGGGGGGGGGGGGGGGGGGGAGGAGGAGGTGTAGTCATGTAAAAAGTGAACTTCACTCGAGAAATTTCAATTTTATTCATGTTGTTTTTTTGCGTCTGAACTTGTTGAAGACCAACACTAGATCTATCAATGTCTTCTAAGTATGAATACATTGGAATCAGTTGGCAAATAGTATATACTGGACAAATCACAATTTTTCTTGGGATAAAAGCATGGTCTTCCTGATCCTATTGTAAAACAACTCAATAGACAAAAGAAGACAAAAAAATATGATTATATGAAAAACGAATGAAGTTGGTGCCGTCTTGCAATCAGCACTTAATGAATGTCTTGCAAACCTTTTATTGCTTCTACTATAGTGAATTTTAAATTCGTAAACTTATCTCTGGTTCGATTTGTTTAATTGTTAGTAATAGAAGGCCTTCCCGATCATTTTCTTGACTTTCAGCAATTTGAAAGTGTCAGTGGTGACTCATTACTCCGAACCGTTTTTGAACGAACTTTTATCGCGAAGATGATCAGGATTATCGTAAACAGCTGGAACAATTGGCCGTGTTTGAGAATGGAGCTGTATCATACGGGTAAAACAATGAGATCTTCTTTTGTTCAAAAGGCGTCACTATATTGATAACCTAGTAACAATCAAAACATACACTTTTGGTTTATTCTGTGTAGGTTGTAAAAACGACTTGAGCTTCAGTCTTAAAGAAGCCAAAAATGGAGGATACACAGCATCAAGTTTTCTTGGACCTGGGTTTGAGCCATGGCGTGCAAGCATTCTCATTTCAAGCAAACAACATGGCTGGTGCGCAGAAAACAGTTCAGCCTCAGAGTATTTGCAAATTGATCTGGGAATTCTTCATCAAGTCACTGGAGTTTTGACCAGAGGAATCGTTGCAGGGGTTTTAGAGAAGGAAGCCTGGGTGGAACAATACACGATTCAATACAGCATACTAGGAGATCACTGGATTGATCACAAGGAGGAAGACGTCGTCAAGGTGAAGTTTTCAAAGCAATAATTCAAATTTGGTTCGTTTTTCGTATGTACTTCTCTCAAAAATCTTAGGTGCAAGTGCTGTGGCATACAACAACATATGAAGTCTCGGAGTGATCATAGTAGATGATACCTTTGAATAAAAACAATGGAAAGCTGAACGCTTTATCACTTAGCATCAGTATGCATATTCTCCATACTTTTCTCTATGCATTTCCTAAGGTGCTGACAAGGAGAATTTGATTATTGATCCAGAGCTTCTTCAGGGGGTGATCATTTCCTTTATTTTTGTGATTTTAATGTTTAATTTAGGGGGATATTATAAAGATAAATCAGATCGTAGTAATTCTTAGAAGTTAATCATAAAATGTTAATGGTTTAAAGATAGATGAAAAAAAGTTTTAGGAGGACCTTACATTATTTTATTGATATCTTATGAGGATTTAGGCGAATTTTAAAAATACTTATTAGAAGCATCATATCGAAGGACAATGAAATTAGCCCAGAACCAACGGAAGAGGATCTCAATGATGCAGAATCTCTGACGGTTGAATACACCTTTACAATATCATTTTCCAAAAGAAAAGAGTTTGAGAGGAAAATCATCCCTAATCTTTAGCAGTAAATCTGAACAGAAGAACCTCCAACGGAATATTGACCATTGCATCATTCATTTCTCTTTTTTCTCTTGGTCATTAAACTATGGACGCTAAATTTTATTTAGTGCCTAATGAAAAGACGATGATCTTTTTTTTCGTGTAGTTGCTGAGCATGGTCCTACTCTGTAAGCGACATGGGGTTTTTTTTAACATTTTTTTTTTTGCTTGCACAACAGACATATGATGCAAATGCAGATGCAGTTTTTCCAAAGAGCCAGGTCACCAGTTTCCACGCCCGTTTTGTTCGAGTGATTCCTGAACAGTGGCATTTTAGACCATGCATGAAGTTGGAACTCAAAGGCTGCGAAGGTGATTTTTTTTACATTTTCTATTGATCCTTTTGTGTGACGCGGACTGTGGAACACATCGTCAGAGTCAATCGAGGAGTTGATTATCAGTCTATTTCGTTTGAACGGATTGGTCAGTTTTTTTTCTTGATGGTATTGGCTGTGAGACTTGGCTGTGATTGTTAGTTAAATCGTTCTTATCATTGCGTAGTTTATGTTAAGTATGTTGACAATATTTGTCGACCTTTTTTGAGAAGTTTAGCTTCCTTAGCGCCTGCCTTGAAAGCAGGTCATGCCGTAGGTTTGACACACTCAGTCCCATCCAATAGTAAGTTGATGTTTCTAACTTCAGGTTTTCTCGTCTCGAGTTTGTATTCTGTTAGTCTTACGTTGAGGTTTCCAGTCAGGGTGATTCAGGTTGTTTATCAGTGGATCCTTTCATCACTTTCCTTTAAATATTAACCACGCTGTATTTGTCTTACAACGTCATTGGATCTTTTGCAAATACGAATTCCTCCTCGCCTTTTGATAAACTTTTTTCATTTAGAGTGTTCATCCCCATTGGGAATGGAGCATGGTGAGATCAACAGCAACCGAATAAAAACATCAACTCCTACCTCAAGATCTACTAATTCTCGACTACGCCACGGATATGAGTTTTTGGCTAGTTTCTCCTGGGACCCATTTATTCAAGTTGACTTAGGGCCGGAAAATAAACGACTGACGGCCTTTGCTTTGCAAGGAAGGGATAACACTTACAATACTTGGGCCGTCTACGTGAAATATGCAATCGGGGATGGGTCAGAATGGTTTAATTATACAGAAAATGGAGAGAAAAAGGTACGATTTACTTAACGTTGTATTATATCATGAATTCATTGCGGCCAAAAAGTTTTTTCCTTCCGCACATTTGCTCAAGTGTTATAGTATTGCAGCATCAATAGATGTCCATGGGTGAGACTTGCTGCTACAATGACTAATGTTTTATTAGTGCACCATACCGAGAAACTATACACTGCTTTGTACGTTCACAATTTCCAGGAAAAAAAGCTTTAAAAAGGACAGTTGCACTTTGTTGGTTCTTTTGTTAGTATCAAAAAGACTAGAATAAATGATAAGACGTGGGAAGACCACCTTAAGTCCACGATTAGCGACCAAGACTGTATGCGAAGTCTCCTTAATGTTTCGACTTAGCTTTTATATGTTAATTCTTTCCCAGTTTTATTTTTTAGCACTGAAGTTCTTCTAACACTTCTGATTCTATTCCACTAATCCTTTAGCGTCTTATTAACGCAAATAATGCAGTTATTATAGCCATACTTGACAGGTCAGCTGACATCAGTCAATTTGAAGAGGAATTGAAAAAAGGGTAAAGTTTAGGAAGAGACTCTTGCTACAGGATAATCCTTGCAATTAGTGACAAGAGCTTTTCATGATTAAATATATATAAATGAATTTGGGGGTAGAGTCTACCTTGGCATAAAGTGGTCAATGCTGTGGTAGCAGAGCTAAGTATACATAAGTTAAAGAATTAAAGAGGACCCATTGATTCTCTGTGACTCTGAGCTTCGTGCCTAAGCGCTCGTCAGACAGAACTTGCTTGAAAAGGTGACATGATTTCATCTCATGAAGATGAAGTATGCGGTCTGAATGTCACTCTCCACATCAGAAGTCATTACATCGTGAGAGAAATAGTTAACACTTTGTTATTTGAAGACAGGGAGGTTCCATATTAATGGACTAGGTAAATTGATTATGGGAGAGATTTACGTTAGAGCTGACGTTAACCTAGAATAAATTGCATGTCAATGAATGGATTTTTTTAATTTGACAGATATTTGAAAGAGACCAACACATGGACATGATAAGCAAACATTTCTTCAAACGTACCTTTACGACTCGTTTCATTCGTGTTATGTTACTTACATGGTCTTTTGATGCGGGCGTTAGAATTGAACTGTACGGCTGTCCAGGTATGTACAGCTTTAAATACTGAGGGAGGGGCGAATAAACACATGCATAGAGTTTAACAATGAAGGGGAGGGGGTGGTTTACAGATCAACAACGTGCTCATTGAGTGGTTCCTTCAATTCTGACGTTCTTAACGTCTTTTTGCATTTATTATTTTTATTTCTCATTTTCATTCTTACGGTTGCTAAAGAGCTCTAATATACATAAAAATCAGATAATGAAGACCAGTTTTTATGTGCAAATCAATAGTAAATGAAACGATACCATTTCCACCATAATTTGTAGGAGTGAGTACCATTGTCTGTTTTTCTAACACAAATTGTAATTGTTAAAAGAGTTGATTTTGTTCGAAAGAAAGAAATAAAAGAAATAATACAGTTTACTTTGGAGAGGAGACTGATAAGTCAGAGTCTTAGTTTGACACCAGGAGGACTGTCAGAATGTATTACTCATCTTGATCACGACTTCCACTCTTCGCAGTACTGTGTTTCCTTTTCTTTTCTCGAGTATCTCAAAAAAGTAGAGGGAAAATACTCTTCTCTTGCGTTTATCAATGCGAAAATTGAATTTCTTAAGTAAAACTTTACGGCTTTGGTCTCTCTGAGCACCTGGAATATTTTTCGAAAAAACTACCGAGCCAATAACGTAATGGTATGCTTTCCTTCAGTGTGCGAAAATCCCCTTGGCATTGAAGGTGGTCTTCACAACATTACTGTATCCTCCGTCCGTGGAGTTGGGTACGAACCTTGGCGGGGACGACTTAACTCTGCAGGGATCTGGCGCCCTTACACCAATCAAATATACGAATTCCTTCAAGTGCGCTTTGATCAAGTGATGACCGTAATAGGTATTGCCACTCAGGGTGATAGTGGCCCGTGTGGAAGAGTTAGGAGATTCTGGTTGTACCATAGTTTGGACGGAATGCGATTTGAATTATACAACGATCCTATAATGGGAAATGTAAGTAGAACAGGCCTGTTTGTTTAATAACAATTTTAATCTTCACCATCCTTTCCCTTTTCCAGAAAAAAGAGAAACTGGGTATGGTATCAGGAGGTTTTGCCCCATTGCGAATTTGTTCTCGTACCACCTTTGCGAGTTCGAACCCTGAAGTTAACAAGCACAAATTATATTTTTCGATTAACATGCAACTGTTTGTTCTTTAAAGTAATTCTTAAAATTTGCTTCGAGCATAGGAATAAAACATTGTCTAACCAGTTCGTTTAAGACCGGAGTAATTTAGTGGCCTTACATTACTCGTGTAGGAGTCTTGCGTCAGTTAACACGCTTAGGAATTTCTATGTCAGCCAAACTTTTGTTCATCGAAATAAGTTGGGGCTTAAGGTGGAGGCGAACTCGCAAAGGTGTAGGGGCGAGCTTGCATTGGGGTGAAGCCCCATTCAACTTTTAACGTTACCTCTCTTCCACGTAGACTTCGTTCCCAGTCTCACTGGGTTTTCAAGCCCGGCAAATGTTTATGGGAGGAATGACTTAATCTCCGGTTCAGTGTAAATGGAACTCTTTATTCACATCAGTGTGGATAGTAAGCACTTTCAGATCGTGATCCGAAAAGTTATACATGTAGTTCTGAAACCTTGGGCTGGCAAGAGAAGCGTCTTCTTCAAATTTCTGTAGAAGATTAGTAGGTCGCCAGGATTAATTGTCGAGGTCGGCTCCTGCTCCAAAATTTGGTTAAAAAAGCATTGTTAAATTGTGTTATGCATAAGTTTAAAGTCACCGGAAAGTTATAATTCCATTGGCTAAACTTTTATGGACGGGATTTCTTCCTTGCTGAAAATCTTTACTTTAAGGACCTTACTAGGTTTTCGCGGGTTTATCTTTTTTAAAAGTGATAGAGAATATTTTCAAAATCTTTCAGCGGGGCTCATTTCATGTATTATTTTTATAGAAATGCCTCTACGGAGCAGATTCCAGATTTAATAATAGCCAGAAAAGATAGATACTTTCGGGAAATTTCCTTTTTCTCGATGTTGTTTTTAAAAGGCGGCAATAATTTTTTCTCAAGAAAAAGAAACAGAAAAGTCTTGCACTCACACGATAGAAGCAAAACGCTCTTTCAACACTTCTTACCAAAAATTCATAAATGGCAAGATGAGAAAAACAAATTTCCTGAAACAGAAAAATGGCACTCCAGGAAAGTGGTTAAGAGAGAAAAAATAAATTTCATGCCGTCAACATTGGGATGTGAATTAATAAGGTATTTGTATAGTGTGAGAGAAATCCTGCAAAAAACCTTTTGTTAGTCAGTTTGACATTTATTTTTGTCGAAAATTCTTTCATAAAACAGAACAAAAGAAAATCAGTCCCGGTGCGCTGGCATGCAAATCCAAAGTATTTCTCTCAGTTTCCATGATTTTAAAATTCATTCGTCTTGGAGGCATAGCTGGGATCACACCTTTATTTTGATTTTAGTTACCGACCCAAATTTTATGAATTATATAATTCTCGTCAATGTTTGTTTAAATCTTCCTCTACGTGTTTATCAGCGATGAACCATAATGGTTGAGCTTTCTAAAGGATCGCTCAATGAGTAACCTGATTCAATAGTGTTCTCTTTAGTATTTAGTTAATGGTAACGAACGGAACACCCATTTATTCTTGCTAATAAAAACAGCAAAATTAAGCCAAACACACCTGCTAAGCTCTATCGATTTCACGTTGTTTTGTAGCAAGGAGTTAAGTGCTCTAAACGTGATTTCCTTGCAGTGAAATAATGCGGTATACGTTTCTTGGTTTGCTAAAAGTAGGATAATTTCAGAAATACAAATTTTTATTCAAATTATGAATACGGCTTCGCCACGGAAACGGAAATAGAGCTATGTGGCTCAAAGCAAATAAAAATCAATTTCCTACTTTGTTGTTTTAGAAACCCATGATAAATATAACGTGAGAACGCTAATTTAAACTTTTGACTTTAACTTTATGAACAAATTACATTGTTTGTCCAACGTGATTGCCTTACTTCCTGACAGTTTTCTTCTTGAGATTACCTCTCGCGCGTTACAAAGACATATATTCACAAGTGTTCATAAGAAAGCTTTTTCAAAAATGACCCCTATGTTTTCTTTGTTCATCAATAATGAAACAAACGAGACCAACTTGTCAACTGAAAAGCCAAATTTAGGAAATTTGGCCAATGAGACAAAAATGGCAAAGGCTTTAAAAACGCTAACTTTGTCTACATTGATCGCTGTCTCAGTTTTTGGCAACTGTCTCGTTGTTGCATCCGTGTACAAGAACGTTAACAAACGAATGCGCGTTGTTGGTAACTACCTGGTGGTGAACCTAAGCATTGCAGACATGTTGCTGGCAATTTTCAGTTTGTCGCGTATGTTAACTCTCGTTCATGTTGGCTACGAGTGGCTAGTCGGCGGATTATTGGGTTTGTTCCTCTGCAAAGCGCAACACTTTTTTATCATCCAGTTACTGTTTGTTTCTACGATGAACTTCATGGCAATTGCTGTCGATCGATTTGTTGCTGTTTTCTTCCCGTTCTCGCTGATTTTGAAAGGAAAATTGTTTTATTTTATCGTCGGGGCCACGTGGATCATTCCTAGCGCTCTATTCGCGTTTTACTGGAAAATGATGGACATGGAAGTGCGTGGTGGTACGACAGTTTGCTTTGCGAATGTGCTGAAAATCTTTCCAACTGTAAAACACTTTTATGATTTTAAGGTCGCAGAAAGTGTGATTGTTACTGGTGTTACTCTTACAATAACAGTCAGTCTGTACATCGCCATTGGAGCGAAGTTATTACTCAGACGACTTCCAGGAAATGAGCAAGAAGCAGACACGCGTCGTAGGGAAGCAGTTGCACGAAAAGTTTTCCGAATGATGTTCATCGTGGTATTGGTGTATTGTCTGTGTTGGAGTCCGCAGTGGATTATATCAATCATTTGTAATTTGGTCGAACGCCAGAGGCCGATCTGTAATAATCCGAATGCAAATTTTGTGAAACTTGTTGTCGCTTATTCAAACAGTGCAATCACGCCGTTTATCTATCCCATATTCTCTGGAAACTTTCGCACAAGCTTCCAACAAATCTTGACGGGCGGTTTTAGCTGGAAACGTGGAAGGGTTGCCCCTGAGGATCAGAAACGCAATTCCTCACGCAAAAAGCACTATAAAGCAGAGCCAGATGATGAAGTACAAAGCCACAGACCAGAGGTGTTTCTTTTGCAAGACCAGGCTCAGTGTAAACTTGTGCAAAAGAAAATTATTTCATCAGAGACAGGAACAATGTGAACGAGGTGTCTTTTTAATCAAATCATTATTGCGATAGCCTCTCGCACACGCTTTTATACTTCCGACCAACTGAGTAAACATTGAGAAGTAATGGGATATTCCTATTGATCCCTAAGTTAAGACTGACTAGTTTGCTATTGAAACTTGTAGAGAGTCAGGTCCAAGAACTCAACGTAAAAACCTGTCTGTTTTCTTCATCAGTCACTTTTTAGTTTTGTAAAACGAATTTGCTAGCATACGATTCCTTATGCTTTCTTTCTTGAGACTTTTTTATCATGAAAGCATATGAGTTATTAGTTTACTTTGTTGTAAAAGGAAAAACTGTTGTAAATGCTTATAAGAAGAAGCTGAAAAACTAAAGTAGTCTTCATTAAATATCAACACCATGCGCGTGTTAACGAGAAATGTACTTGAAGGAAAAATAAAATCATTCGCAAATGGTTCTTCTAAGAAGGGAATTTGTCACAATATGCAGTCCATTGCTTTACCCTTCTTTTGACGAGAGGATTCTATCATCATTACATCGCAGCCCCGGCTACAAACACTGACAATTATCAAAGGCTTAGTTCAATATGTAAACTTTGTCTCTACAGGCCACTAGAATTCGCCCATCTGGCGTCGTTGCTATTCCTGTTGGATATGCTAAGCAAGAGGTACTTTTACCTGTGAAGCGACCGTCTATAGAAAATTGCTGAACTCGATTATTGTTACAGTCACATACGAAGAGATTTTCGGAATGGTCCAGATGAATTCCTAAAGGCCAGTTGAATTGTCCGTCTTGGTCTCCTTGTTTCCCAATCTTGTTTAAGAATGTTCCTGACTGATCGAAAACTTTGATGCAATTATTTCCTCCATCGCACACCAGAAACCTGTCTTTATAAGAAATGCAGCTGGTTGGTTTGTCTAGTTTTTCTGGGCCCTCGTTTCCAAATATTTTCATAGTCTCACCTTCGAGTGACATTATCTGTACCCTGTGATTAGATTCCTCGGTTACAAGAACCCGGAGTTCTTCATCCAAGAAAACATCAGACGTCTTAGCAAACTCTCCTTTCGCTCTTCCATATTTTCCAAAGCTTTTTACACATTTTCCTGTGCAAACATCTGTTTGCTGAATCCTATGATTTGATGAATCTGCAACCAGAATGTCGTTATCACTTACGAATGCCAAACCATGCGGCTGGTGAAATTTTCCAGCAATTTCGCCTTGGCCTCCAATTTTTCTTAAAAATGTTCCCTTTTTATCAAACAAGAAAATGCAGTGTCCGCTGATGTCCGTAATGGCCATCTCTTCTTTCGTGTTCACTGCAATTCTGAAGGGTCTTTGCAGCTCTTCTCCTTTAGAAAGCTTCAGGTCCAACTCGCCAACCACAACAATCTCACGTGGTACTGCCAAAACAGTGAAAGGAGAAGTCTGAAGTTTATTGCCACTAATTTTCACTTCAATGTTGTAGGCACCAGGTACTTTGGGCGTAAAAATCAATACTAGTTTGCCACTCTCTCCGTCGCAAACCATCACATCCGTGACATCTTCCGTGGGCTGTACGGTTATTTCAATTTCTTCCTTAGGATCCATGCGGGTGCTATAACCTCCAACCTTGGGGGACAATAAGAATTCTGCTTTAACACCAGCTTGGAGAGTTTGATCCAGTCCCTCCAAGTTAAACTGATCAGGATCCATTCCCTCCAAAAAAACTATACCTAGTTTTAGATCCTCCATAGACGACGGGACAAATTTGATGAAGGAGGTATCGTGATGAATTGGAAATTCAATTTCACGAAGTTCAATAAATTTTTGTCGTAAGTTATCTTTATTCTCCATGACATCTGAGCTCGAGCTTCTTTGTGACAAATTATCTGCAAATTCAACAACTTGATCCATTTGTTTCACCAGAGACTCGGTCGCAGCCTTTGACGAGTTAATGCTCTCGAGTCTCGTCACGCGTGTGGTCTCGAGAGAGGCGATAGCCTCTTTCTCGCGTTCTCGAATTTGTGCGATCATATGTTCGGCTGCTTGAATAACTTTCGCTTTCGCGCTTGCGACGTTTCTTTCCAGGTTTAACTCTGTTTCTTCAATTTGTCGAAGAACTTTCTTCAAATCGGTTCTCCTTTCTCTGACGAGTGCTGCGTTAGCCGTGATGTTTCCTTTCTCTTTTTCAGCCACGTTGTCGATTAAATCAACTTTGTGGTTTTGGTGATCCGTGAAGATGCAAATATGGCAGACGCTCGATTGACACTGAAGGCAGAAAAATCTTTTGATCTCTTTCTCGTGGAATTTTTTTGAGCAAAAGTGCTGTTGCTTCAACAATGCCTCGTAATCTTGATCTTGAAAGTCCTTAACTGGCATGACTTTGTGTCCACCGAAGTCGGTGCTCATCACTTCATGAGCGTTCAAACAGTCCAAGCACATGAATCGAATACAGTCAAAGCAGTAATGGACGTTAGACTGGCTGGTCTTCTTACAGTTACCACAAGTAATACTTGTGCCACTCTCTCGAACAGCGAGGAGACTTAGTAAGCTGTTGTGAAAGAAACTTGCAGGTAAATTGTGGAAGCGATTTCCTTCTGGCAGTTCGATTTCTGCCTGACACTCAGGACATCGAAATTTTCCATTTCTTTGGCTCTTTGTGGCATGTTTTTGTAAACAATCACAGCAAAATGTGTGAAAACAGGATATGATTTTCGGTGTCTTGTAGGTTTCGAGACAAATGGAGCAAGTAACTTGTTCAGTAAGGTTTCTAAAGAACGACTCCATTGTAAGACGCGTACGTTTGGAAACGCTCTCTCAAATAAATATTGTCAGAGATTCCGCGAAAAACAGGAAGTTTCCCATCTCTCGGCGTGATTGGCTGGTGGCGAATCGCGTGACGCGAGCAAGCTATTCTTCTACCAATAATCGGTGGCGTTTTGACATCATGCTTTTATTTTTTCAATAGAAAATCTGTCTCTTTTTGTCAGAAATAAGAATATTCTTTCATGTCAGCCACGTGGTGTAGTTACCACGTGGTGTAGTCAGGGGTCGGTGATGATTGAATCTGTCTGGCACTTATGTCACTCCTTAGACTAAGCAAAGTCTATTAAGAGCGGTCCAAGGCGTTTCACATCGGAAAAAATGTTTTGCCTCAAACTCTGCCCATTAACCTGTCTTTTGTAGTAAGGAAATAAAACCGCATTAGTTTCTGGAAAAACGTTAAAGAAAAAATTTGAGAGCTCTCAATAATCAAAGCTCCTAAAGACCCTTTTGTGACCCCAAAAGTCAACAAACTCGCTTCTCGTAACACACGACATGCAACAAGAAATCGTTTATGTTCCTAAATTGTGCGATATATAAGGGGTTTGGAAAGCATTTCAATTTTGACATGTGCTTATTTAGAGGTTCGCCACAATTTATTTTAAAAAATACCCGTCAGACAGATTTCTGAAATTGGTCAAAAGTACTCTTTCTTGGGTGATATTTCTCAAGTCCAGACCTGACCGTTGAAAACTCCGGTTGATTTCTTCTAAAAAGACTTTCGAAAGAATAGAAATATAAAAACATCGTGCACTTAATTTCCCTCGCCTTATGTTTGCTTCATTTGTCGCGGTGTAACATGCCAGCCACGTGGTGTAGTCAGGGGTCGGCTGATGATTGAATCAAGCATTAAGGCATGATTATCAATTTACTTCTATTAAATATTTTATTGATTATTTGAAGCATTCTTTGCACCATTGATATGAATCCACTCAACCTTTTTTTAGCAACCGTTAGCAGTGACAATTAAGAAAGTGCTCACAGAATTCACTTCCTAATGTCTCTTGCAACTTTGACCACTTCTGTATCTCCGCTTTCATAGAAGCTTTCCGCAGTAAATATAACAGCAGCAAGTTATTACCCGCATAATGCAAGGACTTGATCCGTTTCCAAGCACGCACACAGATCCGACATACTGCAACCACTTTCAGCTTCATTGACTGATTCTTTATTTTCCTGGATTAGACGCAAAATTATCGTATCATAAGCATGTGCATCATAATTCTAGCAACAAGTACGATTTACTCCAGATGTAATGCGAAGGGAAAGCAGGGCCATGTTTTCTGAAAAGCTAACTAAGCGAAGAACGACATGTGCTAAAATAATTTTGACCACTGCGTTTTGTAATTATCGGTCTCATAAAAAAGGCGATAATACCCGATCTGTAGCCCCTAACCACGATAAAATAAATGAGAAAAAAATTATATCTGAGGGCTTAAGCGTGGTAGGAAACTCAGGTAAGAACTTGACTTAACTCCTTTTGAAGTTTTATTTTTCTTTGTTGCTGTTTCTATTTAGTCTATTTTCTCGGGCTGTTTGCCTTTCCATCTCTCGCTGCTCTTCGCTAGAATTTGGCCTTATTACCCTCGCCCTTTCTTGTTCGGTTTCATGTTCCGGTGCCTCTGCCTATTTTGTTCAAGTTGTTTGTTGCTCTCTTTCGCGTTGCTCGTGACTCGTGCTCTATTACTTCTTTTTCTCTGTGTCTTTACCACCTATGTTCACGTTCACTCAATCACACTTTTCAAAAACTTGAATAAACAATGATTTCTTCCGCTTGAAATAGCTTTTCTACCAACGTTGTTGCTTTGCAACATCATAAGAGATCGCAAATTGCTGAGAAATAATGTTTTCAACGACAACTAAATAAGAGTGATTTCTCGCCAAAAATGCGGGTTGCAAATCCTCTGATAGCATGCGTGATGCCCTCGTGTTGTGCCTATGACTGCAATGGGACACTGCATTCGAGTATGCGCACTATAACAGTTTTCTCACGTGTGTAATAGCGCAAGCGCATACGATTGCATTCCTTTATCCTTCTCCCTATGGGTTTCCTTTCTACACATGTTATGTCAAGATTTGTGCTCGCATTTCAGCTGTTCCCGCATGCCAAAATTAGCACCTTTGTATGGACGATCGGTTATACGTTCACTCGATAAACGAAATTTTCTCGGCTCGATTGGTTATCAATACAAGCTACACATGGATTTATAATTTAAAAAGCTGATCTATTTTGCAGGTATTTAAAGTTTTTATTTACTATATTTATTTATTACACAGACACAGTTGGGTGAATAAGCCGCATGGCCCTTGGCCGTGCGTCAGCTAAAAGTACCATCAACCAAATTCAACTCGAACCCAGAATCTCGTCGGCTTTTTGCGAGTGTTGCACCCGCGTTGTGCTGAAGAATAGCAATGCTTTGGTGGTGTGCCAGAAATTCTATTGGCCGTAAATGATAAAGTAGCACCTTGTACGTACGGTCACACACCAAACTAAATTTTCTGGCTTGATGGGTTACTATTTATTCTTATAAGCATGAGGCTACGCTGCATGCACTTCGGGCACTGCGAGCTCCGCTATTTAGAAATTAAAAGCGTATTATTGCAGTGGAAATGCAGTATTCAAACGCTGTCTTTACTAACTTCCAACAGGAATTACGTGGTAATGAGAATAACGACGAAACAAAATTTGTGAAGTTACGCTACGTTATAAAGGCCCAACACGTTCGCGTCAGACCGACTTTTTTTTATAAACACAAATGCATGAGGATTGAGTTATACGGATGCTCTGCTAATGGTGAGTGGGTTATTAATTTTGAAGTTATTTACTTCTCAAAACACAAAAATTCAAGTAAATCAAACGTCCTGGCTAATCCGCTAGAAATTCTGGTTTCATGAAAAGCGGACTCTTCTTTCGTTAATCTCGAAGATTAATATGCCGCGAAATAGAAGCAAATTGTATATTTTACTTCGAAGCGAGATTAAAGCTTAGTGCCGTTTAAGTTTCTGTTCCACCTTGCATCTCGCCAAGTTGCATTGAAATTTCTCTGGCACCATTTGTATTTCTGGATGCAGAGAAGCACTGCGAGAATAGAGTGTCTGACTCATGGTAAACGCAATGATTCTGACCAGCTCTTCAAATCCGCTTTCCATCATGCTGGCCAGTGAGGAACTACGTCTCCTGAAAGTCTGTAAAAAATGCCTCATATTTCGTTGAAATGTCGTTTACAACAAGAATTGCATTTGCCGAGAAACCTGACATATGCAGTTTTAGTCAGTCTCCCAGGACCATGGTTTTCCAATTCCAACTGGCATTACCTCATAATTCAAGAAAGGGGTGGAAATTATATGGGTTCCGATCGAGCGTTATGTATGCTCTCTACTCTGTCATTGATTTTTCTTTTCTATTGGTTTCAAGTCCTATTTTAGGTCTCTTTACGATTTTTTTCAATTCGATTCTTAATCCGTGTTTTATCAGAACTAGACGGTGACAAGTCCATTGGGTTCGAGACTGGAAAGGTAGCAGATCAATCCTTGACCGCATCAAGCACTCTAAACAAGTATTACCGACCTGAATTTGGCAGATTGAACAGTTTAATTGAAGGAGGTTCCTGGTGCGCTAGAGAAACAAATACAAGCGAATATTTGCAGGTGGACCTACAGGAGATACATAAGATCAGTAATATCATACTACAGGGAAAGTACACAGGCTCTGCGCAAGGAAATGGATGGGTTACCAAGTTTTCAGTCACTTACAGTGACGATGGAATTGTGTGGAGCCGACACAGCGAGGGTGGAGTACAAGTAGGCGTCTTTTCTTTGGATGCGAACTTCCACAGCTGCTCTTTTCAATTATATTTTAATTATGATAAACTTTTAACATACTTAATTCTCAGTAATTAATAGGCGAATTACTAATTATTTGATGTGGGAAGGCACTGCGCAAAGGTCTCCTTTACCTAAACAGATGAAGCCTGTGTGCATCGGCTAGTTTTGAAAGCAAAGCAGGATATATACATGATCATTATTTCCATGTTAAACACACGAAAATTTCGCGCGTTAAGCATTATTTTCCAAGCCCCGAGAAATACGGAGGATGAGCAAAACTTCACATAATTATTATTTCTCGAACCATCGAATAAGGGATTTATTACTCCACTATTATTTTATTTTTAAGCATTTTGGCTTCTAGTTTTCGAAACAAATCCCAACGACCTTAGCTGAACATTGAATCGATTTATTAAACCGTGCGTGGAAGACGAAAAGAGCAAGAACGAAATTTAAGTGTCCTTTGCGATCAGCCAAACAAATCTGATGCATGCGCTTAAAAAAATCGTTGCTTAAAAAATCAAACCTGTAAAACGGAATAGATGTTCAGTGCTGTCATATTGGGTTCCTCCACTCTCCGTTCGTAGTTTTTACTTGTTCTACAGGGTAATACCATCGCATACCATGCGCGTTCCTTGCTTTAGTATGCGTATAACCATGGAATGAGACAGCTATTTACAAAATAATTAAGACTGACTTAACGGAGGGTCAGATTGGTTGAAATAGCAAACTTTATCAAAGAGCAAATTTTCCCCCCTTGTTTTACTATTATGAAGTCAGCTCATTATTGAAGCTTCCTCATTCGTTGAATATTGATTTTATGCTTTTAATAACAGGTATTTCTGGGAAATGACCTGAATAACATGGCAAGGAATCATGAAATAGTGCCATCACTGTACGCTCGTTTTGTCCGGCTGCATGCAGTGGAATGGCATCAGCTGATTTGTATGCGAGTTGAGTTCATCGGATGTAAAGGTACGTACAACTTTTCGAAACCATTGAATTGCGGAAAAGGTCATGTCAACACCAAGAACACAAAGAATAGACGCACAAGTTCAAGTGATATTAAATGTGGTTTGACAATCTTACCATCAGTTTTTTTTCAGTGCGTCACGTCACTTCGAGAGCATAATTTGGTTAACCCTAAGTGTTGATCGTGGGTGTTTGGTGTTTATGTAGTATACAAATGAGGAATTTTAGCTGCCTGTCGAAGACGCCTGCCAAGTGGGCGATTGAACATTTTGGTTGATCAAGTAGCTATAATAATTGATAATGTATATTTCTCGACGATTTTTGTGGCGTAAGCTTTGCCTAAACTTGGCAACACAGATAACGAAGGCAATAAAGACTACCCGGTAGCCTTGTGATTTGAGTGCCAGGAATGTAGGTCAAGAGGTTCCGGCTCAAACCGTTGTCAGGTCACTGTGTTGAGATTTTTGAACAGGTTAGGTGACTTTCACAGTGCCTCTCTACATCCACGTATATTGAAAATTTTAATTGGTTGTTTATTTTCTTTCTTGTACAAAAAGAGTCACCTCTGACCTTTAATTACCGTAGCTTGAGCGCAGAAAGAATTAATAAACAAATAAACTGATAATTTTCAACGGATGCCTTATAAAATCGTTTTGATCGTCATAATTGAAGTTGATACATGACTTTACGCAGTTTAAGGAATCATGTCATCGTTAATTTTAACAGCGTGTGCAAAGCCTCTTGGTATGGAAAATCGCCAGTTGACGCAGATATCCGGGTCCTCCAACCCAAAGCGTTGGCATTATATCAGACTCAATAATGATCTACCGTGGTATCCCCTTACCAGCGACAATCGAATATTTATCCAAGTTGTTGTAAGTCCCTATGGCAAAACTGTTACGGCTTTGGCCATCCAGGGACACAGCTACTGGGTCACTTCCTTTACACTGGGAACAAGTGAGGATGGCTCAGAGTGGCACGATTATTATGTCGATGGAAACGTTGTGGTAAGAGTTTAAAAGGGTCGGAGACTGATCGTAACGATTCATTGGCAAACGTCGTCTAATCATTTAGCATTCAATTTGACTGCTTTTCATGGATAATACAAACATTACTTAATTTTAATTCATACCATTTATATTTCAAAAACTGTTGGGACGAGAAAAGAGAAATTATTGACGCAAGAAAAGCTTGCGGAGTTTAAAGCACTAGTTTTACATGTAATAGTGTAGTTTGATCGTCCGGGTGATTGTAGTCCTGAGAAGGACTGTTGTCGGTAGTGGTGACTGACGTTACGACAACCTGAGCGTAAGTCATCAACAGAGTCAAGTGATTATTTGTTGTCTTTCGAATGTTCTCGACTGACAACAACTATTCACTTGACTCTGATGATGACTTCCGCCCAGGTTGTTGAAACGTCAGTCACCACTACCCGGACAATCAAACTACACTATTACATGTTACCCCCGGGTTCAAACCATTCACTGTAATAGTTTTACAGTTTGCAGCGATAGGTTTCTGCAGATTATCAACCAATACTGATACTTAGTCGAACTTACGGTGTTTGCGTATGAAGTAGCTCTGAATCTCAACTCAATAGTTTTTGTTTAAGACGATCAGACCAAATGGCTGTGTTAGCCGAGTTATGAGTTTGAGTTTAACATCATTCTTCAAAAGTTGCCTTGGTCGAACATGCGATAACGATCTTTCTTTGTTATTTGACTCATTTACTCTGGAGTTATGATATGTCGACTAAGATTAGAACGTATGCAACAATGAAATGAATGCAAACCAACACTCGTGAGAAAAATATAGTTGGGAACTTTAGCACAAAGGTTTCTGAGACGCGATCAGTTTGTGGAAGTTAAAAGTTCTCATTGCCAGAACGGTCCTCAGCTACGTTTATTGTTGCCTGTATACAAACTCGCTATGTGCTCCCAACAATTTTTGAATTTGCGAGGCAGCCAACTATATATCCTCCGAAACTAATATTCCGTTGAGTATTAAAGTTAATTGATCCCACTGAACAAAATTTTTTTATATCACATAATCTCTAAATGTTTCTTCTTTCCTTTACTGTGGCAGGTTTTTCTAGGTTGCACAACTCGTTTTCAAACTTTACGCCGGCCACTGCCTAAGAAAATTACATCACGCTATATCAGGCTCTACCCTCAAACTTGGGATCATACACCACATATCAGTGTGGAGTTCTATGGATGTAATGGTAAAATAAGAATTTATTTACAAACGCACACAAAAAACTGTTTTATTTTTAATTGCTTCAAACAAATAACTCTTACGCAAACCGTTTTGGTTGCCGTTTAATAGTGAAACAATCATTCGCTGTGCAGAGAGTGGTTAAACGCTCTCCTTATCGTCAAAGAAGCTCGATATTGCAATATTCACTAATTAGCTCCAAACTTCTAGAGTGTGCCGAACCACTGGGAATGGCCAGCGGTCTCATACCAGACTCCGACATTCAAGCTTCGTCATTCAAAGTGGGCGGAGAACCCTGGCGCGCTCGTTTAGGATCTGGTTCGGGTTGGATTCCATCATCTGTGGCATCTTCAGAATACATTGTGGTAGATCTTGGAGAGTCAAAAGCCATAACATACATCGAGATGGAAGGAGATTCTCTCAAGAACCATTGGCTGAAATATTTTTTCTTGGACTACAGGATGAGCACTCGAGACCCGTGGACAATTTATGAACCTCGTGGAATAAGTGGGGTAAGTATCTCGCCTTGATAGTGGGAGGTTTTTGATATCATGTTTCTAGGATCTATTATGTTAAAGCCAGCTGATAAACAAACATCTTTTTGTTCGTTTGTATTTTTTTTAATATCCAATATCTGTTCGGTGTCATTTGTCGTTTCAAGTCGTTGTTGTCATTGTTGTTTTTTAAACTTGTTCACTTTGTAAGTTAGTAACTCTATTCCAAACACTATGGTGCCATCATGTCATGCTATTTGTCATCTGTGCTGCATTCATTTGACCACCAAATTTCATAATTACAATGCACATTTAGAGATGAAGATCATCTGATTATCAGTCCGTTATAATTGGTGGTAGGGTATCGCAATATTTTCTATTTTCACAATTTTGCGTCAATTATTACATATCATTGGGCAACGTGCTTCCAGGTCCGCAGCACAACCTCAAAATGAAATGGCTATTAATTTCATGTCACCGGTTTTTTAAAACTTAATCTATTCGTATTGTGCAACGGCTGCTACATGTTATCTTAAAGGGTAAACAAATTAAGCCTATCAAGGTCTTTGCTTTACTTGTAAATTAGCTTGAAAGATCGTCTTCTGCGCTGTCAGATTTAGGAAGCACGTTCGGCATCTTGGCTCAATTAATGCTTGTCTTTCATGCAGAAAATATTGGGTGTAGAGATGAAAAACATGGTGGTGACTATTAAAACAGAACAGAAGCTAGAAGCAAGATTTATAAAGATCCGCGTTGAGAATTGGCATTTAGGGGCCAATTTAAAACTTGAATTTTATGGCTGCGACAAAGGTAATACTTATCTAGTAGACTGTACATCACAATCGGGTAACTTAGTGTTAACAACTGAGTTGAAAACGTAAATTACCCGCCGTAAAGGGTAAAACAACTGACGTTTCGAGCGTTAGCCCTTCGTCAATCGCTCTGACGAAGGGCTAACGCTCGAAACGTCAGCTTTTTTATCCTTTATGGTGGCTAATTTACGTTTTCAACTCAGTTGTTAACACTAAATTACCTGCCATACTCTCCCACTGACGCAGCACCACAGTTTCTTTAGAAACTTATCCCTTTATACAGCACAATCGATAGCCACTATGACAAAGTGTGCAACGTGCGATAAACTGTTGATATTTGCTCTGAAATTCACTCCTCACAAGATTATTAAAAACTGATGTTCACTCCAATCACTTTGCTCTTTAGTCTTTTTGTTTTAGGAGATTTCCTTTGCGAGATGCATGACTCTGCAATTCCAAAAGGTGGTGATGAGCCTTAAGTATTATATAAAAAATTTATGAGTTGATATATGATCTGTGCACAGCAATAAGAGATGGTGGCCAACCAATTTCAAATACACAACTTTTTTGACGTAGCTTTTCATCACTATTTAGCAAAGACAATAATTTTCTTTTAGTATGTTCCGACGAAATCGGAATCGGAACTTGGGCAATAAAGGACCCTGCTTTCACCGCCTCTAGTTACCTGTCCTCACGCAGATACCCATGGATGGCACGCCTCGATGGTAGATGGGCCTGGTGCCCAAGCGAAAACGACACTCAGCCTTTCTTACAAGTTAGTCAATTATCTTACTGTTAGTGCAGAATGGGTCAAAACTTTTGTTGCGTCAAATAAGTGTATATTTACTGTATATACATGTGCTATATTAAAAGCAGAAGTTTTGGACGAATAAAAGTCTGGCAAATATTATAAAAGGCGTAAAGTAAAAGAACCGTAGAGGTTTATGGGAAAACGATTTTGAAGTTAGATGGAACTATCAATAGTTTCTTCTGTATTCTGACCTAAGCGATTGAGCTTTGACAGAGGAAATTATATGTACGACACCTCTCTTTCTTTGAATTGTGCATTTGAATGGTGGAAGTAGTGAAATGACAATCCACAAGAGCTTGTAAACAGTTTATGATCTCATGTGATCCATTTGGTTTTACGAAGTGTTTTTAATGTCACACAAGATATGATCTAGATGTATGATCTGTGTTTTCTATCTTTTTTATCTACCGTTATTTTGCTAGCCATATGTGCTGTGAATGTAAAAATAATGATAACTTCTTTCCAGCCTAAACATAATAAACATGGAAAAGACAAAGATACTTATTTTATAATTCAATGTGCATCTCACCCATCGCAAAGTTTTTAAAATAATTTTTACCTGAACTTCTACTTATATCTATCAGGTGGACCTTGCGAAACCATACAAATTACGATTTATTGCCACCCAAGGATTCCACAGCTCGAACAACAGCGCTTGGGTACAGCAGTACACATTGCACTTTCGCAAAGAACTTTTATCTTGGATTCCATACTCCGAGAATAGCACAGAAAAAGTGAGTTATTAAGATACCTCTTTCGCTGCAAATCAGAAAATAATAACTGCTTTCAGCAAGGCTAATATAATTGATTTGTACAGTTACCTAAACTTACTGACTGCCTCCGGACACAAGCAAAGCCTGAATAATTGCTTCAAGCTGGTTATCGCGACCGCAGCAAAATAATTGTGTCCATGCACATATGCAAGTTTAACTTTGTCGGCAAAATACTCAGGAAAGTTTTTCAAACACATAACGTCACTTGTGATTGTGCAGATAGAAAAAAAAGATGATAACAGTTTGATATTGAAATGTACTTTTCACTATTTTATTCCAGCTAATTAACTATGAGCCTCATATCCGCCAGGAAAATGAGAATTTATTTGTTGTTATGATTTAGTTGTTTCCAGGCAACTCAGATGGAACGTCGATAGTCAAAAACAGGCTCAATAATGTTTCCAATGTGCGATACATTCGTCTTCATCCTAAGAAATGGCACACATTTGCATGTATAAGAGTCGAGTTATACGGATGCAAAGGTAAGACTAATCCGGGTTATGAATGATTTCCTAATTGAGGTCCTTTATAAAACCGCCATCTGATTCCTCTATCGGCGGAGTAAAAGTGTTCTCCTATGTCCAAACGAATCCTCACCACTAAAAAGTTAACACTGATAAAAGCGACTTGTCTAAAAAGCAGAGGTTTCTCCCCATATCCAGACGGTGCCGTTATATTTCCTTGCATTTTCGCACGAATCAATGGGCATAGATTCTTACGCAAACCAAAGACGATAGCACAATACTTGGGACTGAAGTGACTTTAGGTTTTTCACCTTATTGTTAATATTCTGTAGTGACATTTTTGAACTTCTGAATTATTTTTGCCATTTTAGATTTCGATGAAGAAAGCTTGAAGCCGTTAGGAATGAGCGACTATCGAATTCCTAACAATAGCATTTTAGCTTCAGACATTTACTTGGATACTGAGGTGCACGGACCATGGATGGCTAGGTTACATAGTACTGCGGGATGTTGGGTATTTCCAAGAGGTGAAAACTTTCTTCTTGTCGACCTGGGTGAAGGTTTAGTGTCCGTAAGTGGAGTCGCTACGCAGGGATGTAATAACAAGGTTATCGAAAAATACGGACACGTGCTGGAGTATAAATTGTCCTTCAGCGATGATGGTGCAGACTGGTATTATTATCGAGAGGGAGGGGGCCCTAAGGTATGATTATGTCTCATTTACTCCCTATCTTACAGAGTTTTTTCGAAAAGCAATACACGTAGCTGCCATCCATAAACAAAAAAGTTAAAGATGCACTGTAGTTTAAGTTTGTAATAGTTTGAACGGTAGTAAAAAGCCAAATAGGTCATCTTTAACTCATCTAAATTCTTCTCATACAATGTTAAGTTATTATCAATACTTTTTCATGTCATCCAATAATTGACAATTTGCTTTAGTAAAGTAAGGAAAACTACTCTGATTCCTTCCTGCACATTCAAAACGTCGAAGGAAATCGCCTCTGGCAGTCTAGAAGATTTTTTCTTTCTTTCTCGAATGATTTGAAGGCCATATCATTTCTTTAAGCAGGTTTTCAGCGGTAATACCCCTGACGAAACAGACCTCCCTGTACGTCACGTGTTTATCCGGTCATTTTACACTCGTTACGTCAAGTTCCTCTTGACTCGCTGGGTGTTAGATACCACTTCTCCTGCGCTGAGGGTGGAAATTTACGGCATCAGAAAAGGTGAGACAATGTTTCATCTCTAAGAAAAAAAGGAGAAATAGTATTATAAGGTTTGTACATAGAACTATTTCCCGATCAAAGACATTAGCTCCAAAATCGATTAGCTCCAAAATCGATTTTATTCTAACTGCTAGTCTTTCGGGAGAGATATGGAGGGAATGAGGAGGTGAATGGAATGAACGGACCAGAATGCCAAAAGAGCTGAGAGAAGGGGCTGACCATAGCCTTTTCCATGCATATAGTCTTAATTTATAGCAGCAAGTGTCATAACAGCTCTCTTGTACTTTATCTTATGTTATGTCCTGATCTTCCATTGCTTTCTTTTCTAAAGGAGGGGAGTTGCTCGTGGAAGCTAATATTTCCATCAGCGCATCAAGCTCCCGATATCCACTGACACCGCAAGACTGCTTACTCAGTATTAGGCGAACGTGGTGCGCTGAGTTCGATGACGAGATGCAATACCTCCAGATTGATCTGAAGCGAAATAGTTACATTGAGGCGATCATAACCCAGGGGGCAGTTGTTGAAGAGTCCTGGGTTGAGAATTATACGATTTCGTATGGTCATTCCTATGATTTGTGGAAAAAATATGAAGAGAATGGCTCTAGCAAGGTAAATGCTGTGAAGGCAAAATCCTATAGATATAATTATGTTTGGAGATCGGTCGGCCACGGAAACAACTCGCTAATCCATTCACTCAAAAAACTGTTGTATTTTTGACAAATGATTATTTCATTTGCATTTACCAGGTCTTTCAGGGAAATAACGATAGCTCATCCATTGTCACTCGGAAATTTATGAAACAAGTCAGGGCGCGATTTATCAGGATTCATCCTGTCAGCTGGATTGGACATATCTGCATGCGATTTGACATACGAACCGTTGGTCAGTATTTTTTGCATCTACCAAAAGTGCACGGTCATAAGATAATGATTACAATATGGCTTCACCTTACAGTTTTTCCTCTTTTCAAATGATTGAAATAGAATTGCGTATGCCCTAAACTAATTATTAGTAACGTTTCCTGACTATTGAATTTTTTATAACACAGCAAGCTCGTGTATTTTTAACTTAATTCCTCTTTATTCATTCCATCATGTAATTTTATTTAATGCCATTTTTATCGATTTCTTGTTAAAATCGAAAGATCGAAGTATACCTCTTGGAATACAAAAACACAAGATTGCCAATTCAGCCATAACTGCATCCAGTCATGCTGGAAGTGGTAACGAACCATGGCGGGCCCGCTTGGATGTAGGCTTCTTGAGCGAAGCGTGGCGCGCAGGAGAAGACAGCCATGATCAGTATTTACAGATTGACTTGGGTACTACTCATAACATCACTCACGTGGCCACTCAAGGAAGTCATCGGACAGATAAAAGCTGCTGGGTGACTCAGTTTAATTTGTCCCACAGCTTGGATGGGTCTGAATGGAACAAGTACGAGGAAAATGACTCAGTGAAGGTATTATCGAGGTTTTAACTTTGGTTTTGATAGGTCATCAAGTTGTCTATTTCCTCGTGCTTTTTAAATTAAAATTTGCACCTGTTTGCGTCGGAATTATCAGGAATAGAATAAGAGGAAAGTGAAAGGGTGATAGGAAAATGAAATAATTAGTGGAGTTGAATATCAAATCACTTGTACGCCTCGTTATTTTAGTTCTTACCTCATAATAATGTCATTGGGGCATATTATGTACACAAAAATGGAAACTAACCATCATTTGCTACCTCTCAGGATGAAAATTCATTGAACTTTGTTTTAGATATTTTGAAATTATATATCGTGTCTCAGTATTGTAATGTATAGGTTTTTTGTTGTTCATTTCAGCTCTTCCAGGGGAACACCAATGATTATGGCATTGTTCAGCAACAGATGAATAAAGAAATTGAAGCTCGCTACATCCGATTTCTGCCTGTCACGTGGTTCAATCACGTGTGCATGAAGGTCGAGCTATATGGTTACCAAGGTATGATTGATAACTGATTGTTTGATTGAAAGACGGATTGACTGTCTGACTGAGTTATTATCTGAGTCATTTAGTGACTGAATACTTGATTGAGACCCAACAGCATCAATTATTTGACATGAAGCTGCTTATGCTCTGATAGGCTCCCAGTGTGGGAAAGGTGGACTGGTTATTTACGTGCAAGTGCAGGGGTAGGGGGGAGGAGAAGGGGAAAAAGGGGACAGGGAGGGGGATTGCTTTGTACCCGCTCGCATAAAAACGCCCGAAGCCAGCTTTTGGCCATCAAAATATATTACGTATATCCCAAGCGCCTTCGATGAAGATGGCTGATTATTTCTCTTGTTCTTTTTTTGCGTTTTTATGGATCAAAAAGGGGAAGAAAGAATTATATGGAAGGAAACACATGACAAGGCCAGCCGTCTTAACCTTATTCATGTATTCATTTGTTTAACTATAGTTTGCGGCTTCCCTCTTGGCGTAAACAATGGAGAATTGTCGAGCGACTCGTTCACAGCGAGTAGTTACGGTATGAGCAACGAGCCTTGGAATGCGAGACTGAATCGCTTGATTGGCAATGGAAGCTGGTGCGCCGAGAAAAATATCACAGGAGAGTATCTGCAGATTGACCTGAAACATAGTAAAATGCTTACCGGAATATCCACTCAGGGAAAACATGATAAAGATGGAAAATGGGTCACGGAATATTCGTTGTATTATTGGGAAAAGGAAGGACTTACTCCTCAGCCTTATACTGTTAATGGATCTACCAAGGTATCAAGTCAAATGAGCTAACTCATATTTTTCGTGTTCTTAGACATTTTGCATACTTTATCGCATGGTGTCGTAAAAGACTCTCGCATGGCTTATTTCATGGTTTGCGTCTGACTCGTCATGCGTCACCTGGGTGGATGTAGTTCTTCATTTCTCCCTTAAAATCTGCCCTATTCAGTATTCTAGCACTATTTTTGTCTCCATGAAGTGTTTTTTTTTTCTTCACGTCTCTTAGACATTTCTTTTACGACAGTGAATTCTGTTTCAAGATTTATTACCTTTCTTTTTTAACACTTTCCTTTCTGTCTGCGAAGATCTCACTCAAACATCCTGGATTAAGTAACACGTATTTCTACCTCTGCCAAAATTTATCCTGAATCCCATCGCGAGCCAGTGACGAATAATGTGAAATATAGCTTGTCCCTGACAGTGGTTGAACCCAACTTTTTTCGAAACTGATCATCCAGGAAGACTCTGAACCCCATAATACCAAGGCGTGTTGCTTTGACCTTCTCAACCGTACTATGATAGACTGGTAAAATCGAAGCGACGGAGGGAGTTCATTGTTATGGCTTCTGCTGCAGCGAGTTGAAGCTACGTTTCATTTGTTATTATTTATTTATTTATTTATTTTAGTCGGTCTAGAGTAACCTGAATATCTAATATTTGTCTTGCATTTAATGGATTAACAGATTTTCTCTGGGAATATTGACCAGTTTACTACGGTTACACACAGTCTTGATGGCGTTAAAAATGCACAGTTTGTCAGGCTTGAGGTGAAGTCATGGCATCAAGACATATGCATGAGAGTGGAACTTTTCGGATGTGATGGCAAGTTACAATTATTGTTATCATTTCTTTACATCCCTATTTTTTCCCCCTCTACTATTATGGTGATGCGAGTTTAATTCAGTCTTTGTATATTCAATAGATTAAGGTATGATCTGTAATCAAAATGAAATTGCAAAAACAATTATACTTTTCCTATAATGAAATCATATTTAATGCTTCAATTTTGGAGAACAGAGATTTACTTACTCATTAAGAATCCTTCAGCTGTTAACGAAAGAGTACATTCCTTTAATAACTTTGGGACCAGCATTACAATCAATGTAAGATGTTACTCTGAGTTGGAACGTACTTGGGTATTCTTTTACTTTTTAAACTGGGAGTAAAAACTACGAATTTTTTATTTGTAGCTGCGCCATTCATTCTCATTTTCAATGCTTCTCCAATTATATGACGAATGTATCTTTGGTGGACAAGACACGCAAAAAATACATAGAAAGTATAATTTTGTCTTTTTTTCGTTTTGATTCGAAACTAGCTAATCTCGTGGATGGTGGGTACAGCGAATGGTCGGCTTGGTCGGCGTGCAGTGCTACCTGTGCAGGAGGTTTTCAGTACCGACAGCGAACCTGCGACAATCCGGAGCCCGAGAATGGGGGTAAAGACTGCTCATCACTGGGAGCTGATAAAGAGGAAGCGATTTGTAATACACACATTTGCCCAGGTGGGACTATGACTACACTTCAAGTGAATAAAGATAAATTTTATACCTGTATGAGGGTACATACCGAGAAAATATTAACTGCCTCGGACGATACTCAAGACCGCAGTTATCCTAATACGAGCTGACCTACATGTAGAGCGGCCATCAGCTTGTTTACTATGCTGCCATTTATTGGACTATAACTGTAGAGATCGAATGGGGCTTTGTGTCCACTACAAACCACTTGGAAGTTTGAAAATTGAGTTTGCAACAAGAATTTTAACAACTCGCTAAGAATTAATCAAATTGCATGCCGTCCCTGAAAAGAAAAGTAATGTTTATTTCCTTTTCGAAAATTATACATTTTATTTCATTTTTTATAAACAGATTTTAGTTTAATGAATTTGAGTCATATTATTTCTCCCAAGTGCAGCGTATCATCTCAAATGACACGAAGACAGTTGAACACAAAAATAATTAACAGTAATTTTAATTCAATTGTAAAGCAAGGAGATTCAACGCTGATAACTGAATTTCCATACTTTAAAGTAAAAATTTAAAGTGTTTAAATCTTCAGCTTGGAATGTGAATGCTATAGAATAATTTTTTTTCCAATTTATTTGAGTTGTTAGTGCTCATGACCCAAATTTATCAACTACTCTATTGAAAAAAATTGACTACTGACAATAATTTACCTACTGTGAAATTTCAGCACTCGACGTAACAGTTCCTTCCGTTGTAGTAAAAGAAGTTCCGGTTGTTATCAGGATCATAAACTGCGGTCGGGAGGTTGTGAGTTTGGATTTTGGGGATTGCAACGTAACCAACACATCGCTCTGCGAAATTGAACATATTTACAACAAAACTGGCTTTGTGGAACTAGTTTTACAAGCTAAAAATCACACCATAACGAGACGCCTTATCCTGGTGCAGGATGCTATTACAGGTTTTGTGGTGAACAAAAAAGTTAACGCAATTTCATTTAGGGATACTTTTTTAATTAATTGGAAAATCGATACGGGTTCAATGGTTCGTTTTTCGATCGATTATGGAGACAACTCGACAGAAACTTATTCATTTTCTTCTGTTCAAAAAGTCCTACAGAGAAATAATTCTCATATCTACACTGGCCTGGGAGTATTCTACGTCATCATAATGGCCATGAATGAGTTGAACAGCATCACAATATCTGAACATGTTATAGTTGAAATTCCAGTCAATGTTTCGTGTTTGCTTATCAAGAATCTTGGGCCCTTTGATAACATATACCAGAATGACAGTATTGAAATAAAATTGAATGTATCTGATGGTTCTAACCCGGAATTTTTGTTTGTTTTGGGCGATGGAATAAATCTTACACAAAGATCAACAGAATTGGTGTACAATTATCCGCAAAGTGGACTGAAAAATATTAGCGTAATTGTTTACAACAATATAAGTGCGTATCAGTTACGAACTGTTATAAATGTCCGAAAAGTCTTTTCACTTGGTAATGCAACTCTAGAGGTTTCTTCAGCCAACGTTACAGAGCCGGCATTGATGATCCTAAATGTCAGTGAAGGGTTTCCGTATCTATGCTTTTGGTATTTTGGAGATGGGAGTTTCATTCAAATATCTTCTTTTCAAAACAGTTCATTCATCTACCATGTTTACAAAACAATAAATGTTTTCAACGTAAACATTAACTGCTCAAACAACTTTGGCTTTATAGTCCAAAAAGCAACTGTTACGGTACAGCAAGCAATTAAAAGCCTAACTTTCACCAACAACTGCCCGAGGCAAATCGATGAAATGGTAGTTTTTAACATATCAACAGAAGAAAGAGGAACGAATTCCTGCTTTGTTGTTAATCTTGGTGATGGAACATTTTTTGGGTTTGGTCACGAAGACTGCAGCCATGAAAACGTATCGGTACGATTCTTAGGCTTCGCTGGAAATTATTTTTCTATCAACTACAACTACTCTTCGTTGGGAAGTTATGATGTAAGCGTAACAGCGTGGAATCGTGTTTCTCGTTCCTTCCTACAGGACAAAGCCCTTGTGGTAAAAATACCTTGCAATTTTCCCACCATAACAGTACCAGAGTTTAAAAAAGATATAAATTCTCGAACAGTGTTCACTCCATTACAGGTGGTTCGTTTTCGTGTTTTTATTACGAAAATCGATTGCAAGGCAACTGATCAAAAAGATATCATTTGGACTGTTTCTGAGGTGTCATCTTTGCCAAAGGATAAATCTGGAACCCATACCGTTCTTAACCCAGACAACAAGAAACTCGAGGAGCTAACTATACAGAAAAAGACCTTGACATATGGTGTATATATGATTAGGTGTAATGTCAGTATGAGAGAACAATACGATGTGTACAGCATTGAAGAAGGCTTCATTGAAATACAAGGCAATGCTTTGATAGCAATAATCGAAGGAGGGAGTCTCATTCAAAAAGCCTTTGGTAAGCCCTACGTACTGGACGGTTCGGATTCCCGTGACCCTGATGACGCTGAACCCAATTTACAGTACTACTGGCTTTGTCAAAATGCTTCCTGGGAAATACAGGAAGATTTAATGTCCATGACAAGCGAAACTTACCTTCTTAATGTCTCTGATTACAATGCATCCACTTTCTGCCATAGATCAAGAAACGGAACTTTAATGAAGGGCGGATCGTCCATTGAAATTCACACAGGCACACTTGGGTTGCATTCTTCCTATGCAGTGGCCCTTTTTGTCTCCAAGACAGTGAATAATCACTTTCGAATCTCAAGCTTTACTCAGGTGGTAAAGATTGTCGATGGAGATCCACCAGTTATCAAAATCAGGTAAGAAGATACCTTCAAAGCACTATCATATTTCGAGTTTATAAGCAAGTTTTTTTGTGATACTTCCTGTCAATAAACCAAAGCTTAGTTCAATTTCTATTTTAAATTCCATACGATCATAATTTACTATATAATTTTTCCTAAGGCTTTTCCTTGGGCTAGTTATTGAATTTGAATTAAAAAAAAAAAAACTAGAGGTAGAGATACTGTGGTAAAGATTGATTGTATCTAATGTAAAATTCACTCTGAAGAGTTCACCATCAATAGAATGTACCTTTTTAGCTGAACAGTTAATTCCTTAAAAATATCACTATAACAGACGACCACATGTTTCACGTGACTTTGAAATAAATGTATTCACTAGGTGCAAACGGAACTGTGGTGCAACTGTTAACGCTGCGGAAAGATTTCTCCTAGAAGCCCAAATTGACCCCTTGGAATCACTTAACACTTTACAAGAAAGATACCAATGGAATGTCTACGAGAAAATTGAAGAAGGAGAAACATTTGCCTGGACGAAATTCAAAGATACCGATGCATCAAATGTTAATCATATATATTTCCTTGAGAACACTCTTAAGCCTGGGAGGTCTTACAAGGTGTCTGTTATTGGAATGATACATGGTCGAGCGGACGGATACAGTGAGTTGGACTTCTATGTCAATATCCCACCTCGTGGTGGAAGTTGCTTTGTTGACAAATCTGAAGGCTATTCAGACAAGACTTCGTTTTTGTTCCAGTGCAAGGAATGGGCTGACGAAGATCTTCCATTGTCGTACGAGTTTATGTATTACACGCGTTACGGGGTCGTGTTTCTCTTGTATGATGATATTTCACCTGTTTTTGTTACCAAGTTACCACTCGGTGATGTGGAAAAGAACTTTACCTTGAACTTGCAAGTGAAAGTAATCGATGCTCACGGCACATACAACACCACAAAAATCGACGTCCAGGTATGTAAACAGGAAATTGATTGTCCGAAAAAAAAAGGCTTTGCCATTAAGTCGTGATTATTCCTTGTATTGGATGTACTAGTAAGGAAATAATTTCGTTGGACCACCATCTTGTACTTCCAATGTTTGCTTTTTATAGTTTTAGATTTATCTGTTTTCATAATGCGGTTCGGATACATAGCCGGCAAGTAGTACCAGAAGAACCAACAAAAGTTTGTAAACATACCAAGCGCCGTAATTGACACTATAATAACGTGAACAGAGACGAAAATTCCTCAACGAGAAAACAAAATGGACATTCTTTGTAGGACATACATATATATCATTTGTGTTTATCTGAACCTGGCTAAAAAACAAGGTTTCAGCCTCTGTATATTTGCCATTACAAATTAAACATAATGCTATTTGGGAAAGACCCACGGGTCTTAATACTGCTCCACAATACACTTTGTATTTTCTTATTTTATCAAATTTGGTGACTATTTAAAATCAGTTAGATTTTGCCGTCTGATATTCGCTTGGTTAACGTTAATTCTATATTAAGAGGAGATGTTGTTGTGCGACTTCTTGGTCTAGATTGAGTTAACCTGTTAAATAACTACTGTATGTATAACAGGGTAATTTAGTATTATTAACTAAGTTGATAATACGAAAATAGCCTAGATGGACCCATCGTGAATGATTGCAACGCGGATTACCGTCCATTTGATGAGAAATTCATCTTCAAATTAGGACATAAAGTGTCGCTTGTCCACTTATTTTATGGAAAAGTGATCACAGCAGGAAATAGCTTTTACTCCTTAAGTATAAGAAATTGAAAGAACTCGCTGGGGAAGGCACTTCACCCCACTTCATTTGCATGAGCGGGCGAACAATTTACCACTTCAGACTGTACACAGCATCGCTCTAAAAGTGTCATGTAGAATCCGAATGAGATGGTCAAATGTACAAATATTTTCCAAAGTATATCATCTAACTATTTGTTTGTTTCACAAATATCATTTTCCATAATAAATTGATGTTGTTTTTTTTCTATTGGTTCAAGGAAGTACTACTAGTTTCATCTGTTATCCGCTTAATTCCAGGTATTTCTCGGTACAAACAAACAAAATGAGACTTTATCAAAGTTCCAGAACTTCGCAATTAAGTCGTTGTCTTCACTAATGGAAGAGGGAAAGACACAGGAAGCCACTCGTGAGATGAATGCGATCGCCTCCGTTCTAAATGCCTTTGCATTGCAAAATGGAACCACAGAGAAAGAGGAACGCAAACAAGTGAGGCCTTTAGTTTCTCTATACCGTTTTAATGTCCTTTTGAGTTATTAAACATTAGCACCGACTAGGTAGTAGCAAGCTTGAGTTGTTCTTTAATCTTTCATCATTTCTGTTAAATACTATTTTAATGCATTTTTAGGAGTCTAGATGAAATTATTTTCTTCGTCTTTTGCTGTCGTACTAGAGGAGCCTGAAATTTTGAATTTTAAACTACCATACTTAGGTTTCGTCCAATTGCTTTGAATCCAGTTGCATGTCTATGGTCTGGGAAAATTAGATAATGATGATCAGTTAATTTATTTCGTCTCCCAACGTAGACTCAGAAACGTTGAAATCTGGATCACAGCTTGATATACCTCGTGAACGTGACAAGTGATTAAAAATTCCATCCTTTTAACGACAATATGTGACTGATCAGCTCAAGGTCTTGTATTTCTTAGTTAAGAGCGACGATGGCAACTGTTCTTGCAAATAAAACAGCATCGTCTCTCTCTGATGTGAAGCAGTTGGGATCAGCCTTAAATCAAGTGACCCTAATTAGAGACGAGGTTCCTGTTGATATTCAGGTAAGAAACAGCAAACGAAAGGCACGTTGTTTTGTGGGTTTACAAGTATTGAAACATGAAACAACTGGAGGAAATCGGGATGATTGTGTTATTGTCCATTGCTTTCCCATTTAGGATCTCACATTCACGTGGTTTTTTTTTACTGTCTATGCTTCGCTACTTGTATGAACGATTTGATTGAAGCATTGAAGTCCTCAAACAAAGTGCATACCATTCGTGATACTGTTCTGAAATTTCAGGAAATTAGTCTCAAATCTTTTAAAGACATGGCGGATTTGATCAATAAAAAGTCGCATGACAAGGCAACTTCCACAAGTCTCATCAACGACACAGCCATCATAGTAGGAGCGGGCTTAGTCAATGTCATCATGGCGTCCAGCGATTCGGCTCGACTTGACGGGGAATATCCTTCTCAGGACTCGCAACCGTATTCTAATGATACTGTAGAAAAGGTATGTTGAGTAGATGATGTTCTTCATAAATCAGACATTTTGAATCAAAGAACAACTCACCACAACGCATAGAGAAGCTAATCCCGTTACAGTGCAATAGAATTTTATGGAATTCAAAGTTCTCTCCTTCGTTTCGTTTAATCGTGAAATAATCTTGATTCTAATAGGGAATGGGAATGACCTTAACAACTACCCTTAACAATGGTTTCGTTCACTAAGCAACAAATGGGAACAATCTTTCACTTACATTACATCCAATACAAATACTCCTATTCTAACTCATTGAAAACCTTTAAGTAACCTGTCTGTCAGTTTTTGAACTCTCGACATTTCTCTAATTGTTACTAGGCAAGGGTAATTGCGCTTGATACCATGGCAACTTTGGGTAATGTTACTGATGTGTTGAGTTCTTTAACGATTCTTGGAGAAGAACCTCTGATTATGTCTGTACCTCGAATGTCAATGGTTCTACAAAAGATGAGATCGGACATAGTTGGCGAACACACCGTTGGGAATGGCCAAGTGTCTGTACACTTGCCTAACCTTACAGAGGTATTCGGTGGAATTTCGGCCAGTGGATACGTGGATTTACAGGTATCCATTATGATTTTCATATCAGTTACATCGATTGTTTAAGTTTGTCATTGAACCGAGGGCAGGCAAAACGTTGAACTGAGTAAAGTGGTCATATCTCAGGGAATAGAGGAAACGTGAATGAAAAAGGTGAGTAGGAGTAGGGAAATCATAAACCATTTACCTTCATTCTTCTCCTTACACTCTATATTTTAATTACCACCCTTTCTTGTTTATTTTTGTTTTTTAAAAAAAATTATGTAATTGGCATTTTCCCAATTGTAAAGCTAATAGCCAGATACATTTACTGACTCTTTACATTTTATTTATAGGTACTTGTTTTTCCTACCAACCCATTTACGTGGGACAGCACAGCTTCGACCATTTCTTCCCACATTCTCACGGTTATGCTCAAAGACGAAAAAAAAACTGAATTAAACGTATCTTCTCTTAAAAATGAAATCAGCCTGATTATACCCCAAAACATAAAGTTGCTTCCGGAACCATCACCAGCATTCATGAACGGAGGCAACGGCAGTATTCGTTATCATAAATTTGACATCACAAACGTGGAACACCCAATGAGTTTTCGGATTAAACCTAGCAAAAACGATGTATTTTTTGCGATCTATTGGGGCTATCAGGAGCGTCCCGAGATGGGAGACCATAACTTAGTCACTGTTTTGCCAGACTTTTCGTCATGCAGCGTTCTTGATGGCAGCCGTGAGACCTGCGAGTATGATCCTTACATGGTATTCATAAGCGGATCATCTATACCAAGATCTGGCGAATATTACCTGGGTATCAGAAGTTATCGGGCATCAAATGGTACACGGTCTCGCATGCGGAGGTCTTGTTTCGATGGCGCTCGAATCAAACGCTCTTGTATAACTTATAAAGATCCTCCACCTCGACCAACGACTGATCCTCGGGGGGAATACAAACTTCAAGTACCCGTCTACGATGCTGATAAAGACGTCAATTATACAGTTAACAGTTTTACATCACCATGTAAATTCTGGGACGTCAAGAACGAGACATGGTCTTCAAAGGGATGTAAGGTAAGTACTATTGTTATACATGTCGTCATGATTGATTAACTCGTGGTACAGCCGCAGAACTAAAATTTTGTAGCCGATTCAAGGGATCCGCTTGCGACCCACTAGAGTTATAATTTTTGAAGCTCGAGGCTGAGTTATCTTCAAAATGAGGAACATTTCTTTCGAAAGAATTTCAAAGGCGCATTAACATGTGTCCTTGCCGAACTTGGTATTTGGTATTTATCAATAACCACAACGTTATCGCCTGACATGATACATGATGTTATGATTAACGAAAAAAGAGGCCACTAGTGTGCTCGGTTCTGTTGTGAAGCGCCTACGAGGCAAGAGCATGATAAAAATTTACGGGGAAGCATGAGACATGGGTGAGTGTTTCCGATTCCCTTTTCTTGAGGGCTTTATTGCTGCCAAGGTGTCCTACTACTTACTAGAGGGACTTAAGAGCTGAGTACAGTCGAAGCTTTTTCATTTCTTTGTTATAAAGAACCCATCAAGACTTGTAGGTTAAGTGTAGTTTCAAAACTGCCTAACATATATCTGACTCGACTGATTATTAATTGCACAATCTGTGTTTGGCTGAGTGAACGTTTCATTTGGGTCAAATTCGTTAAAATCCCGAAGCAATATATGAAAAAGTCACCTCATCATGGCTTATCGCCACTTACCGTTCACTCTCATAAAGTACACTTTTTCAACAAATCAGTGGGTGCGTTATATTGAAACTTATTATAAATTTCAATAAAAGAATTGGTCCATGTTTTGTGTGCGTATTTCGAGTTATGGATGCACGCAGGAAGTTTGGAGAGCACGAGAGAAACGAAAGAATTGCTCGAGGCGCAGTCGCTTTGTGAATGCTCTCCAAACTTCCCAAGTGCATCCGTAACTCAATAGACGCATAGCTAAAGCACGAACCGATTTTATTAAGACATAGCATGCAGACACAAGTTGTGCTCGAAAAAAAATTTTTATCACAACAGTATCTAGCTTATTAGGTGACCGTGTTCTACCTGAAAACTACAAATAAGAGAATATGTTTCGAGACAAAATCTCTATTCAAAGAATAATATTGTAAATATTCTGTTCAGGAGCGAAAAACGAGCGAACATCTTGCATGCACGAAACTGCGTAGTAGACTCAGCATGCTGGAATTGCTTACCATAATTCATGGTCAGTAAAGTGTTCGAACATTTTCGAGACCCGCGTGGTAGATTTAGCCTGCTTAAATGTTTTTCTTTTTTTTGTAGTAGAATTTACGACCAGAAAACTGCGTAGCTTTGTATTGAAAATTATGAAAATTTTACGATTTCAAAACAAAATTATTCATTGAACAACACTTTTGGGACAAAGCAACACTTCAAAATAATATTTACCGTTCCAATGAAGAGTCCCCAACTTCGCAAAGCCTCGGTTGAAGTCAGAAAGCTAAGTTTTGTTTTTAGCCATGATTCGCATCGCGTTTGGGAATGAAGCATCGTCAACTCCAAAACTTATTTGGTCGCCTTTCGTTTCGAGCTTTCGTTTCGAGCTTCCTCGAGCTCCAAAAGGTCTATCTCAATTAGGAAAGAATGGTTTCTATACTTTTCGATACCCACATGTAATGGTACGAGATGTCACATGATATAATGCAATACACAGGTGTAAGTGACGTGAGGCAGAGTCCCAATAGGATAAAAAATGTTTTTGCTTCTGAAGTTATAACTTGGTCGATGGTAATTACTGGAATAAAATTGAAGATATTCAGACAATACATGAATAATTTTTACTCATAGGTTGGAAACAAGACCCGAATTGACCAAGTCCATTGTCTATGTACTCATCTGACTTCTTTTGGAGGAGGGTTCATCCAAGCTCCAAATCCTATAGACTTTGATAAAGTTTTCGAGGGCTTCAAAAATTTGTCCGACAATGTTGCTGTGCTGGCAACTATTGTGACAGCATTCGCCATCTATATTTTGATGGTATTGTGTCTGAGAAGAATGGACAAGCGGGATGAACTTATTGTAAGTTGGTCCTTAACCTTTTGGATATGGCTATGTTATAAGTAAGAGAAACGATGCAAAATTGAACAAAGTTGAATTTGAAAGCTTTCAGTACTTCTAAATCGACGATGAAACCAGTAAATATTCTAGAATCAAACTTTTTATTAGGATTCTCCCAAAATCCTTTGTTTTCTCAGAGGCTTTAATTTTTAGAGGTGACATTGAAAGTAACTCCAAGAAGTGCAACTTTTCAACAGAACGTCCTACCGAAGCGAAATATATTTCCAGTTGTCTTAATTTCTTAAGTGGTACGTGACGATCGCTTAGAAATAGTGAGTACCTCATCGACTCATGTATGGTCTTAAAATGTAGTGTACAAGGTTGCAGTAATAAATCATCTTGTGAGAATTTTTTAGAACAGAGCAGCGCAAAATGTAATCGTGGATATTTATGAGAATGTGGCGCATTTCAATTGATATAATCATTAATAATTGTCTTGCCATTATAGGGCATTCCTACGACAATTCAAACCCACGAAGGTGTACCCCTAAACAGCTATGAGATTATAATCCAAACTGGCTCATGGCGAGGCTCTGGTACAACAGCCAATGTCTTCATAGTCCTGGTGGGCGAGGATGGCGAAAGCAACCCCATCGCACTAAGGGATGAAAACAAATCTCTTTTCACCAGAGGATCGACGAATGAATTCCTCGTTTCAATTCCTGAGAATCTTGGAAAATTGCTCTACCTTACGGTATGGCATGATTTGTCAGGCATAAATTCTTCTTGGTATCTCAGTTATGTTATCATTCGCGAGAATAAAACAAGGGAACAGTACATTTTTGCGTGTGACCATTGGCTCGCCCTAGAGAGAGGAGACGGTTCAGTAAGGAGAGTTATACCAGTAAGCGACAAAAAGGAACTAACAAGTTTTGGGATCCTTTTCCGTACCAAGACATCTAAAGACATATTTGATGGCCACCTTTGGATCTCTGTTGTAGGTAAACCATCTAAGAGTAACTTCACTCGTGTCCAGAGATTGACCTGTTGTATGTCACTTCTATTTAGTGCAATGATAACAAACGCAATGTTTTACAACATTGGAAACAAGTCAGACGATTCCACTGTTTCCATTGGACCATTTTCATTGAGTCTCAAGCAGATCATAATTGGAATTCAGAGCAGTCTCATTGCGCTCCCAATCAACATCATAGTCTTGCAGATATTTCGTAATCTAAAGCAAAAGAAAACAACCAGTTCAAAATATAAAAGGCCATTTCCCTTCCGAAGAAACGCAGTGTTCGTCAGCGATGAATGGTCAGACAAAGATGCTCCGATGGAACCAATCCAGGAAACTTCAGGTGGACGCTTGCCTCACTGGTTGATCTACATAGCGTATCCTCTGTGCTTTCTGATAGTGATGACTGCAGCATTATTTACTTTGTTTTACAGTATGCAGTGGGGAAAGGAAATATCCAACAAGTGGCTCTCATCCATGCTTGTATCATTTTTCCAGGACGCATTTATAACACAGCCCTTAAAAATCTTCCTCGCCGCTCTAGTTATCTCATCAATTTTGAAGAAACTACCCAGCGACTTTACAGAAGGGCCATTTGCGGGTAGGAAAACAAGCATTGTAGACCCCAAACCAACCGCATTTGACAGAGAAGAGGCAATAAAAAGACCACTCTTTATGTCTAAACCTCCAGACGAGACCCTAGTGGAGAAGGCCAGGAAGTACAAATTGAACGAGTTGAAAGCTTTCAGGATACTGAGGGAAAATATCTTGCATCTGCTATTTCTATCGTCGTTGCTGGTGATAAGTTATTCCACGAGAGACCCAGATGCTTTCACTCAGAGCAGATATCTGAGATACGTGTTCGGTGAACAGGTACGGTGTACCAACGCTAAACTATTAGTTAGGATAAGAACGATGAAAAAAGGATTTAAAAAAGCTGCCTACAACGAAATTGCTCGTTTATGTCCAGCATGACGTTTTCCGCCTTAAATGCCATTTCACTTTTTATAGTCTAACCTTATCCTGTAAGTTCTCGTACGAGAAAGTGCCACTTGACGGCAATCAGAGAGACTCAATTATTTTGGTGGTTGCTTACGGGATGTTGGCTTGTACGTTAGATGTTGCTGTTCATTAATGTATCATGGTAAATGGTTTAAACTTGGGGTAGCATGTGATAGGGGAAATTGATATTATCAACTGAGTTGATAACGTAAATTGGCCACCGCAAAGAGTTTCAAAGCTGACGTTTCGGGCGTCCGCCTTTCGTCAGAGCGAAGGGCTAACGAGGAGCTAACGCTCGAAACGTCAACTTTAAACTCTTTACGGTGGCCAATCTGCGTTATCAATAAGTTGATAATACTAAATTATTCAGTTATACTCTCCCAACGACTCAGCGCCACAGTTTCTTTAGAAAATTACCCCCTTTCATCGGTGACATAAGAGAGTATAGTCTGAGTGTAAGACTAGAAGGACTGCTGTCGGTAATAGAGACTGACGTTATGATAACATACTTTCTCAGTACTACACTCACTCGAACGATCAGATCACTCTATCAATAACTTATGTATCTTGCCCCTATAAGCTTTATTTTCCTTGTTGGCTGTAGCACCACACCATTTCATCTGTGAGAAAACAGATGAAAAAAGAGAAAAAGTGCTAAGTTTTGTTTACCACGTGATTACAAGCAGTGGCTTTTTTTCTTTTTTTCGAATATGTATTTTTAATTTACCTAGGCTAACGATATCCGGAGTCTTTGGTCTTTCTTGGAAACTGGTTTGCTACCTTTTGTCTTCGACAAAAAGTGGTATAACGGTGATGAGGACAAATTAGATGGGTTCACTGAAGACAAGTACTTGTATATTATTGGTATGCCACGCCTTAGACAACTCAGGTCCAAGAAAGGTACGCTTTTGAAATGCTTTTCTGAGATTAATATACTGTTTCAACTATTTTTTTGTTTAAAAAAACGTTGTGCTGGGAGAAGTTGACAAGATTTAATTGAATTTGAATTCGTTTGGAATATATCTAGTACAAACTAGTTGCTGTTACATTAATTTGCTCAAGAGGATGAAGCTTTCTTTTTTTTTCCATTTGAAGTAAACTGTGAAAGTGAATACTCCCAAGACCTAAACATGAGTTGCAGTGGTTCTTACTCCGTTATTGACGAGGAAAAAGATTTCTATTTACCTGGATGGATAAAAAAAGGCGACTTGAGCTATTCGGCATGTCCGGCTTCATGGCGATACCAAACAGCTCTAAAACTGGACGGACTGCCTTTTTGGGGTAGTAAAACGATTTACAGTGGCGGAGGATATACTGCTGACCTGGGTTACTTCATGGAGCAGGCTAGAGAAGTGATAAGTGACTTACAGACCTACAAATGGGTTGATCAGTTCACACGTGCAATCTTTGTCGAGCTTAGTGTGTTCAATGCTCCAGCCAATCTTTTTAGCAGTGTTACTTACTTGGTGGAGTTTACAGGTACCGGGGGCTCTTCAACGTATTTGAAAGTGGACACTTTCCGCCTTTATCAGCATATCGGCCCCTGGACTGCAGCGGTTGCATTTAGTGAGTTTGTGGCCATTGTGACTGTTGCAATAGCTCTCTACGTGGCTTGCAAGAAGATTTCTAGGGAGAGAAAAGGATTTTTCAAGAAGGCTTGGAATGTTGTCGATGCTGCGCAGATTGGGCTATCCATCTCTGCTATAGCACTGTTCTTCATCCGACTGATGAACGCAAACTGGACTATCGCAAAAGTTCAGGAGAACCCATTTGTATTCGTAAGCTTTCATTATGCAATGAAGTGGGACGAAGTTAGCACTTACGTCATTGGTGCCATAGTATTCATCGCCACGTTAAAGTTTCTCCAACTGCTGAGCTTTAACCGGCACATTGCTGTCCTTTCGCATACAATTTCTCGTGCCGCAGTAGAGCTGCTACCGCTGGGAATGGAAGTCTTACTCACGATTTTTGCTTTTAATATCTTTGCTTACGTTGTTTTCGGAAGCCGGGTCGAAGGTTTTAACAACTTCATAACGACCTGTGAAACTACACTGGCTATGACGCTTGGGAAGGCATACTTTATGGAGCTGAGCGATTCGGAGGCTGTCCTCGGTCCTTTGTTTTTCGCTATGTTTGTGATAACTATGCAATTTTTCCTTATCAACATGATTCTGGCTGTTATTATGGACACCTACAATGAAGTTAATGCTGAAATCGATGAGAACTCCCCAGAGTACGAAATGGCTGGTTTTCTTCTATGTTATTTAAAGTCTTTCTTCGGTGATCACTCTGAGTTTAAGGCCGGAGACGAGGTCTGGAGGAAATCTAAAGAGAAGGGAAACAAAACTGTTAAAACTGAGAGTGTCAAAGAAAACCTCCTTGTTTTAAAGGAACAGCGTAATTTGCTGAAGGAAAGGCTAAAATCGTTGCAAACTTTGGACAAAGATGTCGCCGATTCGGAGCTCTCTTTTGTAGAGCGGTGGCACGCCATCTGTATCTCTGCTGATTATGAGACTGATGCAAAGTTGTTAGAAGTGATGACGTTCTACCTTGGCCACGAAACCGATTGCTCCATCGAACTTAGTGTTTCAGATAACGAGGCCGATGCATTTGCATAATCGGGGACAATCAGGAACATGATCATGCTTTCTGATTGGAATGACAAGAGAACTCAAAACTCGAAATTATTACATTTTGTCGAAAATTGCAATATTTACGCGCTTGTTGATAGTACTTTACATTTATATTTTACATTTATTTTACGTTTACATTTCATTTATATTACTGAATCGAAAAGACCTTGATAACTGTCGGACTTCAAGAGTCAAGCTTAGGGTATTTTTGTCAAAAATTGCGATTTTTTGGGCTCGTGTTTGATAGGAAGGTATTAATTTTTATGTCTTTTAAAACTACATTATTTGAATGTAATGGAATCTCAAATCTTAAATTTGTTTCCAAGCAGATAAGGAGTGTGTTAAAATATTTTTATACATTGCAATAATAGATGAATTCCACCGGCATCTATTAATCAATTGAAATCAATTAATTCATATATTAAAGTTCACAAGGTAACCGGGTGGACAATCAGATATGGTTTGATGCTAATCTGGTATAAAGATATAATGAACGTAACCTAGAAGTTACAATTCATAGACCCAACGTTTCGACACTACTGTCTAGTACCTTCATCAGGGGTGATCTAATCGCTGCAAAAAGAGGACGTTTTATATACTCACTAATTAGCTGCCCTTTGTTCTGACGAGGTGTAAATGGGCGTCAGGTAGTAAGCTGCCATCATCACGATTTAAAGGAGCGTGGGCGGAGTTGATAGGCCAGGCTTCCAAACAAAGGCGCTGGTGGTAACGTCGATTATTGGTGATAATTTTAGACTTATCCCACCCAATTTTATGGTTGTTAGGCATGTGTGCTCCGACAAAGCTGAATTTTCTTTTTCGCATTTTGATGCTCTTTCAAACGTGTACCAAACTGACGTTTGGTGTGTCCGATATACTCGTCATCACAGTCATTGCACGGAATAGAATAAATAGCGTTGGTTCGTTGTTCTTTCATGACAGGATCCTTAGGTTTGACAAAAATATGCCCTGAAGTCTGAAAAGGATTTTGAGCAACTTTAACGTTGTGGTTACTCAAAATTCTCTTGACGGGTTCCGTAACATCCTGAATGTAAGGAATTACAGCAAAACCAGTCGCTGTTTCCTTCTCGTCAGGAGTGTTATTAGATGTAACTGGTTTCTAGCAGTATGGTTATTATAGCCATTTACCTTTAGGACGTCAGAAACATTTTCTCTCCTCAGCCTTCGAAACAAGTGAAGATGGTAGACAGTCCGCTCTCCTGAGTAGCTTCTCGGTTACATTTATTAAATTTCAAACCAGAGTAGCATCAAACCATGTCAAATTTATCCTATGCAGTTGGTACACAAATAAAACCATTCTTTATAGCGAGTCGTTAGTTGTCTTTATTAATTGCTTCATTAAGTACTTAATGTAAAAAGTTTTATTTGCAGTTAAGGTTTCACTTGAGAGATGCCTGCCTAAATTGTCGTTATTTTATCTATCAGAACGCTGCAGCAGAACAAGCCTGCGGACGAGCGCAGTAGGCACAAGATTCTGGGGGGGGGGGGGGGGCATGAGCGGACTTTTGCGGCCCGTGCGGGGGGAAATGTGTATTTACCAGTCGTAAACCCCCCTCCTACGGGCTAGAACGATAAATCCATGTCGAGCTCGATTTCCCAGGAACAAACATTGATCTGATATTCTATTGTTACGGGTCTGTCATTTTTGCTCATTTTAGCCAACAACTCCCAAGATCTGATTGTTTATTCTCCCTCTAGCTGCTACACATTTCCTTGAAAATCAGTTGTGAGAATTTGTTGTTAGATCGAGGTGTCAATTTTACAGGAAGAAGTTAAATGTTGATCACTGCTGGAAGTTAAAGGGTTAATACCGTGAAAATCGGAATTTCGGGTTTTAAGCCTACTTGTGTCAACTTGAGCAATTCTCTTTCCAGTTTTGGTCAGCACCTGCCTTGTTCGAAGTCCTGGTTACCAGTTTACAAAAACAGTTTTCGATCGACCTATCGCTGAACATCTGAGAAATTGTATTGTTGTGATCTTCTGCATTATTGATAGAATTAGCTTAAAAGGTTTCGCGTTTTGTTAATAAAGCACATCTTCAATCAATGTCAGTGCAAACCTGATGAGGGATTTGCCAAATCTAATCTGAGTTTCATAGATCTCTTTGCTTCAAGCTTTAATCACCAGCGTTTTAGCGAGGGAGTTTCTTATCCTATGACGATTAGTAGGATATCTTTCTATTTGCTTTTTTCCTATTAATAATTCTGAAGAATAAACATAAACTGATTAAGTCAGCCCGTAATTTTTAACAGTAGGATAGTTCAGTTTCCAGTGGAGTCCTGAATCTTATGGCACAACAGCGCGTTTTCCTCTGAACTACATCCAATTTCAACGTTGAATTCCCACTTTGTATAGATGATATCGAGGCGATATCCTTACCTTCTCGTTGTATGGGTAAGCATTCTAGTATCTTAATTTACGATGTTATGCTAACGTAAGAAACCTTCAAACATATTCGTTTTTAGAAGATGAAAATATTGACTGTTTGGAATTTACGTTTATTAGTCAATTAAATTTGACCATTTTTTAAACCGTTTTACTCAATTTACTCAGTAGCCTTCGATATGCTTTAGATAATCGCTAAAAAATTATTCATTTGACCTGTTAGCGAGTAGTCTTCGTAGCTGACTTAATCAGAAATGATGTTTTATTCTTTACCCCTATCAACAACTTTATTGCAGTATTTAACATTTTTATTCTAGGATCAGTGAATACTATCCATATATCCGCCCTTTTTGTATTGACTGAAATTTTGGGTCTTTAATCAAATCCCTTCTGCCTTTGAGCAAAATTAACAACAGGAATCACTTGCTTTATCAGCTAAAAGGGTACCGAAACAAATTAAGCAAAGGTTAAAATATATACGCCATTGACTTCTTTACTGCTTCTATATAAGTAAGTCGACAGATTCAAAATATACGCCCTTAAACTGAGGTAATCTTCAAACATCCTTACTATTCACGACGGACAAGTCGTCAGCAATGTTAGCCACAGACGCATTTGTCAAATTCAGTTAAAAGATTAATGCACTGGTCAATGTTGTATTATGGACCTAGATAATAAATTAGCTAGCTAAAAAGATCCTCTCTGTATAGATAATTAAACTGTCAAGTTTTCTTTTTGTTTCAGATCAGCATGATACCCTTGATTATTCAAGGTAAACCTTTCACTACATGAACACCTTTCATCAGATCAGCTTGACATATATCAACTGACCATGATCAGGAAAGTGCTGTTTCAAAACATAGCGTCACACAAGTTCTCGAACAAAGTCATATGGATGATCATGCTGACGTGTCCTTAAACCATACTGCCTTTTCTTAACTGCAACTAAATTTCTAAACAAGCCTCGAGCTTGGCTGAGTGCTGATATTTCCCCGTAGTCTCGTAAAGGAGAGGTGATAGAAAAGAGTAAAGAAAAGAAAAAAAGCCCCGTTCAAACAGTCATGATAGTTGATGATAGTTTCAACTATCACACTCATTTGAACACGAACCATTATGCACTATCATTTAGTTTGATAGTTTTTTCTAACCCCTGTGATAGTTTTACGGTAAGCACTTTTGTCAAAAACGGCTTAAACCTGATTGGCAAGTGGTAAAATGACTGAGGTAGGCTTCAGAATCTTCAACTCGCAACTTCTTGACTAAAATTTCAAATGCCAGCAAAATTGCTAAACCCAGCGCGCGTCATATTTGTTTACAAATTAATTAATTTCTCGTTGCGTTATTTTGTCAACTAGCATCAGCTGTCATGAACCGTTTGAACCCAAACATGATAGTCAGTGATAGTGAATGAAAGTTGAAACTATCGTCGACTATCATAATCGTTTGAACGGGGCTTAAGCGTTTTCCTTATGTGGTCTACCGATACACTATTTGCAATCTTAGTAAATTTTTTTACCTGCCTTTTTTTTTCTATTTTTTTTCTTGCTCTTGGGAATCTTTCATTTGTGGAACAGGGAATGTTATGGACTGCTCAGATGCGTTAGGCCTCTCAACCAATCAAATCGCAGATGACTCGTTATCTGCCACCACCTGGCAGCCTGGCAGAAGTGATCCTTGGTATGGCCGGTTAAACAACCAATCACGACGCAGCTGGTGTGCAACTGTCGTTGATGATATTCAGTATCTTCAGGTTATTGCAACATTAAATAAATGTTTCTTAGTACGTGATACAGGATTTCAACACTAATAAAACGTGACGTATAATGACTACGTGAATAAAATTGCAATAGGATGAATTTTGAAACCATCACAGACATGGAGGCAAAAGCATCAGCTTGGCAATTTAGTTTTAAATTTCTCATTTGCATTTAGATTGATTTGGGTCCCAAACTGAGATTAATAACTGCGGTGGCCAGCCAAGGAAGTCATAACTATGACGAATGGGTGACTAGTTATAAACTCTCCTACAGCACAGATGGCGGGAAATGGAAAGTCTTTGGAAAAGGCGACATACCGGAGGTGAGAACGGTTATAACCGTGTTACAGTGTGAATTCACTTCTTTCCCGTGCGGGAAACGGCACATTCCAAGGGCCTCCCTCTTCCTCCCTTGAGATAGTAACCTAGTTGCAGTTCATCTTGTGCTTACGCAGAATCTCTCAGAGTATGGGAGATTTCAAAAAAAATAAATCGAGGGTAGGATTCATGCATGGATTTTTTGTCAATACTAACTTGACAGGGAAGGCGTTTATTCGTGATTTTCGTTTTCCAGTTGGCAGTACTGCCACTAAACTTTTATCTAGATATAAAACCACTAAGTGTATTACTTGTTTAACTTTCAACTCAATGTTTGTATAACCAACCGAAAGCCGAGCAACTTGAAGTCTACTCAGGAACGTAACCGCTATTTTGAAAATGCACTCGGGATTTGTCGATTGGTCGAGAACCCTCTCTCCTTACGGCGATCTTTCTCTTGCATAGGCACGTGACCAGCCGCAACCAGGGCACACGTAGGACAGAAAATGATTTAAACGCTCACTTCTAACCTGTGAAGAAAAAAACAATCAAAATAAATCATAATTAAAATGATATGAATGTTCTCAATCGTTCATTCATTTTTTTACTCTTTCGTTACGTAATCCATCGATTTATTCAAATAACAAAGCAACCACACCCGGAAAAGTTTATGACGCTTACACGACGGATAGGAAACGATTCCAACTCTCACGTTCAATAGCTAAAAAATAATCAACCGTTGTCGTAACAAGGATTATATAAATGTTCCCATTCATTCATTCATTCAATCATTCCTACGTTGGTTTATATTTCTATTTATTACTTGCTATTTACTCAATCACCTGCTCTCATATTACCTCTTTTCTTTCGAAGATATTCGATGCAAATAAAAATCGCGGAACTGAAGTAAAGCACCAAATAGATCCGCCCATCACAGCTGTGGCCTTACGCTTCCACCCAGTGACATGGGAGGGTGATATGTGCATGAGGGTAGAAGCATTTGGATGCGATGGTGAGCTTACCACATCTATATCACTTCTTCTTCAAAGTATCAAACGATAAAAAAGTTTAGTTTAATGATAATCAGAGGATTATCTCTCGTTTCACACAAGACGTAATCATCATTTTAAATCCTACGAAAGCATTTGATAGGGTAACGGCTGTCGATAAGTAGCAATGAGTAAAGTGTAAAATTAAAGAATGATAAAAGACAATGACGTAGATTGATCATGAAAACACAAGTCTGAAAATCTGTGCATTGGATCAGTCCCATTTGGTGATCATAGGATTATCCTTTTAAACTATAAGCTTTGCAAATCACCATAAAAAATTCATTGTTCCAGGCCAACGAAAATACTGCAGTGATGATGGTCAAAGATACCTGTACATGTCGAAACAAAATACGCTCTTTAACATACTTCGAATCAAAACGAAATGAACTGAGGAATCGAAGCCAAGTGCACAACTGAAGCAAAAGGAACAATGCTGAAATAAAATTAGAAATAATAAGTTACCAGAATTTTGTGTCAAGAAACTGGAAAACAGGAAAACAAAATAAAGGACATCAAAAGACACTTACAAAGATTGTAGAACGGTTGGCTTAAGACAATATATACAAAACATTTTAAAGGAATTAAGAAAATTGACTCAGCACTGTGACAGTTAAACGATAGAGCCGAATGAATACGATTTACGGTAAAGAACTTATATGAATGATACAAACAAAGGTAAATTACGCAAAAAAATTAACAGAATATTGATAAAAAGTAATGCAACTGAAAACAAAAGAACTTAATGAAAATGCGACGGAAAAAAATACGAATTTATTATAAGTAGCGTCAATCACAAGCGGCCCAAGCTCCAGCTGTGAGATGATCATCTTGAGCAATAACAGCCATGGCGGAATTATAAGAGTTTGTATGGGAATATAACAACAATAGCCTCTTGATCGATTTCTTTTGAGGGGACCCGTGGTTCTAAAACAATTTATTTACGATAACTGACGGTATGGTCCTCGGCGAGGCTCAGTTCGAAAAGGAGGTAGGGTTACCAAGCTGGTTTTCAACGGTCGTGTGTCAAGGCTGATGTGGCTTTTAGAACACCTCTAAACTGGAAAGTTTTTGAAGCAAACTGCGGCTTAGTGTCGGTTGCGTGGGGAAGATTGAGTTTTTAGTGAATTGAAATGAAACTACAGTATATTTGCTTGGATTCTGCGTTGGATTTGTGGTCGCCCGGTCATTTTGAGCTTGGATTTTTCGCTTCTCGGATCAGGTGTTCGGAAATGGAGTGTTCAGCCTCGGGCTTTTCTTATGTACGTTGAAAACCTCGAAATGAATAACTCGCTAAAATAGGCTCTTTTCATTAAAGTAAGCGGTCAGATAACAAATGATACACTGAAGTAATAATAGAATTTGACGTATTTTTTTTATCGTAAATATTCCCATACAAACTCCTATAATTCCGCCATGACTGTTATTGCGCAAGATGATCATCTCACAGCTGGAGCTTGGGCCGCCTGTGCGCCAATATAGTTTTTGGCGACAATAGAAGTCATAAGCCATTTATGTTTAGACATGGTGACACCAGATCTTGTTTACGCAACACCTTCGGGGACTGGGGACAATCACCAGAATGTCGTTTCAAATTATGTTTCTACAGCTTATTCAGAAGCGTTAGGGGTGGAAAATGGTAGCACCATTCAGGATAAATATCTGACTGCGTCTCATCATAAGAACTCTTTCGAAGCACGTAAAGGAAGACTTCATAACTTAGAGAACGCATGGTCAGCTTATCCAAGAGTGGGAACGTTCTTGGAAATCTCCGTTGGAAGACATCTGAGCATTATTACTGCTGTAGCCACACAGGGTGTAAAGAATGAATATCACGAATCCTGGGTACTAAACTACAAATTGAGTTACAGCTTATGGGGAGACGAGTGGATGGAATACATTGACGACGGCGAAGTCAAGGTCAGCCAGTCTATCCAAAATTAAAAACAAAACACAAAAAAAAAGCATTTGTCACCGATCATTGATCACTCTCATCTTTAAACTTGAAACGCCTCAAAAAGGTGATTACAATCAGATCCCGATCCAACAAATCGTTTTTTTATTAAATCAATAAGTAACGGTAATAGGACTGAGTGGAGTCCAATTCGGACCCAATTGGACGGCACGAAGTCTTTTTTCCATTTAATCATAAAAATTACAATTTTTGAGTAAAGAAGAATTGCCAAGTTATGAAAGATTTTTGAGTATACGCTGTCCAGATTGCCAAGACTTCGTGCATAAGGTCTCAAACAAGGTTTAAACTTTGTAAACAAACACAGAAACTGTTCAACTATAAGTCAATCGCTGCCAATTTTTAACCTTTAAACGCGGGAAATGTTAGTTGAAAATTCAGAATCAAAGTTTACGTCTCCTTTCTTGTTTCAGGTATTTCGTGGTAACAACGATCACAGCACAGTAGTAAAGAATTACCTCCGACACAATATAACAGCCTTACGTATTCGTTTTTGGCCAGAAACATATTATATTCGTCCTGCATTGAGAGTCGAGTTGTACGGCAGTAAAGGTGAGTAAATTCATATTTGCAAAACAAATTTAGTTTAGTTTGGTCGGTTTCCAATTCTCTTATATGTTTTTGAGACTGTTGTGATGAAAGCGTTGTTTCCAGGATGCCATAAAAAAGATGAGGCCGTTATTCTCACCACTGCATACAGTTCGTACTCGTTACATTCTAGATATATTGATGGAAAAAGTCATCTGTGTGTAAAACTTTAATCTTCTCATAATTAAAGCCAATTGTAAAATGAGAGTAATGTACTATGTTCATCCTACCACGATCATAAGTTTACTTGTAAAATTTTCATAATGCATTCGTAAAATGTGCAGATGTTTGCCAAAACCCTCTTGGCGTGGAGAGCGGCGACATATCCAATGTACAGTTTACTGCATCAAGTCGTGCACCAGTTGAGAGTGATGCATGGAATGGTCGCTTAAACAACGGGAAGGCCTGGTGCGCGGGAAATAATGACGATAAACAGTATCTTCAAGTAGATTTAGGAAGAATTCTTACGGTAGCGCGAGTCGCCACCCAGGGTCATCCTGACAATCTACAGTGGGTGACTCGTTATAAAGTGGCTTACAGTATGGATGGAATATTTTGGAGGAATGCTCTTGACGAAAGCAAGTCAAAGGTTAGAATTGTAACTCATATCAAGTTCAATGATCTGGCACAGGCGTAGAGTAGGGACTTACATACCCCGGCAAAACATCTTGTTGGCAAAGATATATAAGTATCTCCTGAGAGTAGGTCCACGTGGGATTGCACGGAGTCCAAAGCTTAGTGGTTTCCACCTTCTTTATTAGCTATGGGAAAAATGTCACGTCCAGTCTTTCTCAGTATCTCCTTCTGTAACATTCTCATCACTAGGAAATTAGATATTATTTAACCAAAAGAACTGTTTTCAATTGCATCAGTTAAGATCCATGATTCCATTCCTCTCTTGAAAAGGAGGTTTTTGTACTATTAATTGCGAATGGTGATGAAGGAGTAACCTAGTGATTGACTAGTGTATTATGCATCGCCTAATGTCTACATCTTTTAAAGACCCTGAGTGGTAATACAGATCACAGCACAGTGAAGGAAGTCCCATTCTACAAACATGTAACAGGCAGATTCGTGAGGTTCCTTCCTGTGGAGTGGAATAATGCAATCTGCATGAGAGTAGAGGTTTACGGTTGTGAAGGTTGGTAATTCGTAAACTCGTAGTAGTTTCGGTATACTATGCAAATTTCTGTTAAAATTTAAGATATGGCTTTTCTCGAGTGTTTTACATGTCGATCGGGTTGGACAGTGCTTGTGCTTGAATTTTCATACAATTTGATGTGAAATACGAGTCGGGAGTGCAGGATATAAGGGCCCTTGATCACAATGCAATTCCATTGTGAGCAGATTACGCACATTGCTTACAGTGCATTATGCCATAATCAATAGCTGGCAAAGCGTTACCCCAAATTATGAATAGTAAACAATTATAAAAATAATGATATTTAACGAGGGAACCGAACTGGTAGATGCAGTTTTCAGTGGGGCCCTTCAAATTTGCCGTTTTATCTGTTACGAATCATTTATGATGTTGTTGGACTGTTGGTGTAAACTAGCTCGAACACCACGCGCAAACGCGAGATATCAAGAGTCTGAGCAAGAACTTTTATCGGAGGCGACAGCCAGTCTTTTCTTAATGACCCATTCAGCCCTGAGTGCGTGCTCTTAAACATCCTATCAGTAGGTGTGTGTGGGCTCACGGGACTACTAACCATAGCAGATTAAATAAAAAAGACCTCCTATTGAGGACTCTAAGCAAGGTCAGAAAGCAAACCTAGACACGATTAGCGATGGTGATTATTGTCCGAGACGAATCACTCAAAAGCAAAACTATACGTGGTCTTGCATCAGATAACAAACAACTAGGCTCAGAAGACTCACAGAAAACTTCCAATATTAGTATACTTCGTGACCATGTGTTCTCATTCCGCCCAATGACTAATGTACCGCACGTATTTCCAGAATGCGCCTATCCGGTTGGTATTGAGCGTGGAGTAGTACCAAATGAAGCCTTTTCAGCCTCATCATGGTACGACGTGGACCATGAGCCTTGGCTGGCAAGGCTCTATAGTAGAGAAGGCGAGGGAGCCTGGTGTGCACTGGAAAATGATGGGACCCAGTACTTACAAATCGATCTAGCTCAAATACATATCATAACAGGCGTAGCTACTCAAGGAAAGTACGAAATATCAGAATGGGCGATTCGTTTCAGAGCTTGGGTAACAAACTTCAGCTTATCTTTCACCGACGATCATATGCTTTGGGTTAACTACACTGAGGATGGAGTCTCTCCGAAGGTGAGCTTTGCTAAAAAATTAAGTCTAGATTCAAAATTGCATACGAAAACCATATTGGTCAAATTATCAGCTGTAGTTTGTCACAAAACTTTGAGTCTTTGATACTTCAATCCTATTTTTCCGCATCAAAAATTGCCATTCCTGTCTGATGTTTGCGTAAAAAGAGAGGCCTGGCTCTTTGTGCTGGCTGTAGTGATTTCCCTCCTGGAAAAACGAGTGTAAGAGAAATGTGTTGTATTTTCTAAAACAACATTTGCGAAATAAATTTTGACTCAACTTTTTAGGTCTTTGATGGGAATTCACAAAGGAATCAAGTTATCCGACATACGCTTTTAAAAAGAATAACTTCTCGACATCTAAGGTTTCTTCCAGTCACATGGTTTGGATGGACATGCATGCGGGTCGAAGTTTTTGGATGCAGAGGTTAGTAAGATGTTCTTGAAGAAATTTAATAAGAATGCTGGAGAGGATTATTACTCCACCCGAGAGACTCCGTGGGAAGCCAGATGCCTTTAAATGTATCAAGGGACAAACAGTAGTGATAACTACTAAAATGCCATTCAATTTTTTCTACAAGGAATCGAAACTTTTTGTTTCTTGACAGGTTCTATGCAAATTACTGTGCCTTGGTTTAAAATAAAAATTGACAACAACTTCACTGGCGATATAATTTGTTTAGTTACACCTAATTTCAATGGAGTTTTTCGTTGAAAAAATAGTGAAAATACAAAGGAAAAATTATAAAAGAATTAGCAGCGTTTAAAATTACGCTCTGGCTTTATGCCTGATGGCCGAGCAATTTTCATATAATTTCGGCTGAAATTTTTTTTTCAAATCTCATGAGAGTATCAGATAGTTGCTGGAAAAAGTTTTATATTTTTTTTTCTGTCGGTCTTGATTTGACAACTCAGCTTGCTCTTCTGCTCTTGGAATGGAGGATTTTCACCTGCCGTATGAATCGATTCTGGTTTCATCAGTTCAGTCTGGACTTTACGCTGCAAGAGCCAGAATTTTTAATTCATACACATGGCTTCGAGGCTATAATGATAAGAACTCTTTTCTCCAAATTGGAAACGGCATAGATGAATACCTCTTTACTGCAATTGCAACTCAAGGCCATTTGACTATGAGGTCAGCCGTGGTCAAGTTCCAATTGTCTTTTTCCAGAGATGGTTTACACTGGTTTTACTACAGAGAGAATGGCGACATCAAGGTAAAAACGTTTTTATTCATTTATGAATTTTAGTTCTCCATTCCATCGATATGTAAGTCGTGAGGCATGAAAAACGTTTGTGGTAGGTTACAAAAGCCAGTCATTTTTATTGTCTTTCCTAATAATGATGAAAAGGTATGGTTAAGTTAAGATCTCAGTGCTTTGTGATAACATTTCACAACCGATATCTAGAGAACATAGGATATCTCTAAATTTTCACAATTCTAGTTGATTTTACCTTACTGACGTTTTTTGTTGTTGGTGTTTTAATTTTTTTCGATGAGGTCAAAGCTTTTGATTCATTTCACTTTATTTCAGATGTTTATTAGCACATCTCTCGTCAACACTGTAGCAAAGCATTACCTTGAGCGGGCTGTCACGGCAAGATTCGTGCGCTTTTGGCCCAAAGAATGGGCTGGGAGACCCTATCTCCGCGTTGAATTATACGGATGCCATGGTTAGCTTCCTTTTTGTTCAGTTTATCAACAATTTAAGTCTGGCTTCAGAGGCTTATTTGCTTAATTTTCTTTCGTATTATCTTCAAAAAAGGCAAACTTCTTGCTTCGACCGTCCTGGCGAATCGTGAATGCAAAATATTCATGTCTTTCCAACATTGCTAAATTTCCGTTTTTTCCGTTTTTTTTTTCCGTTTTTTTTTTCAGTTTACTCGAGATCTGTTGATTTCTCAAACCTGACAAGTATGGCAAACCGCTATCCTAATTTCTATACATACGACGGATCTGTTTTAAAGTCCTGGCACGGACGTTTGTCGATAGATGACGACTCCAATAATGCCCCCAGATCAGCATGGTGTGCAAAAAACAATGATACAAACAACAACCAGTTCCTTCAACTAGATTTGAAAGTGACAAAAGTTATTCAGGCCATCGCGGTTCAATCCCATTCATCAGAGGATAAATGGGTGAAAAGTTTTACCATTAGTTCCAGTCTTGATGGGCTGTTTTGGAAGCAATACACAGATGCAGGAAACTTGAAGGTGAGCTTAATGATCGTAATATTAATAATGGTAGCTTAAAGCTTATAGTGCGTTATTCTAACATGTTAATTTGATCAAATGCGCATACGCAAAGAACATTCAATGTCGCGACGAATACAGAGGTACTCGCCTAAACTTTCCTAAATAAATTTCATATCGCAGGTAACACGAACCAAGCTGTTGTTTTTATAGCAATAAGATCAACTCTAAAAACGTTTTGGATACACTCAGCTCTTTTATGCAACTCATTTCACTTTACCAGTATTGTTGGTTTTCCACACCTAAGGAAGAATTGCTCGCAAATAACTTTATCTGATCCTCTGTAGGTATTTGATGGGAACACACATCGACATAGTTTAGTCAAAGTGGATATTAAATATAATCTCCGTGCAAGATATCTGCGAATTCACCCAAAAACCTGGTACAATCACCCTTGTTTAAGGCTGGAGGTGTTCGCCAAAGAAGGTGAGACAGCATGATTCATCGAGAACATTCTTTCATTTTTTATTTTTTTTATAAACCAAAGCATTAAATACTCATTTATCAGGGGAAAGTACGCAAAAATATGCCATATAACTAGTTGTTTTACGACCATTCACAACTTTTCAAATATACTACGTTCTTTCCATATTGGTGCATGGTGCCTAGTTGTCAAATCAGTCAAAGTTCGTAGTACCCTTTGCCCTGGGAAATGGAGAAATTGACTACAAGTTGAAACTGGTGTACGTTTAACACAAATGTGACTTTTTGGTCACTTTGTGAGGTCATTTTGTTGAGGTAATTGTTCTTTAACTCTATCCATGTAAGCAGATATAAAGCAAAAATCGGAATAAATTTATACTACTACAACTAGAGTGGAAAGGAACACAATATCGTAGCCTTAATGCGTTGAATTGACCATGTTATTGTCTGACAGATATCTTGCCCGTTGGGGTTTTTTTTTTCCAGACTGCATTGATCCTCTAGGAATGCAGAGTGGTCAAATTTCTGACAAAGATATTACAGCGTCTAGCGCTCTGAGGGTGAATTACGAACCCTGGCTTGCCAGGTTACACAGTCGGCTGGGAGAAGGAGGATGGTGTGCAGGGGTTTGTTAACATTTTAAGCTTTCCTCATAAATCAAAATTGGGTATAACAGTCACGAGAAAATCGTAAACTCTCGGAATAATCGCTCTGGTAATTACAGAGACATGCACACTTTCGATTTAAGAGAATACGTCGATTCTTGCCGCCATTACTTCACGCGTGGTTATCATGATACAGAGATATTTTCTAGTGAACCGCAGCTGAAAAGAACGAGTAATGAAACAAAAGGTGTAAAATATCAATTTTTACCGAACATGGGACAGAAACAAATGTTAGTCCCCCTTGAAATTTCGAACCAGCCAGCTGGTTCCACTATCTCAGTTGAACACTTTATTTATAGGCCATAAAAAAGGCGTTCACGAGCTAAGCAATGAACGACAAATTTGTCGAGTATTGCCAACTCCATCGTCCCATTTTCTCTTTTAGAGAAATGATGAGAATCAATATTTGGAGATTGATTTGAAACACCCTTACCACGTGAGACGAGTAGCATCGCAAGGAAAGTCCTCAGTACCCGGATGCATTATCCCGGACGCTTGGGTCACAAGCTACATGATGCAGTTCAGACGTGATACACTAGACTGGTGGAACTACACTGAGAACAACACCATCAGGGTGAGGATCCTTTTATTGTAATAGTTATATCGCTTGAGAGGCTATATTAAGAAGGACTGAATATGTTGTTGTGCTGTTAGTTTATTTGTTTTCTTAGTCATCGAAGTCTTATTACAAGTCTTATTAGAATTCTTTATATTCATGTTGCCCGTGATGTTGTCTCCCGGGAGCAATAAGGGACGGCGACGCTGTGGAAAACGTCGTGTATTAATATTTTAGTTATAATTTCGCGTGCGACTGGATGTGTTTAACAAATCTTACGGCCCCACACCTCAAATTCAGCATAACGTACGTGAGCAGCGGTGACTTCCAAAATTGAAACTAGAATGATTTTGCCGTCGGGGTTTCCATTTTTAGACGCAACTTTTGGTGATTTCACGTTGTTGCTTTGCAGAGGACTGCTAAGAAATGTGCAGAATTTTAAAACGCACGTGCAGAGCTATTCTTCTGCTCATTAGATCTTTTGTTTTGCAAAATCGTCGTTACCGTCGCCGTCGTGGTTTTGTTAAGGTCCCAAATACCCAGCAAAGACGTAGGAATCATGTTTATGAGCTCGAGTTTAAAACAGGTTTAAAAATCCACAAACTAAAGTCACTCACCGTTTTTTACAGCCCTGAGTTGTCTTTCCCTTGAGTTCTAACTTAAATGTCTGCGGGTAACTGCTCACCCTTTAAGTTGTAACCCTGGTAAAATATATGACATAACCAAAACAAATGTCTCCAAGTTCAGTAATCTAAATTGCTACATAACCAAATTTTTATGTATAGGAGTTCTCTGGAAATATCAATACCACCCATGTGGTCACTCATCACTTAAAGAGCCCCGTCATTGCTCGCTATGTGAGATTTCGTCCCATGAATTGGTTCCAAAGAATTTGCATGAGAGTGGAAATATATGGATGCAAAGGTATTTCTTTATATATTTATTCAGATAAACTAGTCAGATTTCTTCATTTCCTATTCCTTACGCGTCGACAGAGAAAGAGAAACTTCTGCGTGATACTAATAAACTGTGCGCTTTTATTTTGTCACCACGAAACAGCGCTTGCGAACAAAATCTCTGATTTGTCTTCAATTAGTTGATTTCTGGGAAATACTTCATAGGTTATCAGCGGAATAGTATCCTGTTGTTCGCATTCGTGGCAAAATAGCTCAGGAAACTTCGAATCGGGTTTGTTTTACAGGTTTTTGAACATTTACTTCGTTGTCTTTGCTAAAGCACGCGAGACGCGAAGGAATTAATGAGCTAAGTACAGCCAGTTTTTATTCATAAACAAGGCTCATATTAACTAAGCCTAGCGGAACCGCACAGGGTGAGATGATACATATCGGCCCTCGATCTACTTGGTGCGGACTAAGCTCAGCGAGAACCGTACTTTTAACTGGCGACATTCTCACAGTGCGGCAACACTTGGATCATGAGATATGTTTGAAAATTTGTGATGTTATGGAACTTTTCAAGCGCACTCTAAAGTCAAAATTACCATAGCCTTTGAAATGAGAAACCATGTATTTATTCCTTCACGAAAGCCTCAAAGATTTTGCAATATTTTTGTTGATCGTTTATTGTCTTCCACTGTAGCTTGCTTCCAACCTTTAGGAATGGAAGACTTCTCAATACCGAGTAAAAACGTTGACTCATCTGTAGCTTCAAACATCTTCAATGCAAGACTAAACTATGCAGGAACAAACCAGTTCGTTGGAGGTGTGTTTTAATTCATAAGTTACGAATCAGTGACGTATCAAAGACTGTTCCTTGTGTGTCATTTTCTTTACGTTCTTAGCACATTCTGACGTCATCAGTGATCTATTGCTGAGCAGACGCACATCAAATCTAGTTTACACATGGATTTATTCATTTTTTTTTTCGTTTTACACATGTATATACTCCCTTTTTTTCGTTGGGGAACTTAAGTTTACAAACCCTGAAGGTTTTAGTTGGATTTCTCACTCATTCATCTCACTTATTTATCATTAATCATATTGAGAATAGTACGTGGACGTGCGTAGATATGGAATTTATCTTCGGGTGTTTGTTACAAATCGATGAATGGAAAAAAGGTACCACAATCCACGCAAAAAAGTCGTTAAGTGCGTGGGCGATAAGGCTCAAGATTAAAAAAAAAAAGTTTTAAAGAAAACTGTCTCTTCGTTTCAGGGCGAGACAAATTCATCTTACAAATCGACTTAGGGCATTTTAAGACTGTCGCTGCAGTCGCTACACAAGGCAGATATCGTGGAACGCATTTTGTTAGAATCTATCGATTGGCGTTTAGCAGACTGGAGGGTGAATGGTTTTATTACAAAGAAAATGGAGAAGTCAAGGTATTTCACTGATGCTTCAGTTTTAAATAATGCTCATCAAAGTTGCTTCTGATAGGGCCAATTGTGCGTGTTAGAACTTGAAATTGTTTCGATTACTTGTATCGAGATAAGCAGCAGTTTCCACAAGAATTTAACAGGTTTATTAAATTCAATCAGCAAAAACTTCATATCTTTCTTTTGAAAAGTGTTACGCCAAACTTAATAGAATCTTTTGTGCTATTCGGAACTAAATTGCCCTCTAACGCGTTTATCTCTTCTTCGGTAACATTGGCAAAACGCAAGACAGCCATTTGTAAATTTAGCGCCCTTGCTCCAATCAAGTTGAGCGAGGTGATTATAGCGGGAAATACCTCAATCTTCGACAAATCAGAATACATGCATCTCTTAATCTCCGCAACAATCATACTACCATACTAATATACTGTATATACAGATTACCTTTCAATCAATTGTTTTTTTTCATCAAGGAAATACATGGCAACACAAACGCCGACGGAGTAGCTCTAAAAATCCTACATTACCAAGTTGTCGCCCGCTATGTCCGTTTTGTGGTAGTAGAGTGGGTCGAAAATGTTTGCTTGAGAGTGGAAATTTACGGCTGCGAAGGTAAATTCATCCAGACGAATTATTTTTGTTTTCTATTCTATTTTATTTTTTGTTTTCTTTCATCTTTAAAAAATGAACTTGTGTACTAGATCATAATCCATAATATTTATATAATTTAGTGCAGGAAAGCGCTATTAACACAATTCTGTCCTGAGAATTGATCATGAACGTTGAAACAATCGAAACAATGTCTCACCTGGTAAAAAGCACCGAGAAGTCAACCTCGCCAACTGAGGGGAGAAACCTCAGTTGTCGGAAAAAAAAAAAACAAGAAACAGTGAGAGATAGAGGGAGAGTGCGTGCGAGAAAGATCGAGGGTTGGGATGGGAGGAAAAACCTTTTTGTAGAGTGATAATCTTAACATCTCTATTCTACGATCTTAGCCTGGTCAGATCCTCTTGGAATAGGATCAGGATTAATTAGCAAGAGCAAAATGACCTCATCCAGTAACTCGGGACCTGGGCATGAGCCATGGTTGGCAAAATTAAATACAGTATTCGATAAGATGGGCTGGTGTGCCGCTCCTTCTGATTCATCGCCGTACCTTCAGATAGACATGGGACGAGTTGTCACTCTAACTCATATAGCAGTTGCAGGAAAGAGTGGTGCAGGCATGGTGTCTGAATTTAAGTTTTCTTCAAGCGTTGATGGTGGCTTCTGGCGCATTTATACGACAGTCTCTGGAGAAAAGGTGAATAATTTTGTTTGTTACTTACTGTCTTTATTCAGAGCAAAAGAGATCGATTGTTTCTCTTTTTCCACCTTTGCCTCTAGACGTTTACAGCAGCTACCGATTACTCACAGGCATTAAAGTTCCCGATAGATTTGGAAATGCAAGCGCGATTTTTCAGGTTCCTCCCTAAGCAATGGACTGATTTGCCGTGCATGAACGTGGAATTGTATGGTTTTGATGGTAAGTTATTTTTCAAGCAAAATTTAATTTTGAAGTTGCGATTATCCCATTAGAGTGGTTTAGCAAGAGGACGGGAAAGTCATTTCAGAACGGCGCGTGCAGCAAAAATGTCGACAAGAAACTGGGTCGAGAACGCCGTCGTGTTGTGTTGAAAAGTGATTTAGCAGTCGTTGCAACGAGAATCCTCACCTCGGCTTTTTAAACATCACCATCACCTTTGAATTTTCGGTTTCATAAACCACTCTAAGGACAACGAAATTATCTTCTTTGAGAGTTATGTAACAAGCGCAACAGAGGATAGTTATAGCCTACGGCAAGTAAGTTGTCAATATGAATCCACATGGGCGATTGAACTTTGAAACTATTCCATTCCAGTTTAGTCTCGAGTCTGCTGATTCATCTATCAAATTTTGAAGCCCACTAAATAATTTTTTTTTCTATGATTTGTGTCGCTGTCATTTCGTTTCGTGCTACTAGATTTCAGCACTACTCGTTTTTCGTCATAATTTTGTAAAGGATAATTTGGAAATCGTCCTCGTTTTTCCCCTTGTTTACTGAATACTCTTCTCAATTATGACAGTACATCTGTTTTGAGCACTATCTTCTTAGAGTTGAAATGCATTTTGAACAGAATTTAGAGGAGTTATGGCGAAGCCATATAGAAACCAAGCGACCCAACGATGGAATTGTTTACGATGAGTTCCTATTTATCCGTGAAAGAATGAAATTAACTCAAACTAGTTACCAACGAAACGGTTAGACTTAGGAATAAGACTTCGTTCCTATTTTATTTTATTTTCGTTTTTTTAAATTAATTTTTTTAAGCGAATGAAGTCGTTCAAGACTGAACTAAATTAATAGATTTAGAAAGCCGTGCTGAAATCAAGTTGATTGTCATTCTATTTCGAAGCGAGAGCATGACTTTCTTGTCTTAGTTTTCACCGGCACTGGTCAAAAATTTCAAACATAAAAAAGTGAATACCTGAGCTATTCTCAATTTTTTTTATCTCTGACTTTAATTCGCAGAAAAGTTTTCAATCACGGTAAAAACGACAATAACGACAAATAACACTGGCTAATACAGTAGGAAAGCGTCGTGATATTTCATTTTGATAAACTTCAACATGAAGCAAGTTTAATTTCTTGATGAATTGATTCATGATAAGATTAACAGCGTCCCATTCTGAGAGTTTTCATACAGGATTAAAGAAATGTATCAAAGAACAGTCCTTTCGCTGTTTTAAGCCTTGTTCAATTACAAGTGTACTGAGCCCTAAAATCTTGGATCCGGCGCTTGCCAACGATTGTGTTTCCTTTCGGGAATTCAGCATAAACGAAGCGGTAAATTTTCCCAAAATACACCGAATAAACCAAAGGAAGGGACCAGGAAATGAGTTCTGAAATAATTTCAAACAGCATTATCTCGTTTATAAGCGCAAAATTTACGCAAATCCCAGGCGTTTTGATCGCGACGGGAAAACCAGCGTAATGACGTCCTGAACTTGTTGGGGAGAACGGCAACGCTAACACCGGAAGTCGAAATAGAGTCGTGTCCAGACTATCCTCGCGCTTTCCCGTTCTGAAATGACGTTCCCGTCCTCTTGCTAAATCACTCTATCGTCGCGGCGTAAGGCGCTTATCTCAGTGATTTCCGTGGAGATTTTAATCCAAATAACTGGATTTAGGAGGGTTGGGAGGGGGGTTTCGTCCACTTGTTATAAAAACTCGCATTACAAAAAAACTCTAGAAGACAAAATTAGTTTATTATACTCCTCATTTCGTTGCTTAAACGTTTGAAAATGGATAACCGTCATTTCAGCTAAAAATCCTCTAGGTCATCGTCTTAGTATGACGATGAACTGACAGTGTTGTAAAAAAATTGGAAGGAGAAAGGTCGGAATGCCTATTTGCAAAACTTTTTCTCGATATCAAAGTGTTACAGATAGTAATGATCGTGTGGGCCAGGTTGCCTTTTTTGTGGAAATAATTTCTGTGTGATCATCTTCACGCGGATGTGAAAAATTTGCGACAGAAATAGTTGGCAGTGTTGAGTAGTTATACTCAGAAGATACTAAAGTGACTTAAAATAGGCCAAAATTGAATTTGGTGTCTAGAATGCACGAGGCCTTTAGGACTGACGGAGTGGATTATACCAAAAGATGCTATGACAGCATCCAGCTCGCTTGGAACAAACTATGCACCTTGGATGGGAAGGCTGGGTTCCAGAGAAGGTGGTGGAGCATGGTGCGCTAAAAGTAACGATAGCATGCAGTATCTGCAGATTGATCTGGGTCACGTGAGTGAAGTACGTAGCTTGCAGATTCAAGGAAAAGAAGGAGTTAGTAGACATCCTACTTTGGAGAGCGCTTGGGTGAAAAACTTCACTGTATCTCATAGTGTAGATGGAATAACTTGGACAGATCATAAAGACTTTGGTATTTTGAAGGTTTGTCTGTCTTAGTTTTCGAAAATTTATCATTGAACTAGCCAACTAACTACTTACTAATCATTAATCAAGCCTTTTTTCACCTCTAGTTTTGAATTTTTTTTCTGTGAATGGTGAAATATCAATTTGAAAGTTCAACTCTATTTGAAACGTGGGTGGCGAGCAAGCTGGTTTGAGATAGCGAATTGTTTTTGTTATTAATAAGGGATGGACACATCCCTCTGGTCGAAGTGAGAGGCGACAAGGAGCAACGAAGGGTTTAATTGGTAGTTGGCCCCGACGGCGCCAAGAAGAGGTGTAACCAGGAAGGAAACGAAAACAAAGTTCTTGGCGACGTAGGCCAAATACCTTTGGAATAAATTGGAGCTCCACCCGAAGATGCGGGGTGGTCTTGATTTGCCTTCTCTCGGTCAAACTTGGAAGAGACGATTTAATGATGTCAAAAAATATTTAACTTCTCAGGAAGCAATACAAAAGTGCGTCAACTCTAGGGTGTTACGTCGGTAACAATGAATTTATTTGAAATATTAAATACTTCGAATTCCAACAGAATATGAATATTCAAATGACTTTGAAGAACATTATCACTAAGATTTTATGAAAACACTCCGCTATTTGACACTGTTTGAGAACCCTTTTCGGGTGAAGATAAGTTGTTTGAACTTATAAAAAACTTTGAACATAATAACGATTTCATTCCAACCATTTGTTTTTCAAATTCAAGGTGTTTCGTGGTAATTCAAATCCCCACGAGTCTAGAACTGTGTCTTTGGAAGTCTCGATAATTGGACGCTATTTCAGAATTTTTCCCAAAAGTTATCATCGTCACATGTGCATGCGAATGGAGCTATACGGATGCCAAGGTGGGTAGAATACCGTCATCATTTGCACTGAGACGAAAAACTGCCCGACATGATTATAATATAAGAGTAACCTTGGCTTGGTAGCATGATTTTCGTAAAGGATATTGAGTATTTGATGCTTTTAGGAATGCTGATAACGTTAAGGTTACAATACTGTAACTTTTAAACTCCTTTTTTTTCAAATTGAAATAACAAGAACATAAAATGCACGTTGGCGCAACTTCTGTATGGAGCAATTTAACCTTTGCTGCGTATGTAGGATGTTTTTCAGGCCTGATGGCTGTATTAAATATTAATATTTCATATAACTAATCCTTAGTCAGGTAGCATCGTTTAAATATTGAACAGCCAAAACACTTTATTTGATAGAAAAAAATGGCTAATATTCTGATTTGCATTTTTCTTTTAGCTTGTGAAAATCCCCTTGGAATGGAAAACTATGACATTCCAGACCATGCACTGGTCACAAGTGGTACATATTATGACGCAATCGACGCTCGATTAAACAAACTAGACAAATTCCTTTTACCTACTGAAGTGGACGAGTACATTCAGGTTGACCTTGGGCCCGGAGGCAAATCAGTTACTGCTATAACAGTACGAGGAAATTTTGCTTCCTCCCATATTGACTGGATTAGCAAATTTGTTCTAAATTACAGTAGGAACGGGTGTGAATTTTTCTCTTACATGGAGGACGGCACCGTGAAGGTAACGTGAAGAGTTTATGTGTCGGTCGATTAGATAACTTAACAGTTGCAATTTGGCTGTTCACCAGCTTTCACTCGAGTGCCATCGCACAAACTTGTCCCTTTAAACTGCGGGTGAATGAAAGATCAAATTAAATAATATTTTGCGACCAACTTGTGTCATTGCTTACTGTAGATGGACTACCTTTAATTCTCAATGACAATGGACGCCACTTCAAAAGACGGAAGCAAAGCTCCCTGCTAAAAAAAACCGCAGAATTTCACTTTTACGGGCATGAAAATATGAAATTTTACAAACGAAGATCTAGAACAAAAAAGGAAGAAAGCAAAGTCAAAGAAAAAATACACAATACAAAGTATTGCCTTTTATTTGACGCCAAGTGGACAGTTTTCGTATCAGATGTTGTTTGTTGTACGTAATTCACTCTAGTCGAACTTTGGACCTTGGAATAGGACGTCACACTGAGGGTTTAACTTTGAAATACACAGCCTTAGAGTTCGGCAGCCATCTGTTTACTCTCTGCTTAGTACATCCGGGTGTCTTTCTCAGCGCTTAACCTGACTTGAAGTCTGCCAGGATTGGTATTCAAAATCTCGATGAGTGTCAGTGAGATACCGCTTGCCTTCTCCGTCGACGACGGTCACGTTACAGGCCCGCTTAGGCACTCAGTGTCAATAAGCAATCATATTTTTCCTTCTCCAACTCTCTTAAGCCTAGGTAGCTTTCTGAGTTTTCAAGAAGATTAGTTAGATGTCAAAGCGTTTCTAGTTGAGGCTTCCATTAGAATAAAGATCAGGCATTGTTTTGTAATTTGTTTGCAATTTTGGTACAAAGCTGACCGCATGAGAAATAGTAAATTACTATTTCCTCTTAAAATTATTGCAGATTTTCCAAACTCCTCCAGATAATAGATTCTTTGCTACAAGGCACAGATTACAGCACAACATCACAGCCAGGTACTTTCGGGTTGTTTTAAAAGACTGGATTAATCGTCCATTTATTCAGTTGGAGCTCTACGGCTGTAAAGGTATGCTAACGGTTAGATAATTTGGTTTGATCAACTGAGTTGATAATATAAATAGGCCACTGTAAAAAGTTTCCTAAAGGTGACTTTCCGAGCGTTAGCCCTTCGTCAGGGCGCATAGAGGAATGATGGGTCGTGAGTGTGTTGGAGCTTCGCTATTGGTGGGAACATGGTAACGACAAAAATAAGAGTAAATAAGTTGAATCGAAAAGAGTCTGTTTAAGAGTGCCGGTTTGAAAGATAAAATTTTGGTCTAGAGTTTTGCACCTTTCTTAAAAAGAGATCGAAGTGTCTGGTCTTAGTCATTCCTTTCTACGTCACAAAGGAGTTCTCGAAATCGGTTGCCCAGTCGTGATCCTCTTTCGCCAATATATACCTTTTTGCAATAAGTGCAAGGTATGCAATAAGTGACATTGGCGGAAGTGCCTTGGCAATTTCCTTACTTGCTTCATCATTTAAACGCCAAAATAACAACCTCTATCTTTTTGCACGAAAACAAAAAACAAGAAGTTGTTGCACACCTCGAGCTTTATTTTTTTAGTCCCTTCTAATAAATAGCTTCTTCACTTTCCAGCATGTTTAGAGTCGTATGGTATCGGAAATGACCCCTTACTAGTTTCATCTTCGTCAGCGTCTAGTAGTAGGCTTGGACACGAACCGGAAAATGCACAGAATTTCACCGACACAGGTTCCTGGTGTGCTGAACAGGAAAACGAAAATGAAAACCTCCAACTTGACTTTGGAAAGACGGTCGTATTAACTGGTATTGCAACGCGAGGTCACCATAGCAACGACGAATATGTGTCACAATACGAGCTTGAATACAGTGTTGATGGAGCTCACTGGTTTACTTACACTAGTGCGTTTAGACATGAAGACATAAGAACCCAACTTGCCGCTAATGTAGACAACGCAAGTGTTAGGAGGATTGCCTTCTTGTACGAAATCAAAGCTCGTTATTTTAGAGTTGTTGCTAAAGTCTGGCATAATGGAATCTGCCTCAGGCTGCAAGTATTTGGTTACAAAGGTGACTGTAGTCTTAACTTTTGTTTTTAAGGACTCTATTTTCGAGAAATCCCAAAATTTTCAGTCCTCTTCATCAGCCTATCAAAAAGTGTCAGCTAATCTTTTGTCTTCGCATTCAGTTGATCTTTTTGAACGTTGAAACTCCAATACAAAGACACGCTGTCTCTAAGGCACCAAACAGACATCAAGGAGTTTTTTAAAAGTAGAGCTCTTTTCCTCAGAGGTTGGAAAACTTAGATAATTGAAACCAGGAAGAGAACAACTAAGTTGAGATTTAGTCTAAAATAAAGCAATTCGGCATATTACGCCCATCTATTTATCCTGAATTCGCATCTCGGAAGACAATAAACAATCAGTCAACATTAAAAAGAATAGAATAAGATGGGACGAGTTAACTAGTAATTTTAATTGTTTGTTTATCAATAATTTGAATTGTTACCATACCAAATAAGTTGCTTGTGTGGTTTGAGCTCCAGAGTGACAAATCCTTTGAAAGTATTTTTGTTCGACAACCTGAGCGGAAGCAGTCATCGGACTTTAAAGATGACTTCCGCACAAGTTGTCGGTAAGAATCATATTTCAGGATTACTGCTACTCAGACAGTTAGACCACACGATCAAGTGTTCCCGGTCTTGAGTTCAGACCATAAACTTAATTTACCAATTAAGTGAGCACAGAAGAATTTTAAAGCCACAAAATACGATACTATATACAAGAAAAACGGATAAAACTAAGAGATTAACAATATATGAATAATACCTATAATTATCGTTGGACTTACTCAGGTTGCGACGAAGACCTAGGCATGGAATCTTCAATAGTTAGCAATTCTTCTATAAACGCCTCCAGTCACCTTGGTGAAGGTTATGAACCATGGAATGCACGTCATAACCGCCATCATGGAAAGGGTGCGTGGTGTGCTGGTCAAAAGGCTAAGGATGAGTTCATACAAGTGCAATTCACCCGGATTCACGTCATTTCACGAGTTTCTTTACAGAGAAAAGAGAAAACATCTCCTGGAGATACAGTTGGTAAGGCCTGGGTGACCAAATTCGTACTTGCGTACAGCGAGGATGGTGTCAGTTGGTCAGAGTACTCTGATGGTAATGGCGTCACGGTTAGTATTGCTAACGTTGATAGTTATAAATTTTGACGCGGGAGATTTTTTCCGATGCCAAAATGGTAGAAATTGTCAATCGAACAACTGAAGACACTGATATCAAATATTAGAATGATCCAGCCTGTCGTAAACTATACTTCCGCAAGTCTTCCTTTATTTGTGAACATTAATCTCAATTAATTGTAAAGGAGGTTCTCTCTTTTAACTACAAGTGATGGAAAACTGTCATAACTCATTTATTATATTATGACAGTTGTAAGTCCTATTACATCATAACATCATAACATAATTTTGCAATCCGTGAACCCAGTTAATTTGATTCTGTGTGTAGCAAGAGATCTTTAAGCCTTTTGAAGAGAACAGGGAAAGGACTTTTCATCTTTGTGGCAATTTAAACAGTTTTTTTTCAAGTAAACTTCCTACTTATCCAGGCTTTTTTTGTTCTTTCAATTCAGGAGCTCACTGGTAACAAAGTACACGTCCTTGCCAACACGGTGCGTGCTCAGTTTGTGCGGATTGTTGTTAAGGAATGGTACCACCACATCTGCCTAAGGATGGAATTTTATGGTTGCCAAGGTAAAAACGTCAAGATAAGCTACGCCGTGATTCATATCGTTTTTTTTCGGGGGGGGAGGGGGGGGGAAAGAGGCCAGCATTCTTGCTTTCTCTAACGTAAATTGCACAGTTACACCCCTAATTGTATATTTTAATGGCTTATGGGCATTATAGGATTCACAACCTGGAAATGTAATCGAAATAAGTCGATAAGCGATATGATGGACAGATGACCTGAAAATGTTCTTTCTCACAACCTGAAAAGTGATGTAATTTCTCATGATGTACAGTTTATGAAAGAGTTCAATTATGAAAGAGCTCAATTATGAAATGCATCAACAGCACATTTAAAAGGCTTTAATTTCACTGATTCATTCATATGTAAACTATTTATTTTCGTTGCAGCTTGTTTGGAGCCTCTTGGACTAGAAAATTTCCAAATTCCGGATTCGTCCTTTTCCAGCTCTTCCTATTATAGGCTACCGACACGGGGTCGCCTAGGATATTACAAAATGGAAATGTGGGTTGCGAGACATAAAAATCTCGACCAGTTCTTACAGGTAACACAATCTTCAGCGACATCTACGTAGTTTTATAATAAAGTACGGATATAACGCGCACTGTTATTGGTTGAAACAGCGTGCTCTATCAGAGTATAGAACATAGTACAAGAGAGCTAAAGCTGTCACGCCATATGCCAAATTGTAACTATATCAGAACATTTCCCAGACTTCACTCTAGCTTTTTTCGTTGATTGAATGAAATTTCGGAACAAGTGAGTCGGGTTTTAAACATGTCAAGCGACGTAATTTCTGTCATATAACGTGAGCAGAGACGAAAATCCTCAAAGAGAAAACGAAATAAAAGCTCTGAGTTTTGAAGGTTTCACGCTTAGTTAGACTGCAAGCTTAGGGGGAAAAAATCAAACACAGCTAACACTCGCGTGGGATATATAGTTTCGTGTTAAAAAAAAAAAAAAACAGAACGAAACAGGAACGATGAAAAGTAAAGCCAAACTGGGATGACTGTTGAAATTCATACTAATCATGACGGTGTCAGAGCGACTGCGATCATGCTGAGTTCCATCGCGGCCAGCTCATCATGGCGATCTCCGGTCATCGCAGTGAAGCAAACCTCAGAATTTACATCGGCCGCCCTTCGAGTGTACAACTAAAAGCTTGCTCTAACATCCTTTCCGATGCGTTAAGTGGAAGGCCACATCAGTCACAGCAGCCGAGTTTTACGGCGCTGTCATCCCGAGAAATCTCATATCCTTGTGAACAGTTAATGTTTCCTTACTCGGAACTGGTTAGATCAAATGACCACCACAAACCGTATAATATTAAGCCAAGCTTTAATAATTATTCGATCTAAAAGAAATACATTTATAATTCGCAATTAGAACAAACGCAAATCAAGTCTTTATCTTGTAACTAAATTAAAAAACTTCAATATAAACTTACTTATGTGGCGGGTCGTTACAACAGTCTCACTTTACGGGTTAGCAGATTCTCCAGGTAAGCGGGTTTAGAGACAGAAAAACGATAATAAAATAACTTCTTTCTCACTTCGATTCTGCTGAAAAACTGACTTAAAACATAATAATCTAACGCTTTTAAATCAATCTATTGAATTAATGTCAATCACGATTCTTGTCATCGAATAAATCTGTCAACACGAGGCAACGCCTATTTATTAAACGAAACAGCTCAGTCAAGGCTTCTCTATTTGTTAAATGAAAAAATACCGTGTGTTTTGATGAGCTGGAATTCGGCCGGATTTCACTGAACATTTCACTTTCATATTCTGCATTGGTGACTAAAAACTTCAGGCAAAAGTGTTAAATTCGACCTTCCGAACTATTTCAGCTTGTAAACTATATTGCAGATTGTGATAGTTTGATAGTTTGACATTCTGACAGCTTTAGTCCTTTCAACAAATCACATTATTTGAACAATTCTTAAAAGGATTCTGATTGGCTTATTGAGGCGTGCTTTATGAGATTATAGAGCATGCTGACGACACTGTTGTTTGCTTTGAAAATAAAGTTTGTTTTAAAAATTGAAAACAATGCGCAGGGAATTTTACGGGTTCTTTATTATAAAACAAGCAAATAAGCCTTGACTGTGCTCTGTTCTGTTGTAAAGCACTTAGAAAGCGGCTAGAGCACTCAAGAAATGGGGAGAAACGCTCAACTGCATCTCGTGTTTGTCCCTAGACTTCTTTCGTGCTCTATGGCCGCTTCCTGCGTGCTTTACAACAGAACAGAGCACAGTCAAGGCTTCTCTATTTGTTCAGCTGCTGGTAATCAGAAATATGAAAAGAAACTCAATTGCCTAGTATTTCAGTGCTTTAATAAAGATGTAAAATAAGGTCGGTGACGAATACAGACCGCAAATCATGACTCAATGGTGCCTGTTCAGGCGATTCTTTGAACATCAAAGTTTCGTAAATCAGAAATTGCCAGTTTTCTCGTTATTAACGCTTGGAATTTGGGTTATACAATACGAAAATAACCGCAAAATGTACGAACAAAGCGAATGTTCTCCTAAAACTAACCGAGTTCTGAACAAGCGCATTGTTTTGACGTCGTGATGTTATCAAACTTGACTGCTTAAAGGAAACTACATCTGCAAACTTTGCACTGCGATCAGTTGAACTTTGTTTCAAACTGTATCGGATGTCAATCGATTTCTTCGTAGCAGCTGTTTTCAAGGGAAAAATGAACGAAGTAATAGTTAAAGATTTTTGGTAAAAACATCATGGTTTGCCAGTTTCCCACTCAATTAATACCAATTCTACCATATTCTGTTTACCTAAGAAGGCCCGCGAGAGGTATGTAAAAGCTCTCTTTCTTCTCTAGGTTGATTTAGGCAAAAGAAAAACTATTGCAGCTATTTCAACTCAAGGAAATCCTAACATGGAGGAGGACTCTCGTTTAAGAGAGTATTACCTACAGTACAGCAACGATAGCTCCAACTGGATGGACTACACATTTGAAGGCCAACGGAAAGTGAGTTACTGTATTGCTAGAACAAAAAGGGGAAATAACAATCAATTAAAGTACAGACCGAGCAAAGTAGTAATATATATTTTAACTGAGCCCGTATCGAGGATTTATAGGTCATATCAATCGGTAATATGCGCCGTTTACATAGTAGTATCCCTCAAAGAGTATGCTAGTGTCAATAAATGACACCGGCATACCTAAAGAACAAACAACTTGAAGTGCTCCTTACAGGATTCGAACCTACGACCTTCAGATTAGCATTCCGGATGTTCTATCACAGAGCTATAGGAAACTAGTTGCCATCTAGGCCGCAAAACGTGGTCCATCGTGACAAACTTCCAGGATGCGGCGAGGATAGGACTTTCGATAAGTAATACTTTTGTGAATGGAGATGGTATATCTTTAAACCTGGTGATTTTAGTTAAAGAAGATGTTATTCAGTGAATTATACAATCGGAATTAAAACAAAAAAAGGAAAAAAAAGGAAAAACCTCCGAGAGCCTCCATTAGGATTTGAACCTACAACCGTCCAATCAGTACTTCAAACGTTCTATCACCGTCCCATCAGTACTTCAGACGCTTTATCACCGTCCAATCAGAAGTTCAGACGCTCTATCACCGTCCAATCGGTAATTCAAACAATCTTTCACATTTCAATTAGTACTTCAGACGCTCTATCACTGTCCAATCAGTGCTTCAGACGCAGTATCATCGTTCAACCAGTACCTCAGACGCTCTATCACCGTTCAATCAGTACTTTAGACGATCTATCACCGTTCAATCAGTACTTCAGACGCTGTATCATCGTTCAGCCAGTACTCAGACGTTCTATCACCGTTCAACCAGTACTTCAGACGCTCTATCACCGTTCAATCAGTACTTCAGACGCTGAGTATCATCGTTCAATCAGTACTTCGGACGCTCTATCACCGTCTAATCAGTACTTCAGACGATCTATCACCGTTCAATCAGTACTTCAGACCCTTTATCACCGTGGTGCTTATATGCAATGATGATGCGAATGAAATTGGTAAAATAAGTCTGGTGATTTAAGCGAAGGAAGATATTATTTAGTGAACGACACAGTCATACTCGGAGATAAAAATAAAATAAAATAAAACAAAAATCCAAAATTCCTTTAGGGATTCGGACCTTCGACCTTTCGACCTTTCGATTAGTGCTTCTAACGCTCTATCACTAAGCTGTAGGAGGCTGTGGTAACCTTTACCGTTTTTAAATGCTACGGCTTACCACAGCCTCCCATAGGTTATTAAAATAACGTACATAGTGAAAAACTCCCAGCATACTGCGAGGTGAGATGTGTTATGCTTATGCACAATGATGATAACAGAGATGGTAAATTTTTAAGCCAGGTGAACTATAAGAGATTAATGCAAGAGTTAGTCGTTTTACTAAGTTCGTGGTGGCAAAGTTCCGGCGTACTGCGAAGATGAGAATATCGAAATTTGATGCGCTTTTGCCTAATGATGATGGAAATGAAGATGGTCACAGTAGTTAATATCAAGCCTGATTATTGAAGTGGAAGAAGATGTTATTCTGTGAATGACACAGGCACATTCGGAGGAAAAAAAAATCCGATTGCCCTTATTGGGAATCGAACCGATAACCTTTCTTAAAACACTTTGGAAGTTCTACCACTGAGCTACAAGAGACTTGAGGCAAGCTATGCCGTTTGGCTAAGTCCATTGTGACAAACTTCCTGCTCACTAGGAGGCTAGGAGAGTTGATGCGTGATACTTATGCATTTTACCTGTTACTCTTTTGGCCGGCTTTTAGGTAAATTTCAAACTCTTAGTACAAGTAATGCACACATATTCTGCAGTTTGTCATTTTTTGAGAACATTTAAAAGATGCCGTTGCTGTTAGAGTCACCTCTGAGAAGCTGTTATTTTTGTCGCTCTATCATGTGTTTTAAGTTTGTTTCAGTCTATTCCCCAGCTACTCTTTCTTCAGATTAGCTCCGTAGTTTGAGGTCGTTTCCCTGTACATTTCCTTTATTAGCGGTAATAACGGGGAATGTGGAGGTGACCGCTGCTACAGGTTCCATAGAATGGGGGTATTATGAAGAAACGATAAGAAACGTCATTTTATGCCATTGTTGACCACTTAACGTGCAAAACCTCCCTCAAAAATACTACCAACGTTGATTTCGGGAGTTAAACATAAGTTAAACTTTACGTGAAAGACTGTTCTTAGTTTTTTGTTTTGTTTTGTTTTGTTTTGTTTTGTGTTGTTTTGTTTTGTTTTGTTTTTTAATTGGTCCCGCTTTAAGTGACCGTTCAGTACAGGTGGAGGACAATAACAAATAAGCCGTCGGAGACCCAGTCAAGGGTAACCTCGACCGCTTAATAGAGGAGACCGCTTGAAAAAGGTGGAGTAGTGTTTAGTGGGTAAAAATTTTGAGAATTTGAAAACCGACCGCTTAATACGGTGCCGTTTGAGTAGGTTCTTCTGCAGTTTTCCACCGGTACAGGTGAGCGCTTGAAAAGGGTGAACAGTGATTATGGGTAGACATTTCGGGGGTCAAGAAAACTGACTGCTTGATACGGTGCCGTTTATGTAGGTTCGTCTGCAGTTTTCCACCCGATCGCCCTCTCAAAGAGGTGACTGAAGTGATATTAAATGTAAAAAGATGGTATCCTGCAACTAGAGAACGCAAGTATTACATGATATGCAAAGTGCAGTCTTTTAATTCCATTTCATCTTTCAGGTGTTTGATGGTTACAAAACTCAGGGGGCAGAAATAAGCAGGAAGTTTTTGCCTCAGGCCATCGAGGCTAGGTACATCAGACTACGAGCCATTCGATGGTACCATTATATTGGCGCCAAATTAGAAATTTACGGCTGTGAAGGTAGGAACAATAAGCTTTAAAATGATGCAGCAAAACAACATAGCCATTTTAACTGAGCAGTGCTAACCTAACTCAGTTTAAAGGACATCAGCGCTTTGTTTTTTTGGTAAAGCTGTACTTTACGCCTTAGCCCCACTCGACGTTTTGATTAATATACTTAGATAAAAGGCAGAATTACTTAATGCTGATTGGCTGAGGCAGAAGCATTTTTCATAATTTTGTAATTGCCCATGGTCAATTACCATAATTTAGAAAACATTAAAAACAACTTAACTTTGCCTAAAAAATATATACTTTCATTTGCTTTGATGTTGTTGCACAAAAATAGAATTTTTTCAGCTGATCCGGGCGTTTTACAGTTCATTGATGCTTACTGAACGCTGGAATGACTTCCTACGAACGTGCGCAACAGCGTGCATAGTTGATCTTCTTTATAAATTAAATAACATTTTGCTCTTTTTATCATGAAAAAGTAATCGCATGCTTCCTTGTAAAATTAGAGATTGGTATCACTTGTGTTTTCAGAAGTTGCATAAATTGCCCTTGTTCATGCGTGACTCGTGCAATTTCTTCAACTTCTGAAAACACCGGTGAAATTAATTCTTAATTTTACTCGGTCCCATGCGATTACTTCCTCTAAGGTCGTTTAGCAATGATCAATGCATTAGGGTAAAACGTTGTTTTCAAGTCAGTCAAAGCCGACCAAAAATACCTCATTATGTTGGTTTGTACTTGTTAATTCGCTTACGAGAAAAAAGAGCTCAGGAACTCTAATTTTTCTTGTTTTGAGTTTGTAGTGGAAAATATTTGAGTAAAAGTCGGTGCAACTAAACATTGGCGCCGCAGAGATAAATCGCTTGTTTGAGTACTGAAAAATGACGGCCAACAAAGTGAATTCAAAGTCAAGTCAGTTCTCAAGCTGAAAACTTAGTTAATCCGGACCTTCATGAAAAGATGGGTCTCAGTCTATTTTTATGATGTTAGAACTGTTTTGTTTTTTTCTCCTAGTTTAACCATGTGAAGTTAGAGGGAAAAGAAAATCGTCATGGATCGCAATCAGACTAAAACATTGCTGTATTTGTCACCATGCAAAAACTGTGCATTCCTGTTTTCATTTACACCGAGTACTCGATGAAGTTAATGCCTTTTGTTAGTGCACATAAATTACACTAATCACGTGAATCCTTTCTTTCTAAGTAGAGATTCCACTGCATGCGTGTCTCAGTGACATTTTATATATATATATATCCAGTGTGATTAGGTTCAATAGGTGTAATTGCAGATCCTGAACATATTTTTCTCGTGTTCAAGATCAACTTAAAGTGTAAAATATATTAAAGTTCATACGGCAACCAGGTGGACAATCAGACATAGTTTGAAGCTACACTGGTTTGCAGATTTAATGAATGTAACCGAAGAAGTTACAATTCATAGACCCAACGTTTCGACACTCCTGTAAGTGTAAAATTTGATAAAATAACGACACAATTCAATTAAGAAGGAAGTACACTCAGAATGTGGTTGATTGATGTAGATCAGGTTCTAATTACTACACCCAAGCAAGTTTCTTTCCACTGCCTATCAGTATGAGAAGACCTGGTACCCAGTGCTATGCGAGATGAAAAGATAAACTCATCCAGCATGACATTAAAAATAAATTCCCAATAATATCCTCCCTTTCTCCATTCAGTTTTCTTTATTTAATAATTTGGATACTAACTTTGTCTAGAAAAATTTATAGTTTCTTTAAACAAAAGAGTGCGCTTTCTGTCGGTTTACCGGCGTAACAACCGACACGGGATTCTCCGGCAGGTAATTTACAACTTTCCTTGTCGTCGCCTAAAATCTCAAGTGGGTTATTATGCCGGTAAACCTACACAAAGCACAGTCTACTGTATTTCTTTTATAAAATGAACTTTAGATGTCTGCATTTTCTTCAGGTGTTACGGTGCAATCAACGATAGGCTCTCGACCAATCAGGGCACTTTTAGTATCTCACTTATTTTATTTAGAAGAAAACTCTTTACGGTGGCCAATTAACGTTATCAACTCAGTTGATAATACTAAATTACACTGTGTCCAATCTAGCTCATGTCCACGTATTCTCCTATGGCATCCAAAGGCTGAGGCGAGTCAACCCACGGGAACTCGGTTCGCCGGCGGGATGCAAAGCTCTCGCATCAAATCGAGACCAATCAGCTAGTCCAATATGGCGCCAAAACCCTGAAATCGCACAGCATCCAGATAGAAGCGATACAAATAGTATGCATTCTCCTGATGTCGAGTAAATTTAGATTCGCTTGAGCAGAGACATACTAATATCAAATACAATCTCAGTACCGAAAAAAGCAATTTTCGTTGTCATCATACCGCTATTATCACGAGAATGATGAATTGTCTAAGATCAAAGAAAGAAGACCCAACAAAGTTAAGCAATTTAATTAACATACTTCATCAAATAAAGACTTTGCGGTACAGATAGTGTTGGTTCGCGTGAATAACTTCGGACAATCTTTGTTATCCTGTTTAATGCAAGTATCAGCTGTCACTGATTGCAAAAAATAAAGAGCTTTCATTTCAATCGCACCTTTACCAGGCTCCTGGTTGGTGGACTCGAGTAAAATAGCGGGTGTAAATAAAATCAGGCGGGTGCGTCAAACGACGGGAGTCAGACGGCCTTTTCCCCGAAACTGGTATTGCCGTCAGTCACTTGTGTGTTCTGAGCTGTCGGCTGAGTAAAGCAGTTTGTCAATATCTAAACGCCAACTAGCGTAGAAGATACTCGGCCTTCCCGCCGGTTGTAGTATAAGCGGCAGTTGTTGCCACCGCAATTCTGTGGCATACTCGGAACTTTCAGTTCAATACCATAGATTAATACTGCCTGTTGAGAACAGCTCGAATTCATTTCCCGAGTATTGATATGCAGGTGTTGCAACTCACACTCGCGGCAAGTGAAAAAAATTGCTTTCCAAATGTCACTGAGTTTTGCAAATTGTTGTAGCCCTGGGCGGACTGCAAATCCGTCAGACAGCCTCTACGATTTGCGGCCAATCGACAATCTTGAATATCATCCATTCAACTACTTAGTGATAGACAAGTCTGTAGGGCGATAAGAAAAATTCATTTTTCCCGTGCGGTTCCTCCCGGTGTGAGTTGTTTGCTTCTTAATTTCTTAGACGAAAAAAACAAATCTTACTTTCGTACCCGCTGCCAGCATGTGGTATTTTCAGCCTTATTATCCCCGTCATTATGACCTCATTGACACCTTTTTTGTCACCACACTCTCACTACTTGAAAGTTCGTACGTGACCATCGCGCACGTGGCATTCTCGTCTCGCGTGGTTTCACTGGAAGATAATAAATGAGTTCTTTATTAGTTTCCAGCGCTTCGAGATAAACTCGAGTCGACCTGTTATTCAACCGAAAAAAACCGATTTCCGCCACAAAAATTTCGGAAACTTTCCACCGAAAAGCTGCCACAGCTGTCACGCCTATCGACAACTAAATAACGTCATCCAACACGCCCAAAGTGTTAATCACGCACACTGGTCACTCCATCCATTTTCAACTAATTGTCACGGAGCAACCACAAGAAAAAGCGATTGATAGTAACCGCATCAAAACACCTGGATGAATAAAAACTTTCACATATCTTGCGCATTCGGTTTAAGTTAAACACAAGTCAGAAGTGTGCGGGTCTGCTCCCTCAAACTAAACCGTCAGTGTTCTTATATTATTGACATTTATGTTAATTGTTAAATGACAACTCATCCCTTGGGAAATATCATTAATTTACAATATAACCTGCTGCACTCGTGATTTGTGTTGTTTGCATATTTCAAGTAGGATAACAGAATGGCGAACATAAGCTGGTAAGAAGTCCACTGAAGGCCGGTTAACGTGACATTTTGATCAGTTGAGCTGTAGTGACAAGACAGGAAGTCTATTTACGTACATTATGAAATTTAGGAACTTGATATCTATGTGTGAAATATCGAAAGACTTCGGACTGAAGGAAGGAACAGCAAATGCAGCCGGTCAGTGATTACAGAAGTTTTAAGTAAATGGAAACTGACAGATCCTCAGGATCATTTGCAGCTACATTTGAATAATGCGTTTCTGGTTTTTACATTTATTACAATTTGATGATTGTCAACTATGAATGCTATATCGAGGGAAAGAAAACTAATATTGGAATGCCGCTCCTCAAAGGCAGAACCAGAACAATAAAAGTGGAACCTACGATTCATAACAAGTCAGGGAATACTCCGCCAGAGGGAGACGTGAACTCTAAAGACTTAGATAGCGACGACAGGACAACAATGCCACCGTATTTATCAACTCTGAAATTTCAGCTGAAGCAGTTCGACGCCGACTTGGTTCGTCAATCGGACTATCTTGAGGAAGGAATTGAATACACATCTCTTCCAGCGCATAAAACTAAAGGAACACAAACCATCACTCTACCATTGAACATGCCTGTTGTGGTGAGCGAGAAACTATGCTTTCGTCGAAAAGGCAACGGTTCACCTAATTTTAAGCACCGGTTGAATAATTCAGTTAAAGACGATTGTTCTAAGGTTTCACTTGCTAGGTCACACACGAATGGACAAGAAAACGACGTGAGAAAAATCCTAGATGGCTCAGACGATACGAGTGCAACTGCAGGAAAATGGTTCAATGACATCGATAAACTAACGAGCTTCAAAGCCAAACACAAAATTGAATTCTTCTCCAGAGAAAAGAAGGAAATAGAAAGAGAATGGACGTCAACTCCTAAGAAATTTTATAAGTGTATTTTGAATTGTAGACAAAAGCAATTATCTCTGTGTAATGGTTTCCGAACCAGTAAACGCGATGTTGATCGGGGATCGAAAAAAGTTTCCTTTCCCGCTGATGTTCTTTTGTTTTCTGCTATCGAGGAAAATGCGTCGAAGGAATTAATTGAAATAATAAGGATCTACAAGACTGATGTCAATTTAAGTAGAAATGCACGCGGACTTCCCCCGCTTCATCGAGCAGTACAGCGCGGAGCTGTTGAATGTGTTCGAGTCCTACTGAGTCATTCGGCTGATGTGAATTTGAGAGACTCCTCAAATCGCCCAGCTATAAATCTGGCGATTTCAATGCGCCAGTTTGAGTGTATTGTGCTTTTAATCGAGTCAGGAGCTAGCGTAGCAGAGTACACAAACCAACGAGTACAGGATTATGAAAACGTTCAGACTTTGTCGAAGAGCTGTTATCGATCTTTCGAGGCCAATGTTTAACAAGAACGATATTCGCACTCCTGGGGTAGCTCAAAATTGCCGCTCGGTTTTTTGATTTACAATAGCGTCAAAGCCGTTTTATTGGTTGATAAAAAAAGAAACTACTAATGCATGTTTTCGGGTTTTCGACTGTATTTTATTGTTATTTTCTTCCTGAAAATAAAGATGTATTATACGAAAACAATATATTATAATGACAAATTTTGGCAAAGTAAACGATTGTTCCTTTAACGTGCCTATTGTTTACACTCCTGAGCATGAATATATTCTGCATTCTAATTTTCTTTCGAAAGAAACAATTGATCTTAAAATCAACACGTGTGCCTTTTTTTAGATATTAACATATATATTTTTTATCATTGTTTTTGACATTATCATTTTTTCTCAATATTTGATCAGTTGCCGGTGAATTAATTTTATAAAAGAAATTTTCAACAATTACCTTTAACTTTCAATTTTGATGAACGTGTACCACGACTGAATGGCAAGGGTACAGTTTCTCAATCCATACCTAACCATTTTAATAACTGTGTCAGCTCCGACGAGCCAGTGTCAATAAGACTAGGCTTGCAAAATTGATTTTAATTAATAACGGGAAACAAACTTTCTCTGCATGAAAGCGGTTTCAAAGATAGAAAATTTAAATGTGTTTTGGTATTAAAATGAATATTGGAACACTTAATATAGGTACAAGAAATACTGATTTAATTTCCAGTTGAAATGAATCTATCATCATATAGCAATTGGCAACTAAGTAGCAAGCGTTTGTCGTCTCTTTAATTTGAGACTGAAAATATAACAGACGAAAGACCATGCAGCAAAGTCGAGTAATTTCATTTTTTTTTTTTGGCGGATAAGCTCTTGGTTTATCGTCAAAAATAGGATATTTATTCATACAAGACGAAAACAAAGGAGTATATTGGATTATTCGAATGATATTCGCGATATTTTGAGAATTTTTAGCAATGTGCTAATGATTGTCTCAGTGGACGGTTTAAGATTAAAGTATGTACATTGCTTATGATTATCCGGTGTCATCTTGCATATTTTGAATTTCCATTCCCTATTGGATTAGATACACGGCTAAGTTACCTACAATGGCCTTCGACCTAATCATGGTCTTTCGTTTGGCTGATAATTAGGTGATGTCTGTAAGGAAATAGTACAAACTCCTTAATTAACGCACAACTAGCCGTGCATAACCTTGCATGAAGTGTAATTAATTCATTATTGACCGTCAGTCCAGCTCTTATTTATAAGTATCTAAGCGGCGAAAACAAAGTGACTGAATTCGCAAGCTATCAAAAGTCGAAGTGAAATTTGATAAACCAGTTCTGAATATTTGAATATTTGGCGCATACATTAGAATCATCTGATATGACAACAACGATATGAGTTAATGAATAAGTTGTCATAATGGTAAACATTCTCCTCTGGTAGGTCGAGAAACCGGCGGTGAAATGTCGTCACCCCAGTTTTTCTTTCCTTCCAAATAGAACAAATGTTGAGGATTGTAGTCAAGGTGCTAACTGTGAAATACACGAGATTATATTGAGATGGTTTCCGGGCAGTCCTTGTTCTGAAGTGCCGTACATTTTACCTACTGAGATAAGCTCCAACGAACCGTAAAGTAGAGAGCTTTCGATTCTTTGACGAGTTTGATTACCAGAACTTGAGATTTGAGCTCATTTTGTTGGTGGAATGCGCACTGAGAAACTTGTTTCCTTGTGAGGCTTCATAGTGCTCATTCTCTTTGCGGTTATGCATCATTAGACCGTAGACTCCAACTTGAAAGAAAGAATAACATATACCATAATTATATAATTATGGTATAATTAAGATGAAAGGTAAAAATTTAAAATAGACATTAGGTAGCAGGACCTTGTTTCTGCCGCTGCTCCATTTTTGCAAACTCATTCTTTCTGTTAGGCTGAGAGCAAATTGCCACGATTGTCGCCTGGACAGAGCAGGCTCGCGCAGGCTAATTTTTCGGTGAGCTTGTTGGCTAGTCTGTTATACTCTTGATCGGGCTCGTTTTAGATCTTAAGGGTCTCAAGCTATAAGCAAGTGGATGGATAGATTAAAAAAAAACGACTTTGACCCAATTAAAAGCTCGTTATAAATGCAAACTGCAAATGAAAGGCCTAAATTTCAGTACGGGGAGTATCATTTAGAAAGTGTGTCATTAGCAAAGAGTCACCATAGGAGACAGTGGCCTTTGCATTAAACGTGAACGGTCAAGCAAACGAGGGGTTGTACCAGGCCAAAAAGATATCTTAGGACTTAAAATGTTCTTACGGCTTCTAAATGAGATATTTGCATCACACACGTTTTTTCGTGATCGTTTGATGACCTCATTATCATTCCCTAATGTTAATCTTACCAGATGCTCTTTTCGTGTTTTTAGCAGTTAATCTGCGGTTTTCAGTGTGGTGTAAGATAACGACATTCCGGAATTTTCAAGCAAAGTCAGAACTGTCTTCAATGAATTTTGTCTTCCTTTTCCTTATGTCAGCTAACTAAAAATAATGCGTGGCAAAAAGTAGATTTGATCACAGATGTTATAGTTATTACGAGATTCGTGATTTTAAACACTTGGTATTATTCGGCTCAAAGGACTGTTCGTACGTTGTTTCGATGAGTGATAACTAGCAGAGCTACATTAATGCAGACGTCACCGAATACAGTCAAAGATTCCACAAGCAGTGCCGTTAGTCAACCATTCAGATAACCTTGTGTAACGGTCTACTGAGTCACACCTTACTATTACATACCTCGTAAATCTGAGCTCATAGTATCTTGTGCGAACCGTCGATTCAGGAGTTATCTTTTTGGACTATCCCAGGTTACGATATCGACGCCTGATTACAGTCAAATTTTATCTTTTCAATTTTGGAATATTTTGCTTTAAGTCGATTTACGGACATCTAACGTTCGACCACACACGGTGCGCGACCGCGGTATTTAGCAGCTTTTAACCTTTTTAAAAGAAGCGCAATGAGAGGAGTAGGAGATATCTTTGAGCTACTAATAACAATAAATTCTATCTAGACTATCGATTTTTTCCGGGCGGGAGTGAAGGTTGTTCAATGCGAGTTTTAAATCAATTTCCTGTCACTCAGTCTCTCGCTACGGATAAATGGTGAATAACTGAACAACTTCTTGAAACTTCATTTCCCTAATAATCCATTAACTACTGTTTTGTCTATTTTACAGAACAGTGTTTTGAAGCAGTCACGTTGGTTTCGTAGCCGGTTTATACTTCACAAGTAGGTGACGATGGACGAGGATTATTTTAAACCTTTGAATGTCGACAATCGATAGCAACATGAAGCCACTCTAAAGGAAAATACAGCTTTCAGATAATACATCTCATATTAAAACATGCTAGAATTGACAAAAGGAACTCTAGACGAGAGGGAAAGACCAGCTTAACACTACAATCGGGTATGTGTAAATGCCTTTTGTAGTTCAATTTACGCGTTCCTTTCTTTCAGCGCTAATCTATTTCACATCACCGCGCATGACTGTGGTCGTCACAATGAGAGGGCTGTATGTGTCCCATGAGGATCAAAGCCAGCGTCCACTATGATCTTTCTGACTTCAGCAATCGCACTCATAGATGTGGACTGGAAATAATGCCACACTACCTTGAGAAATGCGCATCTGGTACAGCGAAAAAGATCGTTTACCTTTAGAGTTTAGGTTATCGAAAGACGATCACTTTATGTGAAGATGAATATTTATAGGCTGGTTTGAGTATTTGTGGATTGCAGAGTTATCTCATTCCCACGCGAAAGATGGCCAGTGACGAAAAGATTCTCGACGAGTTGCACTTCCTTTCCTGGAAAATCGACACGTTAGAGAGGAAGCTTGAATCAAGTATGTCTATACAAAGAGACTTAGCTGCAAGCTTACTACAGGAAGACAGCTCATTCGCCGGTTCAGTGTCAGCGTCTAAGAAATTTGAGCGGAGAAATTTGTCCGGTTCAAGTTGTTCCGAAGCGGTGTCCAGCGACGATGAACATAACAGTTCTCACCTAGATGGTACATACTGTGCGGTTTCAGAAAATGAACCCGAACGCAGCACTTCGTATCTTATTATACCCGTCGGCAGCTACAAAGACAATGACTCTTGTTCAATTTCAACGGAAAAACAAACTTTCAGATGGTCAGAAATGGATGACAATGCTAGTAAATATACCACCTCTGACGATGCGCTGAACGGTGACAAAGACGGCGCCTCAAAGGAAAAGCTCGATGTAAATGCGAAGGATTTGAATGTTTGCGATACCCCAAAATCGTTTGCAAATCAGGTAACAACGCCACCAAGTCAAAGCAGATTTGATAAAAACGAAAAACAAATGTGTACTCAGTGGAATGTACGTGTTTCAGAGATAATTCCTTCAGGAAATTGTTTACTTAGCTCAAGAGGATCACATTGCATTGCCGACGATCAATTTGAAGACAAAAGTAATGTAGGGGGTGCTTTTGACACTGACCACGATGAGGAGGAAAACTTAACCTTATCAAATGGCAACTTCAGTACACGGAATTCAAGCTGTAAATATGGCCTTACGATTGGCATAGCAACGGCCCAAGGGTTACCTCAAGTTGTTAGCTCTAATCATAGGGACTCAAAACAAAATGTTGACGAACAGAATACTCTACAATTTCACAATTCAGCGAAATTTAAGAGCAATTTTTCAGCTGACGAAATCGAGGAGAAGAGGGCTGAAGTGGAGCTATTGAGGCCTTTGTTCAAAGAATCAACAAATCAATCAAGTTATTCTTTCAATGAGATAACATTTGATCAGATTTACAATCACCCTTCAGAGTCAACTGACTGTTGCAAAGCGAATTACAAACAAAGCTCAATTGATTTTACAACTGAAATCGATGCTCGCAACTTGGAAAAGGAAAATAAACCTTCTTATAACGTGATTTACATTGATCCAGAGTCATCTGAGGTTGACCATAAAAATTGCGATTTTGTTGACGTTGTAGGACGAGCTTCTTTGTTTTCTCAAAACAATCTTGACACATCAAATGCAAATTACGTCGAAGGATTTGGACAGTCATCATCGGAGAACGTTGATCCGGACAGGAAGCAAGCAATGGCAGTTTATTCTCTGCCTGTGAAGAACAAAAAGTTCGAAATGGATGTTTATTTACCTCGACAAGTGGAGCCATTTCCGTTCGGAAACCGCCGACTTCAACAGAACGAATTTAATTGCGACGCTACTGCGAGTAATAAGTTGATTGAAATGCAAATAGGTGGCCCTCAAGATGAACAAAGACACGAGCATTCTTATTGTGCTCGAAAACAATTTGACGCTGAGACTCATTCAACAAAC